TGATTTGTTTGATCAACTTCAAGGAGCGAAGTACTTCACCAAGCTAAATTTGAGAAGCGGCTACAATCAAATTCGAATTGCAGATGAAGATGTTCACAAGACAACTTTTCGTACTAGGTATGGACACTTTGAGTATCTGGTGATGCCTTTTGGTCTCACTAATGCACCAGCTACATTCATGGGATTGATGAACGATATCTTTCGCCCTTATCTAGATAAATCTGTCATTGTTTTTCTAGATGATATATTGGTGTATAGCAAAACTTTGAGTGATCATAGAAGTCATTTACGAGAGGTACTTCAAGTTTTAAGAGACAATCAATTGTATGCCAAAGCTTCAAAATGTGAATTTGGCAAGTCAGAAGTAGATTACTTGGGTCATAGAGTTACAGCTACAGGAATCCAAGTGATGAGTGAGAAGATAGATGCCATTCAGAAATGGATAGCACCTGAGGATCAAACTCAATTGAAGAGTTTTCTAGGGCTCACTGGATTCTATAGTAGATTTGTGAAAGGTTTTGCTCGACTAGCTCAGGCCTTGAATTCCATGTTAGGGAAAGGTCAGAAGTGGAGATGGGGAACAGCTCAAGAGTTAGCTTTTCAAGCATTGAAAGATGCTTTGTTACACGCACCTATTCTCAAGTGGTATGATCCTAACCGTTCTATCAAGTTGGCCACTGACGCATCAGGTACAACAGTAGGTGGCATACTTCAACAAGAATGGGAGGATGGATGGCATCCAGTTGATTTCTATTCTCGAAAGTTGGTGGCGGCGGAACAAAATTATCACACAACAGAACGGGAGAAGTTAGCTATCGTGTTGGCAACCAAACATTGGAAGCATTATTTGGGTGATAAGGAGTTTGTGGTGGAGACTGATCATAAACCCTTGGTTTATTTGGAAACTCAGAAGGATTTGTCCAAACGACAAATTCGATGGGCAGAGTGGCGTCAACGCTTCAACATGAAGATTGTGTACGTGGAGGGTAAGAAGCAACTTGCAGATGCTCTCACACGCATGCCTTGTTTGAATCATGTTGCAGAAGTGAAAATTCAGGCGGATTGGTGGAGCAAGATGTCACAAGCCACAAAGGAGGATGAAGAGATCACTCGAGCACTACAAACTGGAAAGGCAGAGAAATCTCGAGGTTTGGCGTTTTACAATCAGCGTATATGGATTCCACAAGATCACGATTTGCGCACAATGATTTTGGCAGAAAGTCATGATACAGCCATTGCAGGTCATGTGGGAGTGGAGAAAACCGTGGAGAGTATACAACGAGTGTACTATTGGCCCAAAATACGTGAGGATGTGGAGTCTTACGTTCGAAGTTGTGTTGCTTGTCAACAAAACAAGGCAAGTAATCAAAAACCAGCGGGTTTATTACAACCTCTTCCTATTCCCGAACAGCGGTGGGAACATGTCACCATGGATCTTGTATGTGAGTTACCAAGGACTTCGTTAGGACATGATTCAATGGTGGTTTTTGTGGACAAATTGAGCAAGATGATTCACATCAGGCCAACCACAAAAACAGTAACAGCTCCACAACTAGCTCAATTGTATCTAGATGCAGTTTTTGTGAATCATGGCTTAAGCAAAGTGTTAATCACGGATAGAGGTACTCACTTCACTAGTTTATTTTGGAAAACTTTGTTTAGTTTTTTCAAAACAAAACTAGCAATGTCAAAGGCCTATCACCCTCAAACTGATGGACAAACTGAGAGGGCAAATAGAACCATAGAGGATATGCTACGAGCATTCACATTAGAAGAGCAAGAAGAATGGGACAACCTTTTGCCACTTGTGGAATTTGCATATAACAATTCTGTTAATGCATCCACAAAAGTGTCTCCATTTTTTCTTATGTATGGAGCTCATCCGATAACTCCTTCAAGTTTGATGAGACTTCCGAAAGGAGAGGAGTTTTCGACCAAAGTTGCAGCAGTCAACGAATTCGTGGAGCATATTCACCGAGGACTACATCAGGCCAAGGAGAAGTTGGTGATAGCTCAAAATCGGCAAAAGTAGCAGGCCGATGCTCATCGTAGAGAAGTGATTTTTGAGGTTGGAGATCATGTTTGGTTATCTACAACGAATTTGTCTCTTGTAGGAACACCAAAGTTAAACCCTAGGTTCATTGGTCCATTTTTGGTTTTGAAGCGTGTTGGTGAAGTGTCATACAAGTTGGAACTTCCGTCACATATGAAAATACATCCAGTATTTCATGTGTCACGATTGCGAAAACATGTACCACGACCAAAACAATTCACCAACCAACCAGCACCACCTTCTCTTCCAACCTTGATAGCAGATCATGAGGAGTTTGAGGTAGAAAAGATACTCAAGAAACGTATTCGAGGTCATAAATATCCCAAAGTAGAGTATTTGATTCAATGGAAAGGCTATCCATCGTATGAATCAACTTGGGAACCAGCTAGAAGTGATATTTGCAAATTTCATGCTCGAGATTCATGCAAGATTGCCAAAGGGTAGTAGGGAGATACTACGATACATTAGAATTATCAACTGTCCACATATCAATGTTCTAAATCTCCTCGACAGAATGGTCTTTCGCTAACATTTTTGACTAACATCGCAACATTCTTAATAAACAATTTACAAGAATTCATATGAGATAATGAGTGACGGTAGTATGAAGTATCCCATTGGATTAAACCAAAATGTGTTGGATTCTAGCAAGATTTTTGCATTTTGCTAGGATCCCATCAAATAACTTTTTCTAATTTTCAATCACTTATTTTTATAGACTTATTTATGGTATGTGTGTTTATGTGTGACTATCTCTAGATTGCATTTGGTGTGATTTTGGATTGAATTCAAATATTTTGTTGTCAATATGATGTTATTGAAACTAAATCTAATAAAATTATATTTTTCATTTATATTCATATTTCTAATTTTTAGAGAATATTTACATTTTTATATTATGTTATCACACATTATCACATTTAGACTAGTTGTAATTATAAAACTCTCAATACATATCATCATGAATGCATAAATTTTAAATCATGTATATAGATTATATTATCTTTTAAATTACATGTTTTGTACATTTATAGATTTTTATTTTTTTTGATTGATTATTAATAAAATATATAAATTTTTTATATATTTTTACGCAAATAATAATAATCATCATTTTGATAATTTCTCTTCAATAATTTTAAATAGATTTTTATTTATTTAAATTATAATATATGTTGAAAAATTATTATTTTTGTTTATTTCTTATGCAAGTGCAGAAAATTTGCTTCATTGAAAAGTTTAAACAAATTATAAAAATATTGTGGTTATTTAATTTGTTAATCTTTTACATGAGAAATTTTTTTCAGTAGAATCCCTTAGCTCAAAAATGAATCATAGTACAAAATTTTTTCGAAAAAATTCAGAAAATTTATGATCAAAAAGTGTAAGTTTTCCCTGATATCAAATACTAGTTAGTTTGAGTTGCAGAGAGTTCAACCAATCCAAGATTTATGAATAGTATAAATAAATAGATATATTGTAATCATATTCACAATCATTGGTTTCAAGTCGAGTTTATAAAACCTGATCATTTTTATCTAGTCATATACAAAAACAATGTATGTTTTTATTTTTTAGAATTTGGTCAAATTGATACTTAGTTAACTTATTAACCTTAATGGTATCGCTGAGGGCTTTTTTTAGTAGAAATTTTCGTTGCATAAGTCCATTTTCATTTTTTTTTTCAAAACGACTATTTTAATCTTTTCGAAAGATGTTATTCCAAACATGAAAACAAATTAATTTTTTTTGATTAAATATTTTATTTTAAATTTCTCGATCATTTTTAATTTTTTAAAAAAATCATTTCATAAAAACTATGTTGGATTTGAAGATGTAAACTGTATGCATGCATATTATTAAATTTTTTTTGATTGAAAATGAAGTTTTCAATGATAGTGATGTAGGTTTATATATAACTTATTTTTGTTTGCAATCTATCATGTATTTTATTTAATTATTGGATCAAGTTTTCATCTTGTGGTAGGAGATTGATACAATTTGGATTTTCTTATGAAATCCATCTTAGATTCTCATTTAAGTATTCTATGTAGCAGTCAAATGAAGTACAGAAGAAAAATCTGATATAACTATAACTAAATCTTTTCAAATTGTACTCAAATTTAAACAATAATCATTCAATGTATGGAAATTAATGTAGTAGCAATATAGATATAAAATTGAACAACGCTCGTATACCAAGATAACACAGTATCAAAGATGTAAACATATGGAATCCTCCCCTTATGTAGGCATTAGAAATTATTGATTTGATAGTTCACTGTATTCAATATATGGATATTCAGTTGTAACGATTGTTCGTACAACCAAATTAAATTATGATCTTACAAGCAGCTTATGGCTACAACTCTGTAGTATGAAGGTACGCTGATTTGAGTTGTATAATATGAAGAGCACAAGTGTGAGGCAAACGGTGGCCCTCGGCAAGAAACAGCTCAATTTTTATTGTACTCTGTTCTGCAAACCTCCATACACGCAGACAAAGATGAGAACTAACGTAAAGGGAAATGATCAAACGCCGAGTGGGCGTGATTAATTGAGATATCTCGCACGATGCGGGCTCAGGGGTCCACCTAACGACCGACATAACACATAGAGGGCAGTCAGTAGGTTAAAGCGGGAGCTCTATTCTTGGTGGACCAGTAACCGTGGTGTAACTGACCACCGGCCGGTGGAAGAAGCTCTCAACCGGTTCGCTCTACAGCAGGTCCGCTTCTCTTGGTCTGATGTTCTCGTTTCGTTAGACGCCGTTCGTCCGTCCGTCGTCAAACGCCGCAGGATTCCCGCGAGGACGGAGCGGCTCACCGCCCGACCGACCGACCGACCGAGTGAGTGAGTGAGTGGGGGACGGACTGACTGACTGACTAACTTCGGTGGATCGAGTCTTGACACAGTTCAAAGCCGCGGTTCGTCGTGCAGCACCGAGGACCCTCCCTCCGCCGCCGCCGCCACAACAGCTGCTGCTGCTCGTCGTGTGTTCAACGAGGCCAGGCACATGTTGAGTCGCTGAGTTGCCCGCGTGCCCGTGTTCAGGTACACCAAGTTCTCCCCGGGCCCTGGCTTCCGATCCATCGACGTGATCGATTGCGTGGTTCGATTCCACGTTGGGAGGGAGACTCAGATCAATGAGTCCGGAATTTAGAACGGGAGGCGAAATTGCTCTTCCGATACTCCTCGCTGTTCGATCGGGCATTTGGCCTTTTGTCACGGCTGTGGATCGCTCTGGACTCGCTTTGTTAGCCGCCGTCCGAGGAGCTCAAGACCGGAGCTGTGATTTTGTAGATGGGACTGAGCCTTTTCCCAGTTCGTTGCACGTATTGAGGTACGTGCAGTTGAGCCTGGGATTGGTCGAATGCCATGACGAAGTCCTGGACGACTTCTGATGGCGTTCCATAAGTCCCATTGTGGCAGGAGCTTGCAGCGTCTGAATCGTGGTGTTGTAAAGTCATTGGAGATGTGAAAGTATTGATGACGATGCGCTTCAGATCATATGCTTCGGTCCAGCTTTGTTTTGGGGCTAGTCAGGGCATGCCGTCCTGCTCACTTCGTGCTCTAGTTGCTGGATGTGCACAGCAAAACTATTCGTAGACGCTTCGTTGTAAGGCGATCTGGCTGCATGAGGAGAAAATTCCATCGCAGCCCAAGGTCTCAAAGCACAAATTGCCCAAGACTTCTGATCAAACTAGTGATTGCAAAGAGTCAACTTATCCCGTAAACTTGCTTACAGTGATAGAACTTCCACAACCAGCTCGACGGCCGAATCGTCTGTCATCGATGCGCCATTAGACTCGTACCGGACTGTTGAAACTCTGTAAGAGAGCGGGAGGTGTGAAACTGCCTGTTCGTCTGAGTCTCAGAGTCTGCGACACATATGTATTTGAAAGGTCGTGGACACGGAGGAATGGTGCTGGAATTCACGCGTCCGGTCAGACTCTGTGCGACTCTAATCGCTGGGTTTTAACTCTTGTTGAATTGTGGGTGGCGCAGAGTCAATTCAAGATCCAAGTCCACGATGATTATTGTCTGGAAGATTATCGTGGCGACGTTAACACTCACGCTTCATTGTTCGACATTTGCTTCAGCCGATCGCCTTCCACCGACGACTGCTGCTCTACAATCCCAATGTGATCACCCGCAACAAAATGCACATGTTTCCAACTGTCAATATAAGCCACAATGTGCAGCTTCAGTTGTAAACCTCACTTGCAGAACTAAAGCATACTAGCGAACTGGCAAGAAAAATCCATTTGATTCTCTCCCCATTTCATTCCATAGAGCAACTTAATGGTAACTCGAAGCAGAAATTGCACTGGACATGAACTGTTCGTATGACTTTCCGCCTCACGTACCACTGTGTGTGCCTGCAGCTGAGGCTCTTCTCTCCTTCAAAAATGCCTTGGCCGATCCCAAAGCTTTGGAAAGCTGGAACGGCTGGTCGCCCTGCTCAGGAAAATGGAAAGGCATCACCTGTTCTGCCGACAAGAGTTCTGTGGTTAAAATGTTCGTCCCAGCACCCGACCGCTTAGAACATCCAGCACTATCTCATCGTCATCTACCACGTATCGTACTCAGGGGATCTGAACGACAGACTTTCTCATTGACACGTTGATATGCTGCTCGAGGAAACTCCTCAGATTGTGGCAATAATGCCGGTCCTAAGTCAAGTCCTCAATCAAGGAACCGATCGTGGCGCTCTCATTCTCGAGGAGCAGCTGCTCCGACGTTCGATCTTGCAGTGACTGCGGAATATCGCGTTATTAGCATCAAGGCTTACATTACACAATATACAAGGCTTCGATAGTTTGTGAGAAGTATGAATCATATTCAGAGTGCTAAAGCTGAATCCTTACATAACAAAACTAGTCAACATCATGCTTCTCACTAAAATTCAAGAACGTCAGGACCAACCTTTGTCGAGTGACGCACTTGGCAGCTACTCAGATCGGACTACCTCCTGAGTTTCTTCCACTGGCTTTCAGACGGTAAAAACTTGACATGTACAGATTGACGCGGTTGTACAAAACCGCTTTGAGGTTCTAGCACTTGTCCGACGACAACCTGAAATGAAACTACTGTGTGAGAGTTTAACTTCATCTTCTGGCTGTCCAAAGCTGATGCTAAATGTCATGGTGTATTATTTATACCATCTGATATACAAGGGACACACAATCTGGTAACCATGCAGCTTGAAAAATCTGAAAACTGTACCTTGACAAAGTGATTTCAAGAATCCATGGCATATCCTTCAGACAGGGTGTGCTAGCTAGGGTGCTAAGAGACTTGTGCTCAGAGGAATGTCTCTCCTCTATTTCCAGCTGACTGCAATTATCACTGTTTCATTTCTCCGCATGACCAGCATCCACTTTTGGCCAAATCTCTATTGCAAATTATGACTCTGAACAGATATATAATGCTAGATTTAAAAGACAAATATCATATTATTGCAGGACATGTACCTAAAAGTCAGGCAGTGCTCTGACAGCAATCTGACGAGATGACATAATAATTGGAACCTGCTGTACATGTCTGCTGTGGTGAAAATGACTGACATATGGTCTTAATCTGGGTTTAACAATAACAACTGACAAGGATTTGATAACAGTTTTCATGATGGACTTGACGAGCATTTCTTACCTCATGCAGGTCTCTACAAGGAAGCCAGTTCTTCGGCCCTATTCCTGCTGTAAGTCACTGCTCAACCCCACCCTTCTCTTTTACGCCATGCACGGTACGTCCCTTAAACTATCCGATTTAGATAACGTAATCGATCTGAAACCTGCGGACCGACTGACGACACCCTGCTAATGAAGACGAAGCTTTCGGTACTGGCCCTCCATATTACGTCTGTCTAACCCCCCCGATCGATCAACAACTCGACAGTTTAGCTTCTGTTATGCTAAATATTCATTATCTTGTTGTCCAGAAGGAGATCCAAAATGTGAACTTTTTGGAAAGTTTTGTGGTCATGAACACGGCCTTTAGTGGCCAAATACCGACAACCATCGAGAATCTCAAGAGGTTGAAGACATTGTAAGTGAAAAGTTCAATATCTGTAATCTGCGTCTTGTAATTATTGTGGATATCGTTTACCGATTTAGGAGGCTTCAGTTTGTACGTCATATATGCAGCTCACAGGAAACTCGGCCTCAAGAGCGTTGCAGTCCTCGAAAATGTAAGCTAATTTACCATGTAAACTGCTATTTTGAGCGAATTCCGGTTTGTGGTCTGGTGACCTCGCAGAATCATTTCCAAAAATCCACTCTTATCCGGAGAGTTTCCAGAAGGCATCTTCAACCTCAAAAACATTCAGATACTGTAAGTTTCGAACAGAATTCACTGACTCACGGGACGAATGTTCAGATCTGCTGCTTCTGCAGCACTTGAGAGTCGAGTTCAGTTAGTAAAACAAGATGAAGAAAGAGAGTGAATGAGCTTCGCGCTTTGAACGTTTTTTCCGACAGAACCTCCCCTCCCGTTTTGCTATGCTCAGTAAAATAGGCTCCCTGACATCTTGTTCGATGATTGTGCATGCTTGTAGGGATTTGTCATGGAACAATCTGACTGGACTTCTGCCGGGAGCTCCGCCTCTTCCAACGTAAGACAATCAGCACTCAAAGCCGCCCCTTTTGAGTTCCTGCTGCAAAAAACACCTGACATGATCATGGCTCGAAACAGCTGAAGTGATCAGAACACTCTAACCAAACTAGTCCGAGGATCTGTGGTGCCAAGGTGTTGTAAGGAAGAAATTGTAATACGATACTGCATCGTCTGATTTGCACATGTTTGTGTTTGTATCCGGGAGATTCAGGACGATAGGCAAGCAATCGAACCAGTTGCTACCAGGCTTGTCACAAATGTAAGATCCACATACTTTCGTTGTCCTCTCTTACTGTAATCGATATATATTAAAAAGCCATCGCACATGCATCATCATCAACCTCAAACGCTTCTAGTCCATAGCTGATCAGCATGACCTGACCTCGTGAGTAAACGACCGAAGTTTTAAATACACGATACCTTGAGAGCCATGGCACTCGACTAGCGAGAGCCTTGGATGATTGGCACTGAAGACCTTTTGCTTGATACAGGAATTGGTCCGATCTTTTCCCGCCGGTTGGCGCGCAGCCGACGTACCCATGGCTTTGGTAACTTGTCGAACTCCAGTGGACGAATTCTTTAATCAATGTCGTATGAGTTTGAGAATTACTGGGTTGTGGAGCTCAGGAGTTCTGCACTGGAGCTGTATATGTAAACGAGGCTCTCTTCCTATTTTCAACTTGAGAACAATGCTACTTATATGTCATACGTCTAATATGTAAGTAAGTACATCTGGGGACAAGTTATAGATTATGCTGGCTGTCAAGTAACCATACTTGTTGTTTTGGTCTCAGGAATTCGACCACGAGCATGCCACCATGGTACGTTGACGGAATTTTTTCTCCGTGATTCTTTAACGATTCCTCACAGCGTGGTGACTAACCGGAAGAAGGGACAAGAAAGAATTCCATAATGAACAGGGGCACTAAAATCTCCTGCCCTGTTGACATTCCGTATAAGCGTTTTCAGAGCCTGCGAGTTCCGTGCCAGTTTCTAAGACTGCGTATCTCGTCAAATTCCTCTCTCTATACTAGAGCCGTAGATTGATTATCAAGTGTGCTTTCTTACACAGAGTGGTGATGACTACAGGGACCCGCTGAATCTGACTGCCATGAACTGGAGCAAGCCACTTTTCCCCAACATGTGAGGCATCTATCTTCTCCCATGGCACTTTCTCCTTAAATCCTGAACCTCAAGAGCTGCCACGTTCATCTACGAAACTGACATCAACAACTAACGACCCTCCATATATTCAATTGCAACAAGAATCTGCATAATGCAATTGATATTCACCACTATATTCGGTTGCGTACGAGGCAAGACTTATAGACAGCTTCTGCCGTCCAGACCTGGAATACGGTGGTATCTTCTTCGAGGGGGTCTTTTGACTATCTGCCGAGACACTTGGAATTGTACAAGTGCAAGCACATAGACATCCCTTCAACCTTCATGCCAAATCTACTTGGCAAGCTGTGTTTCGTTGTCGGTACAAAGAGGGGATCCGACTGATCTCCACTTGCAGTGTGGACCGATATATTCGTTACATCTCTGTACTCTCAGAGAACTGTCCTAGAAGTTAGGAAATCTTTCAGCAGTGAGATTTCCGAAACAAAAAATCGTCCATCGCGGTTGCCATAACTAGACCATCTGGAAGCAACTTTTTACCGACCGCTGACTCGATATCGGATCGTTATGACTTTCAACATAATGGGCATTGATTGCTGCGAGGAGCAGAACTTTGAAGATGAACTCACGAGTTTTTGGGTACCGAGTGTGTCGTGGTTTGGGGTTACTACCTTGAGAATCTTGCTTAGTGTTGGGTCAAGGGTTGCTGGATTGTAGTGACGCTGTATATGAGAGTCTCGTGCAGTGGTTCAGAGGAGATCCAGCACACGAATCGAGGGAGGAGAACGAGCGATCTTGCTCCTCTGCTCTGATCTCAAGAATGATTGATCTGATTATTGTGCCATCATTGCTCCGGGCCTGTACAGCTCCAGCGATGAGTATTCATATCATGTCGCTCAACTGTACTTCTGACCACTGCAGCTGCATTGTTGTGGGTTTGTCGGTGATTTCGCAGGAATGCAACCGATCTTCCAACCTTCCTCAACTGGACGATGTACAACTGGACTTGGACGATGCCATTTCCCATGCCTTCCAGTGGAAACATGACGAACCCGCCCGTGGCTGCCATTCCAGGGATGCTCTACAACTGGACTATGCAGATGCCATTCCCCATGCCACCCAACACTCCCTTTCCCTTCAACTTCACCATGCCCGCCACTCCACCGATCTTCAATTTCACCACGCCAGGCTCTCTGTTCAATTTCACCTGGCCGATGCCCATGAACTCATCGTTTCCGCCCATGTTCAATTTCACCTGGCCCTGGCCTATGCCTCCGTCGGGCTCTCCTCAACCTGGAGCCCCCAACGCGTCGTTTCCTCCTCTCTTCAACTGGACTTGGCCTTGGCCCATGCCTGACACCCCTCCGGGTCCACCCCTCTTCAATTGGACCTGGCCTACTCCCAACTCCACTCTGCTGCCTCTCTTCAACTGGACCTGGCCTGCCCCCAATGCAACCATGGCTCCCCTGTTCAACTGGACATGGCCCAACGCGACGAGCCCTCCTCTGTTCAACTGGACCTGGCCTGTGCCGAATGCGACCATGGCTCCTCCTCTCTTCAACTGGACATGGCCTCTTCTGAATTCGACGTCTCCTCCTCTCTTCAACTGGACCTGGCCTGCTCCCAATGCAACCATGACTCCTCTCTTCAACTGGACATGGCCTCCGATGAATTCTACTTCTCCTCCTCTCTTCAACTGGACATGGCCTCCAATGAATTCTACTTCTCCTCCTCTCTTCAACTGGACATGGCCGCCGATGAATTCCACCTCTCCTCCGTTATTCAACTGGACCTGGCCTGCTCCCAATACATCAGCTCCACCACTTTTCAACTGGACATGGCCCAACGCAACATCTCCCCCTCTCTTCAACTGGACATGGCCGACGCCCAATCTGACGGCCAACCCGCCACTCTTCAACTGGACATGGCCTCCGCTCAATGCATCGTCCCCTCCACTCTTTAACTGGACCTGGCCTGCGCCGAATGCCACGGCTCCCCCTCTCTTCAACTGGACCTGGGCTCCACTCAACAGTTCCTCTCCGCCTCTGTTCAACTGGACATGGCCTGCACTCAATGCGTCATCCCCTCCGCTGTTCAATTGGACATGGCCTGCGCCGAACGCCACAGTTCCTCCTCTGTTCAACTGGACCTGGCCGCCTCTGAATTCCTCGGCTCCGCCTCTCTTCAACTGGACTTGGACTCCGACCAATGCCTCCACGCCTCCCATGTTTAACTGGACTTGGCCTCCATTGAACTCCACGTCGCCGCCTCTGTTTAACTGGACATGGCCACAACCGAACTCCACAATGCCTCCCCTGTTTAACTGGACGTGGCCAGCTCCCAACGCCACTGCTCCTCCACTCTTCAACTGGACCTGGCCTCCTCTGAATTCCACAGCTCCTCCTCTCTTCAATTGGACATGGCCGACTCCGAATTTAACTGCTGCTCCGCCTCTGTTTAACTGGACTTGGGTTCCTTTGAACTCCACGGCTCCGCCCCTCTTCAACTGGACATGGCCCACGCCCAATCTGACGGCCAACCCGCCACTCTTCAACTGGACATGGCCTCCGCTCAATGCCTCGTCCCCTCCACTCTTTAACTGGAATGCCACAGCTCCTCCTCTGTTCAACTGGACCTGGCCTCCTCTCAACACTTCGAGTCCTCCTCTGTTCAATTGGACATGGCCTCCCATGAACACTTCGGCTCCTCCTCTTTTCAACTGGACGTGGCCACCACTCAATACGTCAGCTCCTCCTTTACTGAACTGGACATGGCCGCCACTCAATGCTTCAGCTCCTCCGCTCTTCAACTGGACCTGGAACCCGCTGAATACGTCGGTTCCTCCTCTCTTCAACTGGACATGGCCTGCGCTCAACAATTCAGCTCCTCCACTTTTCAACTGGACTTGGCCTCCTCTCAACGCTTCGGCTCCGCCTCTCTTGAACTGGACTTGGCCTCCTCTCAATAATTCCGCTCCTCCACTATTCAACTGGACATGGCCTCCTCTTAACACTTCAGCTCCTCCCCTCTTCAACTGGACTTGGCCTCCTCTCAATAATTCAGCTCCTCCCCTCTTCAACTGGACTTGGCCTCCTCTGAACACTTCAGCTCCTCCTCTACTGAATTGGACATGGCCTCTGCTCAATACTTCAGCTCCCCCTCTCTTGAACTGGACATGGCCTCCTCTCAACAACACAGCTCCCCCTCTCTTCAATTGGACATGGCCTCCTCTCAACAACACAGCTCCCCCTCTCTTCAATTGGACATGGCCCACGCAGAATGCCACAGCTCCTCCTCTTTTCAACTGGACATGGCCTTCTCCGGTCCCTACTCCTCCCGCTGCTCCTCTATTCAACTGGACATGGCCTTCTCCCGTGCCTACTCCTCCCGCTGCTCCTCTCTTCAACTGGACATGGCCCTCTCCCGTGCCTACTCCGCCTGCAGCTCCCCTCTTCAACTGGACCTGGCCCTCTCCCGTCCCCACACCTCCTACACCTCCAGCAGCTCCTCTCTTCAACTGGACCTGGCCGTCTCCAGTGCCCACCCCGCCTGCAGCTCCTCTATTCAACTGGACCTGGCCGTCTCCAGTCCCCACTCCTCCTGCAGCTCCGCTATTCAACTGGACATGGCCATCTCCTGTGCCCACACCTCCGTGAGTACCACCTCTGTCCATGCAGACTTTGCTTTTCGACAGTTAATGACCTCGCCAAGCATTTCCTCGACTGTGTTTGTGTGTTTGTGTGTGTGGACGATCTGCAGCCGGGACAGTGTAGTTGCTCAAATCTTTCCCCAGAAACTGTTTTGTGATTACAATGTGGTTACAGCTGATAAATCCCCTGAATGTGATTGCAGAGCCGCTCCTCTTTTCAACTGGACCTGGCCAAGTCCAGTGCCTTCACCTCCAAAAGCTCCCGCGCTGTAAGTCCCACTGCATGTTCTCTAATTGTGGAAAATCGTGAACCCCCGGGTAAAAGATTTTGGGACTATACTTTTCATTATATTGTCAATTTTCTCAAGAGCAACATCTTTCTCTTAACACTAAAACGATATGAAAAATGAAAAATAAATATGGACAAACAAATTAGATCTATTTGTTATTGATTTTAAACTGGTGTACTACGTATTTTTCAACAAGAGACTTACTAACTGTAGTGATTAGATTCAAAACCTTATGAACCAACTCAACTTCTAGAAACCCACACTAAGTGGCAAACTTTGGTCTTCTTTTAGAGCTTATAATTTCAGCAAGTGACAAAAATTACGTCCGTTGGATGCACAGAATGAACAACGAGACCAATATTCCTGACTGCGATATCCCTCCTCTATTCCCAACCCTGCCTCCTTCAACGTAAGATAGCCCTCCTTGCTCCTGGCGTAATTCTGGCTTAAGTTGATCATGAATAATACAGACATCCACAGCAAAAATGCGTGATTAAGCAACACTTTAAAATCAGGAGATTTAATAATTAGTGTAGAACTCTAAAGGACGAAGACTATTCATTTTATCTAAGGTCTGTGACTACCACCACTGCAAGAGAAAATTCGTCATTTACTGAGAAGTCAATGATAATTTTATTCTCAAAATCGATAAGATTCGACTCTTGGTTTCGAAGTTGCAATGCCCAGTACTAGGATTATTAAGCATCGAAGTCCTCAAGGTGTCCAAACAAACTTATTGTCCTAAGGGAAGAGATTGGCTCAGGATATGTATTCGAGTTAAAAAGACCTCTAACTCGATCGAATCGTGAGAATATTTCCAGGAAGGTGGTGAGCGCGTCCGCCAAAGGACACAGCTTCAAAAACCTACCGAATCTGAAATACCTGTAAGCCCTCTGATCTCAGAACTATGATGACTTCGAGCTTTCTATGCTTTGCAGTACATGGAGAGACGGGTAAGACTTTTTGTCAGGAACTGTGCGAGGGCCCATGGTACTCTCTCCTGACAAAGAACTGAGAGGATATGTTCATGTCAACGGTCAAACAGTCTTTTGAAGTAAAACATTCTGTATTGATCTATTGCTTGCAGAGATTTGTCCCACAATGCATTCCTTGGAGCGCTTCCTGAAGACTTGGAAGAGTTGACAAGGCTTGAAGACTTGTGAGTCCCTTGCTCCCAGTCACAGCTACAGCTCCTTGGGTTTAAGCTTGAGACTAGTTGCATCCAATGAGGTCCAGACTGAGGTCCATTTATTTTATGAAAAGGACTTGAGAATCTAATTGAAGGTGACCTCCTTGAATAATATACTAATGTAGTCGGACAAGCTCAGAGGAAAATCTGTTGTCTTAAATTTCAAGTCCCGAAGATATTAAATTGCCAAACTTTCTTCGCAGATAGTCTGCTTATCTTTCACAGTCCCGAAGATACTCGCCAGTCAGTTAGCTCTAGGTGTTGTCTGCACAGTTGCGCGGGCAAATTGAACAATGTCAGACATTGAGTTTTCCGATTGCTGTCCATAGAGCTGAATTTAAGCAGACGGGCGTGGAGGCGCCTGTTTCTCATGGACCCAACCGATTGTCGACTATGACTGAGAACAGAGAAAGTGTGCCTGGGGCTGTAGATGGCTCTCTTTCCATAGTCCATGAATTTATGCTGATCGAGGTCTTTGTCGGTGGTGCAGGAACTTGAGCAACAATTTCTTGTTCGGAGAGACTCCTTTCAGCCTCTTCGAAAATCCACACCTGACCAGCATGTAAGCACGCACCTGTTGTTAATTTCTGCATGCAGGCCAAAGCGTCCTTGTCCAGCCAACACGACTTAGCAGAGTGTGAATGTGCAAATTAGTCAATGATTGACAAAACCATCTCCTGCCCTGACAGAGATTTATCGAACAACTTTTTGAGCGGAACGATCGAATCAGCAGCACAATTTGCAAAAGCTATTACCCTGTGAGTGGATCATCTATCAAAGCTGCCAAACCTTTTTGCTGGAAGTCACTGAATCCTGACACTCCACGAGTCAAGAAATGGTCAATTTGTTTCTATGTAGCGAGTCGAGAGTACAGAATGTACGAAGTCGGAGGCAACACTTATCTCCTCTGACCGGGTCCACAACACTTCCACGTTGGTCCTAGTTTCTCCGCTTAGGCTCTGTGACAACCGATGGTTTGTGACGAGCACAAAAGCTTCTTTCAAACGTAAACAAACAAAATGCCTAGACTTCAACGATAGCCAGTGCCAGATGCATACTGTCTTGTATTCAGATATGACAAGGCCTACCCGACCTAAGCACGTGCCGATTGACCGACCGTCTGTGGAATGCTTGAATTTGTGCTCCTCAGAAATATCAGCGAGAATTGTCTAACAGGAGTTGATCCATCGGGAGAACTGGATCCGGCTCAGAAGTAATAACTCTTCAAACTGAACGCCCATTCTTTCCTCATGAATTCTCCACATGAGCAGCTGAGAGTGCAAAATGCAAGTCAATTGCTGGATAAGAGTGGCGTAGTTCAGCAAGTAGGTGAGGGCAAAACTTTGCGTTCTTACATGTCTTACATTGATTCGGCACTTGACAAGCACTGGCTGCTCTGTTCCGCAGAATTTCGGTCGAAGACAATTGCTTGAATTCGTCTTCCAAATGCAAGTGTATCTTTTAGACGCAAGCGGGTACGTGCGATCGCCGGTGTCTTCTTCCTCGCATCTAACCTCGCATCCTTGCATCTTTGCATACCACGATGATAACTTCTCCCTACATCTGCATGTCCGATCGATTCGGCTGACTGATCTCGTTCTGCCTCGACCAGTCAGCCGTATCGATCATGGCTGTTCAGTGTGATTCTGTTTTCAAAAGTAATGGTTTGGATAAAGTTGACGAAGAAGACCTGACCGCCAGCAGGATTCATCTTCTCAAAGAATTCGGAATCGCTGCTGAATGCTGAAAAGCATGATAGCTTTGAACATTCCCAGGCCTGAATGCGTTGACAACGTTGACATATCGGCTGTCTGGTCTTGTTTCAGAGGAGGAGGACTCGCCGGTAGACGGTCCTTCCAAGGGCAGGTTGTGATGGACAAGGCCGAGAACTCGGCTGCATGCTGCGAAGACCTGGAAAAGTGCTCAGGCCGAGGCGGTGAAACTATTTGTCTTGCTCAGTCTTAGCGTGAGAGAGAGACAGAGACAGAGAGAGTTTAGCGTGAGAGCGACAGACACAGAGTTCCAGGGAACATGTCCACCCTGTCGAATTGTGTAGCATGTGTAATATAGGATTCAGTAGTGCACATTAGAAATTGAATAGAGTATTTACACCAGTATCCGGCCGATTTGATCTTAGATAGATGGCTAGCTGATTGAACATGCTTTTATGCATTTCCAAAGGTTCTGAGAAGAAGAGCTACTCGTAGTTTCTCACACAAGACAGAAGACTACAGAAGACTTTCCCTCCGTCCATGCTCAGACCTGTGTAAGAGGGGCCGACGGCCTTGTTGGCAAACTTGGAAAATTTTTATAAATGACATGATGTTCGACGCCACTCACTCCCATACACTCCGATCAAAATGCGCACCCGGGTCTGCCTGCTCCGATAGCGTTGTCCTGTATGCTTGATCCCACGTTCCGGTGCTAGCATATGGCGTCAGGATCTACATCACTAACCAGCAGCATGAGGTTGGATTAATGCAGATTCTCGTACTGCGGATCACGAGGCAAATCGTATAATCTGACGAACTTCAACTATTCCCGAGCTATCCTGTTTCGGCTCCCGGCAGTCAAAGACCATGCAGATCTTCGCAGACCTCGTGTCAGCCTTCTCCCACATGAAACCGAGAATTAGGTGCAGAGCTCGAGCCGAAGGAAGGGAGTGAAGACAAAGTAGCCGCCTAGTGCAAGATATTATGATCTCACTGATCTGAACTAGCTCCGCGCCCCCATTCTCTGCTTGCACACGCTACCCACAGAGGCTACATGTCGACACAGTGCTGTCCTCACACAGACAGCCTCTCTTTCTCGGCCCACTCTCTACTGGATGAGATTGCTCAAGAAGAAGACGAGGTGCAGCAGCAGCAGCAGCAGTTCACCATTTTACTCGTCCCCTTTCTCGCAGGGCGGGACGGGGAAAGTGCTTTTCCCTGCCTCAGCAACAGAGGACAATGGGGAGTGGCCCCATGGGCCCCGAGGCCACACAAAGGTCAGATAGATAGAGAGATAGATGCAGACAAAGTCATGGCAGCTCGGCTCGGCTAAACGTGGGCGTCGCCCAGGCTTGCAGCAGCAGCAGCTAGAGGAGGAGCAGGAGCAATAGCAGCAGCAGCAGCAGCAGCAGGAGTAGTAGTAGTAGTAGTAGCTGCCGCCGCGGGGAGTCGCACTTTGTTGCTTTCGCCACACAAGATCCAGTCAGGGCTGTGGATCTAGTCCTGGCCTCGAGCGGCTGTAGCCGGAGCTGGCTCGACTCTGATGAGCCATGGCACCCAATCTTCTCGGTGCTGCGTGCGTGCCTCGGACTGTCGACCTCCTCCTCCTCCTCCTCTAGCTAGATGTGACTCATCGGGGGCTCCATGTCTAGACACGAGCTGACACCGCCCAAGCTTTTGTAGCGAGCGAGGAAGTCAGTGAATCAGTCGGTCGGTCGGTCAGTCAGTCAGAGGTGAGTCGTTTCAGCGCTCAGCCGAACACCCCCACTCGCCCATCTTGGCATGCGCAGCAGTGGCAGAGGTGTACTGTTCGCGGCCTGCCCCTCTCTGCCTCCTCTATTTCCCCTGCCACTGTATCCTTCTCTGCACTTTCCTCCCTCCGCCCTCACTCCCTCGCTCCATCGCTCCATCAGCAGCTAAGCTGCTGCTCCCAAGTGGCACCAGCTCTGACCTCCCGTTGCCTTGCATGGCTTCCACAACTCGGCTTCCACATCTTGCTGCTCACGGTACTCTACCTCGCTCGACGCTTACTTACTCCTTCGCTCCATTGCTCGATCGATCGATCGACCGACCGACCGCTTTCGCTTGGCTAGCTTGCATCCATGGCAAGGAAGGCAAGCCGAATTGAAGAGGGCCTTGTGAAATTATTCGAATCTGATGCCGCGACGCGTGATCGGGTTCCTTTTCAGGTTCTCTCGTACAGTCTCTCGTACAATCGTATATTGTTCGGTATTCACTGCTGTGAGCACCGGATTGTACGTGGAGTGTGGCACCCATCGCTCCTGCGTACATGGTAGCTACGTATTTCGTCCTGCCTTTCGCTCTCTCGCTCAGGCGATCGATGGTCGGACCCTCGACTGGATAATGTACACGAAACTCCATCAGTCCCGAACCATGGCTGTCCTCGTAGTGCCATCTCGTTCTTTTACTTCCTCAGCTTTCTTTCTGATGTTCTCACCTGGTTCCGCCTCCCGCGGCATGCACCCTTTCAACGTGGACGACGACGAGTGAAACTGGTTCGGTGAAATGACTTGAATTGAATTGAATTGCTCTTACTTTCTCACTCACTCACTCACCCCCTCACTTACTTACTCATTCGGATACGAGGAGCTGAGCCAATAGCACACGAAGGCCACTCCACCGCCAGTTTCAAAGCGATGGAGGATGAAAGGGGAGGAATGATATGCCGAGGAGGATCAGGCTTTGAGGGACACGACTTGACTCATGCTGTCAGAAGGATCATTGCTCAGTTGTTTCATGTGCACATGACCTACAGTGCTGGCCATTTTACTGAGCCCCACTTTCTCCTGATTTCACTGCCCCGTCTCGTCTCTCGGCCCTCGCTCGCCTGTAGACGATTCAAACTCGGCCCTCAGGTCAAACAATCAATGGTACAATCTGTGTCCTGTCTCTCGCTCTGCCTCCTGCGAGCCTGCGTGCCTGCCTTCATTCCCACCTACAGTGAAAGAAGAAGAACAGGAGTGGTGGTTTGGGGAGTCGTAGGGAGGAAAATCAATGACATCATCTGCTGTGCTCGTTGGCGCTTCTTGATGACAACAGCATTCGCGTACAGTAAATGGGAGGGCAGCTTCGCCACCCCTTCGCCCGGCTCGAAGCTCTGACCTTTTCAATTTCACCTGGGCTCTTTATTTTTCACACGAGAACTCTCTAATGCAGAGAAGATCGGTGTTCACTGTGCTCTCCCTCCCTCGCTCCGTCCCTAGCCTTGTGTGCTGGATGTTTCCCGGCATTGTGTGCATGGCCTTGCACTGCATGCATGCCCTACACCGAGGATAATTTTGTTTTTGCCCCAGATGCAGATATTCTCGATGCGCAGAGTGGGGCACAGGACTTTTCCGGCTCCAGCTCGAGTTTTTTAATCAGTGAGCTCGATGTGCATCACTTTGCCTTTATCCTGAAGAATCGGGAACTTTCCTATGGCGCTCAGAGGCCATTTCTGCATGCGGCGGTGCTGCCAAAGTTTGCCCCTCCCTCCCTCCATCTCTTTCTTTCCCGCTCCGGTTGAACGACACAATGCATCATTGGAATTGTTCTGATCTGATCGGCTCCTTCGTCTCCAGAGCTTCTGCTTTCAATGAAGATAGAACGAAGGATGACACGACATAGATAGACGATGGCGACGAACTCACACAAACACACACACATAGTTCTGAGCGTCAGGGCTCGAGCACGATCGTGCATGCGGGGCCGATGGAGACATCCACCTTGTGACTGCGTTGTCCTCGGCTCATCCAAAATTATGAATCTCCAGCTCGGTGCATTCGACGCTGCTTCTGAATAAGATTATTTCGGCACATGGTCCATTTTTTTAGGCCCCCTCCCTCTCTCTTTTGAGCGGGAGATGGGGGGAGGGCTATAGACGAAATTTTACGGACATCGAGAATCATTGCAGCTTCCATTTTGGGAATGTAGGGATGCCCCTGTCTGCATCCGGGAGTGGGCACAAGGGACCCATGAAAAAAAGCTTCTGCCTCCTCCTCCTCCTCATACTCCTCCAGCTCGATGGAGAGAGCAGCCGACGACAGCAATTCCCAAAAAATAAAAATAAAGGAATTTCTTGCTTTCCAATCATGCTTTGGGAGTTTGTCACACCGAGAAGTCAGCGTTTGTTCCGTTCGCTGGGAGAGGTTAGCCTCCGAGTGACACAATATTCGGCCATTGACGCTCCAGAACATGAAACAAATATGAAGATGCAGACGTGCTGCTCTCTCTCGCCCAGACATTCGAGGCAAGTCAACTTTAGGGGAGGGGGGGGCGGACCTTAATGGACCCGCGGGAGCTAGGCCTTGGGGAGCATGGCAGGACCAGGTTCTGACCGTCGTTGGCACGATGACGAGAGAATGAGAGCCGTCGAGTGGAGAGCGAGGCGAGCGATGGCGAGGGCGACGTAAAGGCAGGCCAGCAGATAATGCAAATTTCGAATGCTGGCACAGAAATCGCACATAAATTAATGGGTTTTCTTTGAGGGAACATGTGGCCACTTGGGAAGTGGATAGATGATGATCGTGCTGCATCCGTCGACGTTATGGGGACAGACAGCAGCCTCGCCACCTTTATGAGATCTCGGCTCAGATGGCGCAAGCGATTTGAATAACGAACTGCATCTACAATTCTATGCTAGCATCGGCCATGTTGCGCAAAAGGCACCAATGGCATGGGCGCCAGAGCTCGACGAGGCGAACGGAATACCCGAGATTGGATTTGATCCCCGCTTGGTTTCCTACCTCACCTCCCTCCCCTGCCCAAGCTCCGCCCAAAATCTAGAACTTACCTTCTCCCTCGAGGGACTAGCTCCACGAGAAGCGTGATGATGATAAAGAGCGCATGGCGAAAAGGAGAATTGTTCTTGTTTTATTCCAGTTGTCTCTTGCCCGAGCCACCAGCCCTCGATTCGTCAGCCACAAAGACGCCCATGCGACTCCGGGAGTCTTATGCCCCCGCCCCTCTCCCCCTCCCCCTCAAAATCGGCAGTGCGAGCCAAGTAATAAAGCAAAAAGGATGCTACGACGATGACCCCATCAAGTCGTACCTCGACATCGACCAGATAAAAAGAAGATAAGCGATTTGTAGCCACTGAGATTTTGTCTTTGGAGGGTTTCCATGGCTGCTTGACCACCCTGAGACCGGAGGAGGATATGGTGGGTGGGGCAAAACTCCGAAATGTCGCATACGAGGACGAGGATGCTTCAGATTCTCCCAAAGGGTTCGAACCCCGAAGAGAGTGGATGAGGAGGATGGTCGCGGGGCCGCAGGAGGGGGAGGGGTTGACGAGAAATCGGCACATGGAGAGAAATGTTTTGTTAATCTTTCGTTAATCTTTTCGTTTGGCAATTTGCTTGCTCCGGCTCTTCCATGGGTGCTGGCTGAGCCGAAGAGCACATGGAACGATGGATGGTCCTTTTGCCGGTCGAGCTGCTCGCTCCTCATTTCACGCGGGTGAGATTTTAGGAAGGTCCCGAGAAGCAACCGTCGTGCAAGATAGATAGAGCACATGCGAGTGACAGAAGGATTCGTCTCCAGACATTTGGAGAGAGAGATAGAGACGGTGGGACTAATGATCGGGGAATGAGATAGTGGGAGCGAATCTCGAAACTGCGGCCCCAAGGTTTCACTCGCTCGACCGAGTTGCGTGCGTGTGGGAGGGGAGGGGGAGGGGAGGTTCGGACAGAACGAACGCAGTGAGTGAAGGAAACGGAGGACATTGAAGCTCGTCCTCCAACGAGCTCCCGTCATCCATCCTGACCTCCTGCGCTGCACAAGGCAGAATGTCCAGAGCACATTGGACAGAGGCCGTTTCCGTTGTTCGGTTGTCTCGGAACTCCCTCTGATCGAGAATCAAATATCTCATCTCCTCCTCCTCTTGTGATCTGGTCCCCCCCACTATCTGAGGACTAGAACGTGAGATGGCACAAAAGTTGCAGCCCCTCAATTCGAACACCAGATGATCAGAGTCGAGCTAGCCAGTCCCAAATCTACCGCAGCGAGAGAGTAGTTGAAAACTCCAATGTCCCTAATCTCCCTAATCTCCCTAGAGCCAGAGCCGAGGAGCGCAAAGGTTGTCTGTCTCTCGACCCCAGACTGGCGTTGGGGAGGGTGGATGCACAGGCTAGGCTCTAGAGGCGATGGAGGAGGAGGAGGAGGAGGAGTCTGATGGATTTCTCACCTGCTTGGCCTTGAGCTGGGCTCTGCCTCGGCCGATCTGGAGGTGGGCGAGGAAAGGTGGGCCTGCGTGCTGGAATGATGGCTCGGGGAAGAGGAAATGATAGAGGGGGGAAATACTGTGGCTCCGATCACAGGCCCCCCGTCGGCCCCCCACGCGCAGGCGAGGAGAATCTTTGGCCGAGGCTTCGCTTTATCGCAGATCTATGGACGATGGATGGATGGCTGCTGGTCAGGGCCCGGGACCGGAGGAAGGACGAGGCAGGAGCTCGACGAGTTCGGTTGGGAGTCAGCGAAAGTCGAGAATGGCTCCCTCGGTAGAAACAAACAAAGTGGGAGTCCGGTGGAGGGCAGGGGGCGAGAGAGGGACAGGAGATAGAAGGCCAGAGAGAGAGAGAGAAGAATGCAAAGCAAGGTGAAAATGATTAGGTGCGAGAGGAGAGAGGAAGAGAATTTCGAACCGCCCATGGACTCGGGCCTGCTGCTCCTGCTCCTGCTGATGCTGCTGCTGCTGCTGCCCCTGCCTCTCCTGCTGCTGCTGCTGCTGGTGGCAGCGGCACTTCCGAAGGATGGTCGCTCTCTCTCTCTCTCTCTCTAAACAATCGAGTCCCCAATGAGTCTCCATTCCCTGGCCCGTACCCGCGAGCGAGAGGGGCGAAAGTCAAAAATATGATCCGAGTCAAACGGACAGAGAAGAGAGCGCATGATGGCAGACGCGAAGTTTCTCTTCTCTTCGCTTCGCTTCGCTTCGAGCGTCACACAGAGCGCCCGCAGGGGCCCCACACCTCTCGCCACACACACGTATGTGCTGCTGATGGATGGATGGCGGTCCGCTGGGGAATTTCCATGGGACTCATGAATGAATGATATGTTGGGTTGGGGGCTCTCTCTCTCTCTCTCTCTCTCTCTCTCTCGGAGCCACGGGGCGGATCGATGAGCGAGCGAGACGGTGACAGCTGCTCTCGAGCCCTCCATTGCCCCTTTGCACTTTTCATCATGCGGCAGCAGTCGGAGGATGAGGAAGAGGAGGAGGAGGAGGAAATCTCATGCTCCGGCCTTTCGAGCAATGACGGACTCCAGATTTCCATCCTTCCCGTCACCAGCACGAGACGATGGCCCTCGCGGAGGGCAGAGAGGCGGAGCAGCAGCAGCAGCAGCAGCAGCAGCAAAAGCATCGAGCAGACAAGGAGACAGATGGTGAACAATCGCCTGGTGCTCATGCCCAGCTTTATTCCGGAATATGTCTCGGGCGAGACAAAAGCCTTTTGAGGGCCGAGAACAATGTAAAAGGTGCGAGCAGCGCTGCGAGCCCATCGAACCAGCTACGGAGTTAGTTGGTTCGTTTTTATTCTCTTGTCGTGCTCGGGGCCAGATATTTTGTGGGTTGGGGCGCTTTTGAGCTCCATATCCATCTCCTCGTGTCAGAGCCTGTTTGTTGGTCATCGGCTTCTGCTCCAGAGCTTTCTCTCTCCCACAAACGGTTCTCGTCCCGCTTTTGCTCCCAACACTCTTCGATCGCTTGCCCATTATTTTATCTGATGCTCGGCTCTCGCTGTCCAGTAAAGCGAGCTCAACACGAAGAATCAAATCCAATCTCCGGATGAGGTTGTTCTCTCCCACATGATCACCGAGCTCGCCTGGTCGCCTCAAACACTGCCCTCTCTCGCATAGCCTCGTAGGATGCAGCTCTCGCACAAGAGGGGACATTTTTGGCCTTGTTCCTTTCATTCCTTACTGTCGAATGACTCCAATGGCTTGAATCATGAACCGAGCAAAAAATAAAATGAACTGAGCTTCCACTTTGCGTCCATTTTTTACCGCTCTATACCATCACTCTTGTGATTTTGCAGAGTTTTCCCGATTGTTACTGTTTTTATGACAAGGGAGATATAAATTTATCTAAAGAATTCGGAATTTGAACTCATTGTCGTGTGAACTCATCCCTCGAGGGAAGCCTATCACGCTTAGGCCTCGACCAAAGATGTCGTGGCCTGCAACCAAGTGCCCTGCAAGTCATCCTCACGGAGATGCAAAGTAGGAGGAACCTCGATTCCACTCTCTGGTCTACATCCTCCTGCCCACACTAGTTTCTGGTACATCCCCAAGTTGCGCATGGAGTAACGAACCTGGTGCCCACTCTTGCCAAAGAGTGAGGCTCAGCCCCAAATACTCTTTCGTGAGAGGAACGATTGAACCGCTGACAAGTGAACTCTTAACAAGCGGAAGTAATGAAGGGCATTCACTTCAGGATCTTAAGTTGAGAACGGACGTCTGGTGTGAAGAATTGACGTTCTGAAGCATCGAAGGACATGGTGATAGTGAATAAAGAAATAGGCTATGGGGTGGTCGAGGTTAGACATTTCAAGGGTTGGATCTTTATTTGACTAGAAGGGAAGAAGCATTGAAATCGGAAAGATACAATTACAAAACAAATAGTCATCATTCATAATAAAAGAGATGTAAAAGTAAGGTGGTTAGTGGCGAGGCGCACTGCACAAACTGCCCATTCCTACTCAGTGCAAGTAAACACCGAGAGTTACAAACAGTGTGAGTAAACTTTGAGGATGACCAACGTTTTACTGGGAGAAGCATGTAAGGTGATGAAGCAGATGCAAGGTGCAAGTTACTTGAAAGTAAAGGATCCAAGCTCGAATTTTCGAGTCTTAAGCTCGAGTCTCGTGGATGACTCTCAACTTGTCGAAACCAGAGGAACAAAGGGAGGATCCGTTCCAAAGGTTTGGGGAAGCGTACTGAGAAGGAAAAGGAAGTAGTTGGCAACAGCAAAGCCTCGACAGAAACGCCACTTTCGACAAGATTACGACATGTCCAGTGGAAAATTAAATCCGCAGAAGACTGGAACAGGGTGGATAATGAAGATCACAACACTGGACTCCACATCCAAGGCCTCGCTACTCCGTAATAACAGCGCTTTGAAGGCCAAAGAGTGAGTGAAGGCACAATGCTCAATCAGCAAGTCCACCATCTCCACAGTACCAGCCCTCTTGTGCTGTGGGTGGTGCTCTTCCACACCATTTGACACAGTCCCAGGCTCATTCACTCGCAGAGGACATGGTCAATGACTACCGTATCATTGACTCTCATGTTATTATTCAGGTGAAGTGAGGTGAGGTGATCTTACGTGATGTGATGTGATGACAGTGGCAGTGGCTTACGAACTTTACACCAGTGGAACAACTGCCATTCCCTCTCCTCCCGTCCCTCCAATTACTTACAAGCGCAGTACCTTACAATGCCACCGCTGCATAAACACTCAAGTACTCACTCACCAGTTCAGTCCTCCTATTAACCTCCATAGCACTGAATCTTCCCTTTATATTCTCCTTTCACTTCTCCTCCTCCTCCTCCTCCTGTTGCTGCTGCAGCTGCTGCAAACATCAAGTTCCTGATTGTACCACCCGAGATCTCATCCCTTTCCCGTAACTGGTTTAATTTAACAATAAATCGGGGCCTAGGACCACTACATGGTCTTGATATGGTCTTCCCTTCTCCGTTTTTTTTTTGTTTTCTACATGGCATGGTTCTGGTTTATTTTATGTTTCCAGGCCTATCACTTTCGGATATCTTCCTGTATGTTTGTCATGTTCTACGCCCTTACGTAAAGTTGTACCGTATGCAAGCCTCGCCCACAGGCTCTGCAATTTTCGTCACAGTCGTGAGGTTTGTCTGCTGACGCTCGCTCATGGCGAGCAATAGATGACGTCCTCGGCTCCATCATCTTCTTGTGTCGAGTCTTTGCGCTTGTCGAGTACGAGGGGAGGGGAGGGGAGAGCGAAAATGCTCGGAAGTGAGGGGAGCGCGGGCAGCGAGAGCGGCGACGTTGAATCCGGAGGAGAGGCGAGAAAGTGCGCGCTTGACTTTCCGAATCGACATCAGTAGGACATGATTTTCCCGGAGTCGTATGTTCCATACTTCGAGGTGCTCTTCGCTTTTTCCTTCGTATGCGTATCTGGCACACACCGAGATGACGTCGTCGCATATTTGTAGGCTCGTTAAAATATCAGATGCACCCCACCCTCCCCCCGCGACAATCCCTATCGGTGATGAGTGCTGGCTGTCATCCGGCAACCCAGCGGATGTTTTCCTTTCGTCCGAGAAACTCAGCACGACTGCTCGAACATTGATCGAGAAATGGATAGAGAGAGAGAGAGAGGATACTTTCACATTTCTCGGATGGAGAAGATCTTCGAGTTGGACTGAACCTCAGCACGGAAAACAATGGACTTCGTGTATGCTCCTCCATCTTCATGTCATAGTTGTTGAGTAATCTTATGATTCCCATACCTTCCAAAGCATTTCCGCGTAGATCACCAAGATCAGGTGTAACAAACAATGCAGTCCCCCGATAGGTCTCTAAGAAGCCGGAAAGTGGCCAAGTGGGGGGGAAAAAAAGGATCGGGCTATTATTCTCTCCAATGAATAATAGCTGTTATAGTTTCACTATCTGTTATTTTGACTGAATAAAAGAAAACAAAGAAAACTCTGGACTTCCGGGAATATTCCCGGGTTTGGATTTAATGTTATGTTGGTCCAGGTCTAGGCCGGTTCAGACAATCCTTTTTAGATTATTGCCGACTAACAAATATAATATAATAATTATAATTTCGAGTCCATAATTTTTGTTAACATTGTAAAATATTTGTGCCATGCCATAGAAGCATAATTAGCTAACACAATAGTTTCACGATGAGAAATAAATACTTTAGCATTTACAATATGCAATCTATTAAATCAAACGATCCACAAAGAAAAGTTGATGTGATTGTGATTATATGTATAGCACTGGTAGGTGAGCAATGAAAATATACTAGTTTGAATTATAAATTATAAATTATGACCTGTGAATGTTTGAATATTTATGTATTTTTCATGTTAGGGTAACGATCAGCTCGACTCTATACATCCCTTGGATACTAATTAATTTTCATACTAGTACCGTGTAAAACTAACATAATCGCACACATTGTGAAAGCCGAAACAACAATATCTAGACATATACGAAAGTCATGAGAAGCAATCGATGGATGCGAGGAAGATGAAAACAGTGCTCGGATGTTATGATATCCAGCAGGGGTTGAGAGGTCACGTCGGGCTCGATGGAGACGAGCGTATTTAGTCTGGAGCAAAAGCCCTGTAGGCCTTAAATGGGCGAGTAAATCGACCACAGACAGAGCGAAGGGCGATGGCATTGGCTCGAGGAGGTACAGCCGAGTAATGGAAGGCAATGATGGACGCAGAAGAAAAGGGCCGACGAAAGGCCAGCGGTAGGCGTAAGCAATGAAGCCATGTACACTTTCGACGCTCGCCCATTAGTACACTACGTACATTACAACTGTACAGTAGCGCGTGTACTTCGCCAGGACCTACTCTACTCTACTCTACTCTACTCTACTCTATTCTACTATACTCTTGCGCCTACGCCACGTTGGTCCACCCTTTGCCTCTCTCGCGGGCCACGCGTGCTCCCTTCTCCTTCCATTTCTTCTTGGGGAAAAAACATTTCCCATGGTTTTTTTTATTTTTGGGGTCTCACGAGGCATGTTCATGATGAGATTGGGATGACGACTGTTAAATCACCCAGCCGCACCGCCTTGTGTCTACTCGCTTTCGATCCAACGACTGCTGATCTTAATCTTTTAAGGTTTTTTTCTGCATGTGCAGATTTGATACGTAACTTTGATTTGGCAAGCACATGTTTCAATTAGTAGTTCACCGTTGTTTTGAGATGATTTCTAACCAAGCGGAGATAAAAATCATTTCGTTTCAAGCTTTCTTCTGCATAAACTGGGATGTGCCTCTCGAGGTCGACAGCAGCATCCCTCTTCTTACTTTTGAGATGATTCAAAAAAAATTAATTTAACGACTCACATCAGATACCGGTATCATAACGATAAAATCATGTAAGCCTTTTCATCTTGGAAATCTTCCACGTTACTTCGGCCTGATTTCAATCATTTGGATAAATTGTGCTTTCAAATAAGATAATGGTCATGTCTTTATATTCGGCTCTTCTTATTAGTTAGTCAGACTCCTCTTTGACCATAATAAACTACAATTTGCTTAGCCAACTACTTAATAGTATAATCTTTATATGCAGCTAAACATTAACACGGCACTTCAACCGAAGAGATTTTATTCAAAGTGAAGGATGAAAGAGGGTGAGTTGTTTTATTGGAGGGGAGAACACTGCGTTTGCAGATTTGCTTGGCAAATCAGGTCAGGTCAACAATAATTAGTGTATATTTTAAGCGGATAACTATAATATTTTTCCCGAAGATTAAATTGAATCTCTGAATACCGCAGTTCTGCATTCTTCAGTGCTGCGTATAAGCCACGTCCATCCATGGAAAGTAAAATATACGGAAAAGCAGCACGATATGATAAAGGGGATAAAGTTCGCCTAGATTTGTAACAAAGGAAGGAGATACAACACTTTGAATCTGCATGAATCTCTCCGAGTCGTTTGTGCGCCTATCATTTAGTACTCTCACAAAAGATTTTGTACAAGCCTACCATGAGAAGAGTGGAAAGAGTATTTCTATATCATGAAATCAGATCCTCAAAGAAGTAGATTGAAACATACATGCCTATAAAAAGATTCACAATTTTTCGGGCGTTCATTTGGCAGTTATTTCCAAGACTTATATGTAGAAGTGTCATCACGAACTCGCCAATAAAATTAACAGCTGATTCGTGTAAATAAAAGTGCGTTAAGTGCGTACCTACATGTACAAATTCCCACGAATTTGAAGTTAATCGTTTACATTATCTTGAAAGTATATTAAGTTCAATTTTTTTTTATGTATGATATTTATAAGATTTATATCATATTTTTGACTATCTCTTTCCTCAGATAGCTGAGAGACCCATTCCTTGAACTAGTGAGTGAGCAAGATATGCGTAAGATGGGAGGGCTTGTCTTGATTTTTCTGCATTTGTTTTGTTGATCAGCCATGAATGGTCATTGTTTTGGAAAAAACAGAACAAAGGTTGCCTTTCAAGTACCCACAGGTGTTTTACTGCCCTTCAACTTTTGGAGAGGAAAGACTTGTTTCACACGTAGCATTGTTAGAGTCTTCGGTCATGTTTATAACCTATATCATGAGTTTCGTGAACATACATTGCTCTCGATGTAATATTCAAGATAAACCAACGAGGTGCCAGATGAGATAATTTTTAACATATACATATTATTTATCATTATACATAAAATATTCTAAAAACCAAAATATATTTAACATGCTTTTATCAAGTTTCTGATTATTTTCTAAGTTTCTACTTGCACGCAGCTAAAGAAAGAAATAAGATCCAAAATGGAAGTGTACCTATGAGAAAAATCATTGTTGTTTTTCAAGAATTAATAGTCAAACAATGAGTATTAAAAGAAAGAGAAGTACGTGTAAAGGTATCAACGTAATATACATGTTATGTAAGAATTATTATATGTAAACTATCAGAAAAAAACACAACAAATAATTTCAATCATGTACACTTTCCGTCAAACGGACTGACAGGGAAGTGTAGATAGGGCTGGAGTTCAAGAATCATGAGGAGTGCAGGAGTAGCTTAGACAACGTATTTGAAGCGTTGCTCCAACATATCAAAGGCTAATTGCAAAATGTATGTTCTACGTCTGGCGGTCTCCGTGATGCACTGCGTCATGGATCCGGACAGACAATGTGAGAGAAAGCTCCATGTGCTTAGCCACATGTGCCAATTAATGACTCGCCTTCAAACTGTACCTCCCCAGGTGCAACTTATTCTCCAGGTTAATGTAAACAAACCTTGAGAGAGCAACTGTCCGTCAACTGACAGCATTGTTATGTCGTTTGGGAATTCCCACAATGTCTGACCGTAGGATTGGCCGTAGGTGACCACGAAACCTTTGGCCAACTACGTTGTTTAGAAAACATCAACAGCACTCGGAATGCCCTCAAGACACTTTCATACTTGAGCAGGGTTCAGACTTGTAGCTGTCTTGAAATGGACCCGGGGACTTGAAGTCCCCGGGTCCATTTCAGCCCACAAGACTTCAGCCCAACTGAAGTCTTGTGGATCTTGCCTCACTCTGCCTTCCCCTATCTCTACAGTCCTTGGAAGAGCCAGGATGCCCTGAGCCAAAAGCCCTTGCAACAATTACGGGAAGCAAGAATAAGAGATTCTAGCTGGATCCTTACGAAAAGAAGAAGAAGAAGAAGAGAGGGATCACGGCCATAAAAATTTCACTGGATTACGACTCCATACAGGGGAAAAAAGGGATATCAGTTTTCTTTCTCTCTGTGTGAAGTCTTTTGAAGATAAGTTGAACGAGAAAGCATTCTCTGGTAGCTCGAATGGATCACATTGAGGGACTAATGTGATCCATTAATGAGCCGTATATAATACAATACAAATTTCATCTAATTTGGGCTACATTGAATTTACGATGTTTCTTAGCGTCTACTGATATACATCCTATTATTCTGATTCTGATTTCATTCTACCACCAACGGTTTCTCTCTTGGTTACTTTAGTGTTCTATTTTAGACTCGTTTGTACACGGAGGTCGGGAATAATAAGTTTGCAGCTCCCACTTCTTTGGATCTGTGAAGCGTTTGGACAAGGGTCTCGCACATGTTTCATGTGCACCAGAACAAGAAGGTGGTCATAGGCCGGCAAACATGCTATTTTAAGTGAAAGACCAATAGATTGTCAAGACATCTATTCCCTCAATTATTCGATGGGAGGAATTACGTGAGATTCTGACTTCCTACCGAAGAAGGACACAGAAGCGTCCAGGGTTTGAATCAGTTGCATCACTTCCTGCTACTAAATAGATCATGTTTCTGATTTTTGTATGTTCCGGAAGAGGATGGTTTTGTCTTCACAGCATCCAGTTCATACACAGAACATTATTGGAAAGAACATCAAACCACAATCATTTTCCTTGTTTGTCCAGCAGCAACAATTTCCAACTTAACACGTTTCCATCACTTTTCCTGCGCAAATACATTAACGAGCCACAAGGAGTCAAAATCTACAAAAGTTACCAGGTATATCAGTACGAGTTTGATGATGGACAGACACGTATCATAATACTGCTGGTCATGGCTGGTCCACTAAGTGCGAATGAACTACACATTAGTAAAAAACGGTGAAAAGAATCTGATCGAAAACATGATTAAAATCTGATTCCGTGGAAGCCATTGAGTAAAGTCCCACAAAGGTACTACGTACTCTCTGGCCACTACAAGATATGGGGCCACTTGGTTGGAATGTTGCGACTTTAACTCGGAAAAAAAGCACGAAGTGAGTCGCGAAATTTCTTCCTTTTAATCGTGGTACCCCATTTCATAATGTGGTAAAAGGAAAAACAATCTCGACTGATTTATTCACTTTCCCGGAGCAGAGCGCAAATCGGGAAGCCATGGCTCGTAAGAAACAGATGCTTCTGGGGACATGTTCAATTTCAATGGACAGCCCGAACACCCGAAAGGCACCTTGACCGCATACTCACGGGTCATGTGCATTCATTCTGCCTTGCGTTGCATCACTCCAATCCAATCCTGTGGCCTATGGAAGAAAGCTCGAACCAGGTTGGCCGTCTATGGCATGGCACTTTCCAGTTCATGCACAAGATATAGCATGCAATAAAAAAAGGCGTGGAACGAAGAGCCATGGTAGAGGAAATCAAACGACGTCGTTGTTTCTTCCGCGACTTCTTTTCTTTCCTCCACTCACGTACTCCCGAAATTCGTGTTTTGGATTTTTCATTATGATGTGACGCTAATCAGCCGACCCGATCAAAGCAAACACCGCTCCTGTCCGAAGGTTTCATGTCGCTCGTCCTCAGCGCATTATGCCCAGCAAGACTTGCGCCTCATTAACTGGATCCCGCAACCCGAAGCGTTTTACTTTCCGCTGCTCGGCGTCGTCCCCTACCGAGCCCTAAGTCTAGCCAGGCCCTAGGCCGTCCCGGGATGGCAGTCTTCGGATCACACCACATCATTCCCTCGCCTCGCTCCCTGCTCGGTACTGCAGTCGGGGTGGGGGGCAAAATTGGAAAAAGTCTCCATTCTTTGTCGGGAGAACTCGTCAATATGGTAGTTACTGAAAACAGAAAGAGCCTCGAGGATCGGACGGATCGTGGAGCTCGCAGCTGGCACACATGGGGATCGAGATAATCGGAGGAGGAGGGAGGGAGGGTGCGCGATGATGGAGGAGGATCGGGGCCGAGGGGCTGCAGGCAGGCAGAGGCAGAGGCAGAGGCAATGGCAGGCAGGCATTCAAACGAGTAGAGGAGCGATCCGGACATTAGCGCAGCGCTGAATAAAAGCCGGGAGATTTGTCGGGTGTCCGGAAATCTCACCTCTCGATCGATGCCGATCGTGCACCGAGCTGCCAAGTCGTGCTTAATTAATCGCCAGGCGAAACCTGTCGTGACCCTCGCTAATCGTGGCCGCCTGCTGCTGCTGCTGCTGCCGCAAGGCGGGAATTTTTCCTTTCAAGGGGAGAGAGAAAGCCTTCCGAACGACGACGGTCACGACGGGGAAGCTCGTCGTCTGACAGGCGACGGTATGAGACCGCCAGCGCTCGAGGCTACGACGACCGACACAAAGTCGTAAGAAACGTGGGGGGCCGGCTCGGCCCACGACGACGGGAGGATCTTCCGGCGCGCGATACAGACAAGGAGTCGCGGGACTGACGCGCGGCAGCGAGCGCGCGACCGTTCGCCTTCCACGAATCAATTGCTCGAATCGCCGAGGCCGATATTAAAATGCACCGATCCCTCCCCCCCCCCCCGCCACGATTCGCCCGAGCAGGAAAGGGCTTTTAATCCCCCCCGACTCCGGGTTTCGCGTCGCGGGGGGGGGGGGGGGGGGGGGGGGGAGAGCTTAGCTTGTGGATCGAGGGGAGGTCACGGGTGGGGCCGGCAACGGTAATTAACGGCGGCTCCAGGTCATACCCGGCTGGCCGCTAGTCTCACGTGCCTGCCCGCTTACCTGTCCTGGCTTTCGGTCGCTGCAGGGGCGAGGCTCGGGCCCCACCCGCGGATCGGCCCGGGCCCTCCCCTCCGCGGCGGTCGCAGCCGAAGCGTCGCGCAGCGCAGCGGAGGGGGCGAGAGAGAGAGAGAGAGAGAGAGGGGCATTGACTGCCGTCGTGTGCAGCGAGCGGGGCGAACGAGCGAGTTGCGAGTGAAGTGAAGTCAGTGGCAGCGAGCGAGGGAAGGGAAGGGGAGAGAAGAGAAGAGACGAGAGGAGAGGAGACGAGAGCTGGGGTGGGGGTTGAGCTGAGCTGAGCTGGGTTGGGTAGAGGGAGGGAGGAGCTGAGCTACTAGTAGTAGAGAGGGCTTGATGAGATGAGCCGGGCCGAGAGAGAGAGAGGGCTGGAGCGGGGAGATCAAAAGCAACCTGGGCCCTGCCTGGCGCAGTGCGCATGCTGGAGCTGGAGCTGGAGCTGGATCCACTCGAGTTCGTTCCCACCTTAACTGCAGATCGGCAGCAAATCAGCAGACCGCGAAGCTTGTCCTCCTCGCTGCCACCACTACTGCTGCACTTGGCCCTTTTCGCCTCGCCTCACCTCCTTCACGTCCGTCTATTAACACTGTCCAGGCAGGCACCCTGGCTGGCTGGAGTTTCCCTCCCCTTGCCTGCCTCCCTGCCTGCCCGCCCGCCCGCCCGCCCTCCCCTTCTCTTCCCTCCCTCGCTCCCTCCCTCGCTCCCTCTCATCAGCCCTTGCAGATCATCACTCGCCTCCCTCCCTCCCTCCCTCTCCTTCTCCCCTGCTTGTCCGCCTCCGCATTTCCCTGCTGCAGCTTTGCTTTCCCCATTCTCATCCGATTCTGTGCACACTCCCGTCGCTGTTGCTTGTCGTGAGTGTATAGGACTTTTCTCCCATCCCTGTGTACGCTCCACTGTACTAAGGGCTGTGCCAGGCCCGCATTCTCCTTCTCTTCACCTCCTCTAAGCTCACTCGAGCGCCCTCTCTTCTTTCCTCTCCTCTCCCCTCCCCACCCGTCCCCTCCCATCCCTGCCTCTCCATCTCATCCCCTCTCGGCCGGCGAGTCTGTAGTGTCAGGAAAGTGGTAGCGCTCGAGCGCTCGCCTGTTCGTTCGTTCGTTCTCCGCCCTGCCTGCATTTTGCGAGCTCTGCAGCATTTTGGCCTGGGCTTGCTTGCGTCGGGGCTGGACTGGACCCGAGTTCGTATCATCCCAGAGGGCTGGGTTGCGCTCGCTGTCCGGTCCGAACTAGTCGGCATTGTCTCGGATTTTTTCTCGGCAGGTTTGCTGTCTACCCCTCGACGGGGAAATTGGAGCTGCAGCAGTTTAGCGCAGTGCAGGGAATGTGCTGGGCTCTCTCGCCTCTGAAGCTCGTGTCGTCTAGTCCCACTCTGGCTCGACGCGAGCTCTCACTCTTCTCATGAGCTCGTGCGCGGCGGAGCTCGAAGGTGGAAACTGCAGTTCTAGAGCGGTGGGCGTTCAGACGGGTTTCCTCTGCGCATGTACATGAATTCATCTGCACTGGAGCTCATCTCGCGCTCTCGGTCGGTCTGCTCCAGCAGGTAGAGCGCGCAGGAGCGGGAGGGCGGCCGGGCGCACTCGGACAGTGGCATTGGCATTGGCAGTGGCAGTGGCAGGTTTGCGATCGAGGGGCTCGGTATGGCGTCCGGCAAGCGGAGGAATTCAGAGATCCTGTGGAGTAGTGTAGGTGTAGCTCTTTCGACCCTGGTGGTGCTGCTGGTTCTGGCGCCGGCATTGGCCGCAGGAAACGAGAATGCGCAGGAGCGCGCATTCCCGGAAGCCAATGGACGATCCCCCGTAGTCATCCAGCTGCACCCGAAGCACGCTGCCGGCAGAGTGCACACGCCGCTGCAGGCCACGGCGGTGGAGCTCGTGGACACGCGGGCGCCACAGAGGAAATCCTCTTCGCTCGACAGGAAATTGCTGGCGGGCATCGAGAGGGAAGCAGAGCGCGAGGAGTCGCTTTCGCTGATCGTGGAGATGGTGCACAAGAGCCACCCGAAGGCGCCGACGCACAAGCGCCGACTGACGCAGCACGAGCACGTGCACGAGAGGATCCTGGCGGACGCGAAGCGCGTGAAGGAGCTGAAGAAGGAGCTGCACGCGAAGATCTCCATGGGCGTGCCGGACCTGAGCGCCGTGGCGGACGCAGCCAAGTACGATTTCCTGACGCCGGTGGTGTCGGGGTTCACGCTCGGATCGGGGCAATACTTCGTGGACTTCTACCTGGGCACGCCGCCGCAGAAGTTCTCGCTCATCGCCGACACCGGCAGCGACCTGATCTGGGTGCAGTGCCCGCCGTGCGTCTCGTGCTACTCGCAGATCGGGCCCATCTTCGCGCCCCAGGATTCCTCGACCTACGCGCCGCTCTCGTGCGTGGCCGACGAGTGCCAGATGATCCCGGCGCCGCTCAACTTCACCTGCAGCGCCGAGGCGCCGGTCGATTGCGCCTACGCCTACTCGTACGCCGACCAGTCCATCACCGAGGGCGTGTTCTCGACCGACACCGCCACCATGAACGTGAGCAAGGACGGCCAGACCGTGCGCATCAGCAATGTCGCCTTCGGCTGCGGCAACTTCAATGTCGGCCCGTCGCTCAAGGGCGCAGGCGGGGTGATCGGCCTGGGCCAGGGCCCGACGTCCTTCACGTCGCAGATCGGCGCCTACTTCGGCAACAAATTCTCCTACTGCCTGGTCGACTACCTCGACGCGACGAGCATCACGAGCACGCTGGTGTTCGGCGAGGCGGGCAAGCGCGCCAAGGAGCAGGCGCAGTACACGCCCTTCGTGCAGAACCCGAATTCGCCCACCTTCTACTACGTGGGCGTCAAGTGCGTGAGCGTGGGCGGGCGCGAGCTCGACATCCACCCGCAGGTGTGGGAGATCACGGAGCTCGGCGATGGCGGCAGCATCTTCGACTCGGGCACGTCGCTCACGGTGTTCCTGGAGCCGGCGTACCTGGTGATCCTGAACGCGTTCCAGACGCACATCTGCCCGACCTACACGCGCGTGCCGGCGCTGCAGGGCCTGGACCTGTGCTTCAGCACCGAGCGCTACGAGGACGACCCCTTCGCCAAGCTGCCAGCCTTCTCCGTCACATTCCAGAATGGCGCCGTCTTCAGCCCGCCGCCGCAGAATGTGTACGTGGAGGTGGCCGAGAACACCATGTGCCTGGCCATGCAGGGCTCGTCGTCGCCCTTCGGCTTCAACATCTTCGGCAACCTGATCCAGCAGAATTTCGAGGTCGCCTACGACCGCCAGAAGCAGCGCCTGGGATTCGCGCCCGCCGACTGCTGATCCCCCACCCCCCTAGGACCTCTTATTAGCAGCAGCAGCGGCAGCCGCTTCAGCTCCGGCTCGAGCTCAAGCTCCAGCTCCAGCTCCAGCGCTTAATCCAAGCACTCGACGGGTCTCCGGCGATGGTCCGAGGCCCACTCTTAATTCAACTTGAAAATTGAACCCGGCCGGGGCCGACGGGCCGACGGCCCGATCGCGCTCTCTCCTTCTGCTTCTTTTTCTCCATCGCTCTCGCTCTCTCTCTTCCTCGCCCGGAGGAGGAGGAGGATTCTCGGCTGGCGCTGGGCTTTTTGGGAGGGGGATGGGGATGGGGAGGGGTGGGGGAGGAGGAGGGCTTGTGTGTGCCGATCGCTCTCTCCTGGCGCAGGAGAGCATTGTGTCTCAGACAAGGGCCGTGGGCCAGCATTTGCCCGACTGTGCTCCGGGGGGTGACCAGTGCCAGTGACAGTGAGTGAGATTCACCGCGCACGCACGCACACGAAGCGAGCGGGCGGACATCAGGCCGCAATTTGCCAAGGTGTCCGTCCGCCCACCACCATCATATGGATTGTTACATTTGTGATTGTACATTGAACTCTCAATTCTTCCAGTGCTGACGTTCATGGGGCTCCTTCGTGTCAATATGCGGGGAGAGCACGCTCGGTTCGAATGGCGCTGTCCACCTTTGTTTGCTATGAATAAAATTTCACCTGCATGTTTGTGATTGTTGTGAAACTTCCGTCGTGCCCGGATTTTCTCTTCTCGTTTCATTCGTTTCGTGCCCCCTGCATGCCCTGGTCCATCGAGGCTCTCCTCAATTGCTGTCACCTTCTCCCCGAGTCTGGATGCAAACTCTCTGTCCTCGCTGCATGTCCACTCCTCCCGTGACGCCATGACACACACATTTTCTGTGAAGAACGAGCGACCGTGAAGCTGGCCGGCCATCCATCGAGTAGCGGCGAGCGCGCAGGAATCACGCATGGCGCCGGAATGTCAGTCACAGGGAAGAGCAGGAAACAGAGAAGGGTGTCGAGCGCTTTTGGTAACTGAGGACAGGTGCGAATGAATGGCCGCCCTCCCGGGAAAATCGATACTGACGTGCAATGGCGGAGGCGGTTTTGGGGGTGCACTCGGAAAATCCGCCAGTGAAATTTCCAATACCCCGAGCCTGAGTTTCGTCTGGCGGAAGTGGTGCGAACGTGTGAGTTGTGCCATTGCTATCGTTCTCATGGAAACATCTCTCAGTGCCGCTTTGGGTGCAATGTCCAGAGAGTAATAACGAGGAACAACGAGCACGCCACTTTGACCAATTCCAGCCTTCCAGTGGTGAGAAACGGGGAATGAGAATCGACAAAGAAGCCACGGCAGGAAAGGAAAGGAAATCAAGAAATTGAGAATTGGGCATTCAAGCACATGGTTCCATTCAGGAACGAACAAGGATCTTCCTGCCTTCCGTGTCTTTCGATGGAAATGATTCTCTCTGACACCCAGGAAAACACTAAACGGTTACCAAAAGCGACACCGATTTAGTATGGGAAATCTGTCTTCGAATTAATGCCATTAAAGCGTTCGTAGTATCAGATGTTCAGAACCATCTTGTCCCGTAGGTTGTTCAAAGCTGCCTGCCTACCACTGCAACAATGCCTACACCGCTTTGATTGTCAAATCTATCCGATTGAATCTCGTTCAAATCTGCGGTTGGTGTTATGGCGGTCGTACTCGCGTATCGTCCGACAGTCCTCAGGATAGAGCTTTCTACGAACCTTAGGCGAAGGGTCGTCTGGCCCAGCAACAGAAAATCGCAACAGTCAAATCATTGCTGGTTAATTGTCGATGACCCATTCCTACTCAAACAGGAAACGAGGCGAAAATGACATTTGGACCGGGGGGGGACAAAATGTTCCCCTCGAAGATGAAGTCCCACAGCTTATCTACAAGTGGTTCCAGTGTCTCTAAAGCTTCGTATATCGCAACCATTGCCGCAATTGCTCACCTGGAAGACTTCTCGGGACCCTGCGAAAGAAACTCGCTCGTGGATAGACTTGCACTCGCATTACACGCTGCGTCTGGACCAGTCCACAAGCAAGGAAATTCGATGGCCCACACCTGGAAAAAGAATCGACCAGAGACATCTGCCATGCCTGCCTGATCCGATCGCACAGTCCCGAGTAGCAGCGGCAGGCAGGACGAGGTAGGGACTTAAATGACAAGGTGACAGAAGAGGGACATTTGGAGCGGGGAAGCGTGAGAATGTTGGCTTCCTCGCACGGCCGAGACCCTCGGACGCAGCCTAGGACTCGCGCAAGGGTTTAGGGTTCTGTGTCGATGGTGCGCTCTGGCAGGCGCAATCGAGCTCTGAGGCTCTGAAGCCTGAGCTCTGGCTGCCATTGCTCCATTGCTCCCGAGTTTCAGGTAGAGTCCCCCCCCCCAGTAGCGTTGTTGTTCGTTTGTACAGTTTGCATGCATTTAACGAGCGACCGTGCCTGACCGGCCGGCACCGCCAGCCCGGCCGCACGCACGAGACCGTGTCGAGGAATCCGTGGGCTCCGTGGGCTCGGTCTCGAGGCACTACTTGATGCGAGCCTACGCTGTTCAAAACCTTATTCTACTGCTCTCTGATCCGTCGAGTTCGAGCTCTCAGAACATTCACACCCCCACGCCAGTGAATCTCAATAATTCATACCTTTTCGTTTCCACCTCCTCGGTGCCTCGATCCAGAGGCAGTCGGATTCAATCTCGCATGGCTTTATCAGATTTACACGACCTTTCCGACCAAATCAGCTACTGTCGATCACGCTTATGCGTGACGTGTGAAATCAATCTGGTCGATGTGCTTACATGATGATAACTGTGCTTTGCCTTCTCCATAAGGGCAAAAGGGTACTGTCACGGAGTTATTCTCTTGCGTTTAACTGCAGAACGAGGGGTAAATAAAGTATTGAAACGATCTGATTCGTAGACAACAATATAGTGATCACTTCGAGGACTGAATATGTGATAGTTAATACTCTGGTGTAAATTCTTCAAAGTTCATACGTACGTTAAAGTGTTCATTCGCGCTGAAATTGATTTAAGGTTTGGAAAGAATACATCATGGTGGTAAACTCAAACATATACACATTACATGTCCAAAGTCATCAAATTTGTTTCGTTTTCATTAGATATGCAATGAAGAAAGAAAAATTTGTACAGAGTAACATGAAGTTATAGTAACCCTTCTTTCTTCCACGAGCACCCTTATTACTTTGAAAAGTAAATACATTTCTATTTAAGATCATGTATTCAAATTCAATGTAGATTCAACGCGTTAATTTTCTTGGCTTGGAAAGCTTGGGTTTGAGTTTCGATCTCCGTTGATTTCTATTTAAACAAAAAAAGTTCAGGTTTCAAGTTCGAGATAAATTTGCCAGTAATAGAACAGAAAGCCTAATTTCATCTTTGACCAGCTACTTTCATATAACGAGATATTGGAAGCCCTTTTAAAATATTCTTAATCTCCTGATATATTACTTCTAGATCTTTCATTCATTCCGTACATTTGCAGAGACATTTTTCTAAGGATGCTCCACGCAAGCAAGATCCGAGCGAGAATCCTCATTGCTCTTTTACTTTGTGTTTACCTTATTAACTAGACTCAAAAATACATCTATCATACAGATAAAACACGGCATCTTATGGTAACATGTTTGCAATAACCTGTAATATCAATGATATTTTGAAGATATTTTTATTTGTAAATTATTAAATTTCAAGGTTACTTCCCAAATCATTTCTCCACAAATAAACTACTGATCAAACCTCCAGTAAGTGTTTTGCTTGAGAAATTTGTGAACAGCCTGAAATTTGCAGAATTCAAAAGAACAAAATACATTATGCTGTTATAGGACGCAGTATTTTACTGAATTCGGAGAAAGAATAGCATTGGGAATGCTCTCTAAAGAAGTCTGCATTGTGGTTCATCGATTGGATACTCAAGTGCTGATAATGTAAACTCCGAGAAATATAGCAAACAGGATGAGAATACACCATCATGTCGTACAGGGATGGATATTGTTATCATGGACTAACCGTATACTTTGTTGATGATTACATTCAGATATCAGACCGATGCATTTGAAAATGGAATAAGAAAAAGCCTACTAGAAGCTAGGCTCATAGGTGAAGTTTCTCTGTAGTTTCAAAGCTCCCACATTACTTCTGAACAGCAGGTTCCAATGTTTCCAGTCTTATTCATTTCCATGATCGCGCGACATAACTTGGATCCAAAATCTACAATCCTGGTTTATGAGTCCATGCCTGCACGCAATCATTATTGGTTCCTATCCAACCCGAATCCCTTTGCCTCTTTTCATGATTTTAATCACAGAGTACTGAATTTATTATCCTGTTTGAATGGAGATGTAATGTCCACCAGGGAAGTGAAAACGAAATTATTACTGTATGTACACAGCCTTTGCCATGTCTAAAACATAAATGATATGTTGGCATGTCGTGTCAACAATACATCTATGAGTACGATGAGGAGGATGAGCATAGTGCTGACTTGCACACTGAGAGACGAGTTCCATTTGCTGCAATGCCAGCAAAGACTCCTTTCAAACATCTGTCAGTAAGGAAGAAGCAAGTAGTGTGGCACATTGTGCACCAAAATGACTTTCTGGAATAGAGAGTTTGAAGGAAATATAAATTGATGCATGGGAGTGGATGTAATGCTTTTACATTGCATAAAGAAACTATGTTCCCATAGATAAACGGATAACTCTATCGGGAGTTCAGTACTGAATATTACTTTTGCCTCCATGATAAATTTGGGATGAAAACGTGTCGATAGAGTTATAGATTTAGGGTTAAACAAATGGAACCATGGAAAAGAACACAACACATTGAATATCGTGTGAATCTATCATGTGAATGTTGAAAACTTTTTCTTTTGAAACGTAGTTGTAAGTTATATGTAGATAAAGCATCTAACCTTTCTACCTACTTTCGAACTACCCTTGAGCTTCTGGTTGTAAAATTCAAACCAAATGATGGAGAGAACGTTTTGATGTTGATTTTCTTTTTTCTTCAACTGAGGAGATATAAACTCATTGCACTATGTATGCGTGCAAACCAGAAAGTATCGGACATTTTCAAAATGCCTGTAACATCACAGCTTCTAATATGCACCAAATTCTGAACTTACCTTTCGATTACTATATATCTTTAACCGGACCTTGTACACACCATAACTCTTGATTCTCAACGGCTACTAGAGTAAAGAATATGGGAGAAATTAGCCATTCAACAAATTTGTGCACAATTGCTCTGCCAGAAGATCGCAAATGTATAAACTTATGCTAAACCACATATTTTGAAGAAAGAAATGCTTTACACTTAAATATTAAGAGGCAAGGTCATTAGATTAGAGACGGAGGATGATCGAGGCATTTCAAAAGCATATGCAATATTGATCTAATTATCTCAAAAGTTTTCCCATACGCCGATGTTACACACTCTCATTAAATACATTGTGAATAGTGTTTGGATCCAATGAACATCTTTCTCGTTGTTCCTTGCATTCTAAAATCAGAAGTGCTAAACTGCTATCTTTTATGGTATGTTTCGATGTGACCACTGCAGACGAAGGTGATGTTAAAAAACCCTGAAACTTTTGTACCTCTTATCTGCTTGGTATGAGCTACCAAATATGCATTTCGGATGGATCCCGCTTTTGTTCATACCTCAGAAAATAAAATATTGTCGCAAGATATTGAGGCTCTTAACACAGGGCGATGGAGTCAAAATTCATAATCATAAAGGAGTTGTCTTAACAACGAATGCTTGAAGACCATATCTTCATTCATTTTCTTCCCTACTCTGTCATAAGACCAGCCCAATCTCTGAATCTCCCATGTTCGAACAGTCAACTGATTGTTTAACACACCCTACTTCTCGTCTGGCCATGTGGGATACTGTATCCTAAAGTTCGATCTTGGTTCAAATATGAAAGCTCACAATCAAACTATTTCGGCCTCCTATATAAAACTGGCTGTTCCTCCCAGCACTGCTAGCCTGCTTACTACTCATCAGTATTGAGTTTTCCAATTCCCACTCACGTGAATCAGAAGAGTAATCCAATCCATTATGAGGGTTAATCTGTGTCTTGAGTTGAATGGTTTAGACAAACACATCACACGCAATGGACCTGCCTTATTAACACACTAAAGTAGGAAAGCAGCAGGAGTGCAATGGTGGACACGATTATTTCTCCCTACCTGTGTGAAGGAATGTCACGGTTTTGTTGATGACAGATCGTCGTACTCTTCCAAGTTGCACATTTCATATTCTGGTTAGCTTGACGCAAAGAAGGTGCGGATCAAATTTGTGAATCGAACTTGACATAAACGGGGTTCCTTCAACAGACAAAAACCAATGAATACCACCCACGAATAGGTAGGCATGAACTGATTAGATTTTATTTCAAACTCAACTGGGCATTGATACATCCATACTACATGTAATAATTCTACTCACAATCCCTAGCAGATTGAATAGAGACGAAAATTTTGTAGAATGATATGAGCATGATTATTTATACAAGGTACATGTTCTCCTGCCATCAGGATATGGATATACTCCGCTTGACACATGATTGTTTATTTCAGTTCAAAATGCCATGCATAACACAAAAAATTCAGATTTGTGCTTCTGAAAAGAACACTATATGATGTGAAAAACAAACAAAAAAAGTTCCAACATAAAAATATGCGAAAAAAGGCCAGAGGCAGCAATTGGATAGAAAAGCTCATGGAGCAGTTCCGACATCGATCAGGACTGAACGGTGATCCAGGCATCTCTGATCCAACTCTCACCTAAGTATATTCAACCGGAAAGAGAACCAGATATAGCTATTTGTTTTCAGACTTTCTATACTCTAGGAGCACAATATACCGGAGAGCTTATTTGATATGTCAGGAATTATAGAACTCTAACCTAAACGAACTCTTCAGACCCTCACGACTGTCCATGAGTATATGTTGTTGCTGATTCCACATATACGAAGCTTAAGAATATGCTCGAAACCTGATCGTTTGCTACCCATCTGTGCAGTCTTTTAGTTTCAGCAGTTAAACAGTTTCAGAACCCAGTTGGAATCAATTACACAGTGGAATTTGACGCTTTGAAGCTGAGAATTGTAGTAGACGAAGCCTTTGTTCAACACTGCAAACCTGACTGCCTCTTTGAGACACGGTTATCAAAACTGGATACCCAAGAACTAAAATGCTTGGGCGCAGGTCGTAACAAGGAGTGGGGATTCCCGAGAGTTATCAACAGAGACGTATAATGGCTGGCTTAGAAGAAGGTACTTTACAATGGTTTGGCTGAGCCAAGCTCGCGTATGTAAGAAGAATCGAACACATACATCTTGATAAGGAACTACTATTGCCTTCTGATGACCTGAAGCTTACATGACAGAACTAAACTAAGCTGAAAGTTACTCCTCATCTCTCCTCATTTATGACTAGACTGCACCTTAGTGCACAAAAAGAATGTCTATTTTTTATGATCGTAAGAGTGGTAATTTGAAGGGCACTCCTCAAACTAAGGGAAATTTAAAACTAAGCCATGACCCTTACCAAGGGCTTCCGCCTATCAAACTTTGAATTCACTCAGAACAAATGTGTTGTTGCGAATATGGCACAGGGGGGCTGTATCAAACTAGAAATTGCCTAGAAATAAGTTGTATAAGTAATTTACAGAGCACTACTACAATCTACAGGTGCAAAGCCAAGTCGGGAATTACCCCTGTCATAAACGACATGGAAGTTTTGCTGTTGGAAATTCCCCACAATGTTGATATTCTTCGGACCCACTGATAGAAGAGCTAAGCAGTAGACCTCATCCTCTGGATCTGCTCTGATAAAATAATTTTGAAATGGAAGTTCCATAACGGCATCGCCCTCAAAGCGTACACTGAAAGCAGGAAAGTCAGGATTTTCCACTCCAGAAACGTTATAACAAATTTCCAGCACGGGCACTGAGCTTACCGACGGATAGGTGATCAATTCTTGAAACTTCTTGCTAATCAGATCGTAAGCCTCCTGCTTGAAATAGGTGAGAGTAGTCCCAGAGTCGATTATAGAGCCTCCGTAACCTTGGGCATCGATAGCCCAAACACTATCTGGTATGGGCAGAGACTCCCCTCCAACGCTGACCCCAGTTATATTTATATAGTAAAATGTATCCGTGGGAGTGTTCTTGAGAAACGGTGTCCACTGCATCTGATCCTCCAGCTTAGCGTAAACCGTATCTTCGCCAAAGACCAACGGAGACTTGACTTTCAAGGGATTATCTCGATCCACCAGACAGTATGAAAACCTGTTTTTGAATAGATCGCCTATCTGGGAAACAAACGAAATAGCCCCTTGTCCTAGACCTAGCAATCCACCAGATCCCTGGAAAAGTCCTATATTGCTATGACCACATCCAAAAAGAATTTGCTCAATCTGGAGAGGAGCACCTCCGCTCACATTGAAAGTGACAGTTTCAAGGGCATAATCTCCGGTGGTGTTGGACGAATCTCCATAGTAGTAGAAGTACTTGCACACGCCTGGCTTATCTGCATTACAACCACCCTCAGCATCTTCTCCAAACCCACCTGCAGAGACACAACTATTGGAATTGCAATGCAGGCCCTGGTAACTAGATGATCCATTGGGGCTGAAGAAGGGTCCTTGCTGGTGATAGCAGAGGTTGCAAGGATCGCACTGCACCCATGTCAGATCGCTACCCGTGTCGATAATCACAGAAATCGCTTTTGCCGACGTGCCTACATAAAAATCCATGAAATATTCTCCAGAGCCTAGATGAACTCCTGATCCCACAGTGGATTGAAAATTGTAAACGTTCTCTTCGGTGGTGGAGGTGGGTTTGGTAGCAGTCGTAGTATTGGGCCTCTTCTTTCCTCCCGGGTGCGTGATGTCCGGAAACGTGTCTCTTTCAGGAGCTCTGACTAATTCATTGGCGGGACGTGAGGAAGAAGACTCCGCCTCCCTGGAAAACCTTCGCACTCTCACTTGATCTCTTGCCAGTAACCGCTGCAATGCTTCTCTCGGATGTACGAATGGTTCTGAAGGATGGACGCTTCTGTGCGCCATAGTCAATCGAATTCCTTCCCGCCCTGCAAATCCCAAGCCCTCGCCTAGCCTTCGAGCCGTCACCGTTCGTCCATCAAATCCAGAATTCCCTGTTCGTTGTTGTGTGGCACGGAGAGCATCTACGGGGCCACAATCTTGACGAGCCGAGCTCAAAGACTGAAGTGGGATTCCTGGCAGAGAGCGAAATTCTTCAGTACAGGGCCGAGTTTCATCACACCTCGCCAGAACGCTCCAGGAGAAGGTAACTACCAGCATGAACTGGAACACCGGCCTCCGAGACAATCTTGTCAAATGACCCATGGCTTCGCCGCCCTTCGCTCCCCTGCTTGGCCTTCCAATTCTCCCTCTCCTCGAAATTTGGAACTCTTCCAGCCTCGGCACTTTGAACGCTTGACGGAGTCCAGTGTAGAGTGGGGAGAGTGGACTGACTTCCTGTGCGCAGCCCTCCCCTCCACCGATCCTGTAAAAGCTGCGAGCGAGCAGATGTGGCTCCGCAGCTGCTCTCTATGACGGAATTGACTTTCGTCGCAAGGTTTGGGCTGACTTCGATCCCTACGCTGTGATTCGCAGGCCACTCTGTGAATGGGTGGTTCTGCTGTATTGGGGGATCGGGATTTCGGTTCTAACCTAAAGGAATGGATTTCAAGAGCGGCTCCATGGGGCTCACCATCTGTCACGAGACGCAAGCCTCCGCGTCCATCGATCAAGTTCAAGGAACGAGCAGTGCTGAAACACAATTCAAAATTCCACGCAATGGTCAAATTCTCGACTCACATAGAGCAAGCTCTCTTCTCAGGGCGCTCAGTCCATCTGAAGCGAAGCTGGATGCATCCGAAAGAAACGAACGAATCCGAAACTTGTTGTTGGCAAGGAGTGTCTCCGCGCCGATTATTCTTCCGGCCCAATTGGCCACCCCAGGGACTCACTCGAGTGGTGATTATTAGTCCAAGCACCTCCAACTTGACTGCAGACCCCTTTGTGGCTCGGAAAGCTGGTTAGCTAGTCGGAATCCAGGCTGCAGCTCGGCACTTGCCCTCCAATCGCGTATCAATTCCCGTTCGTTTCTCGCGTGCAGCAAATTCTCTCACCTGCAAGTGAGCAGCGACATTCTCGTCTGCGGACTTTCCAGATGAAGCGTAGGAGGCGGCAGCAATCTAGGCCGGAACACGACAAGACATGTGAAGGGTGCGTGTGCCCCCGCTCTGGAACACAATACTCTTCCTGGTCCTACAACAAGAGGGTGCAAGGATGATCTTCGGACACTCGGACATGCACCTCAAATGCTTCACAGAACATGAGCTCACATTTGCCTGACATTCAGAGGAAGTATATCTCGAGAAAACTGGGATGGCACGGGCAAGACATAAAATAGAGTTGAATGATGGTGTCGCTGCCCAACTTGACCTCGATTGACAATCAGCCTCGGGCAAGCGTTCAAAGTCGTCGTGGGAAGTGAGAATTTGGGGAGAAGACAGAAAAAGGGTGAAAATCTACTCGAGGAACTCAAAAGGCGAGAATCAGCTCATAGATAAGGGGAAAGACTAATACGACCCGTGGGCTGCCTTCGTGATTGGAAAGACGTAAGGAGGTGCGCATGTCCAGCCGGATCGACGACCCATGAAGAGAGTGGACTGGACTGGATTGTCCGGCTGCGAGGCAAACGTCCGACGCACGGAGCTCGCCTCTCGCAAGTCAATGCCGACGGAGACCGACTTTCAGGACACTCGAACCTGCCATCAGAGTTCCCTGCAAACTGAGGGAAGTCATCATATAATAATATCTGCACTTTCATTAGTTGTCTGTCTGTTTCTGTCTTTTGCTTAAAAACAAGCTTCGCACCTCCCGCTCACTCTTGTCGTCCTGGCCCAACTTGGAGGACTATGGTCCAAGCCGACTCTTTCCACCGAGACTATGGCACCAAATACAGCAGCAGTCGATCTTCTCAGTTGCCTCTGATCCCCGATCCTTCTTTCCATATAAGCTCAGAATCATTCGTCCCTTCTGTCTGCTCGGAAGTCTGAGCCATTCTAGGAGTTCATGTTCCAATTCCTGAGAGATAGAGAGATGAGAGTGACTCCAGTTTTTGAGTAAGAACTGGGGACACAGACATGGAGTTGGATGGCGCTCTTCAGTACCCATCGAACAAGCGACGTCAATGTTATAAATGCTGGTGCCTGTGATGAGGTGAAGTGAAGAAGAGAGCAACAACGTCTAGTAGGGGTTATAGTGGGGATACAGTACTGTACTAGAAGTTGTTGTTGTTGTTGTTGTTTGGAGTCTGATTTCATGGGCATGCTTGGCTCAATCACCACATGAGATTCCTCAATGCCGGGCGCATCTTTTCCGTAAGGGGTCACATGCATTTCGAGATTTTGATAACGTGAAGCGTGAAAGATATTTGGCATGTGTGGAGATGACTTCTTTCCTCAACCCTCACGATGGCATCGACCAGCCAGTCTTAAAAATCTCTTTTGATAACGCTTGTGGCAAAGTGAACACGCAACTCACCCAACTCGCTCCACTCCCTTCTCTAATTGGATGGGGCATGGATCTCCCCGGTTTTCTGCTCAAAGAAAGATAAAGAATATATATATGCGTTTACAAAGGTCCTCACCTACATTACGCGGATCACACATTTCCACACAAAAAAAAGAGTCGAAATCAGTCATCAAAGGCTTCATACTGCACATGTAGATCAGTCAAAAAACCTCATCTGAGAAATCCCCGATTAATCTCCGCTGAGATTCAAATCTCAGAAATGATGGATTTCCGACAAATGACATATTAGTGTGTCTGCATGGCCCTACCACTATTCACCGCCACATCATCAGTGGTTTGCTCCAAATCCAGGCTCCTCTCCACTAGAATCTATGAAGATCGTCGAGTTTATCAAACTTTATCAGGCCAAAAATATTTGCCGCGTATATATTCACGAGTCAAGACCCTATTTTTTAACATGACCTTGAACCTCCTTGCACATCCTCGCCATTTTACGCCTAAGGTGCATATGGATGGCATCAGACTCTTTTGTTAACAATAATTTAGCAAAAGTATTTGTTTTATCAAACATTTACATCATGTCTCTAGATATCGGTATACATAAACAAGTGCAAGCTTGTATCCCGAATCCCGAAAATGATAAACAGTTATACAGTTTCATCTTTCCTACAAGATAAAGAGAACTGATTTTACAAATTAAATCACAAATCGTGTGCGTATGTAAGAAAGGAGTAGCTGCCGGGAAATATTTTCACTTCCAGCAAATCAACTTATTTATGTTCACACTTTTGTTGCCCCGTCAACGTCATAATAAGCACTGTTTCACGAACGTGGTCAACTTTGCATCAACTATAATTTCCGTGGTTAATGTAGTAACGTCTGAATGTGCTTCTGACGTGTATGTGTAACCTACCGTGCCAACCAGGTACTACGGTACAGTACTGTGCTGACGTGGATTAATATCAGGGAGACCTGAAGAAGACCCATCATATATCAGAGTCATAGTGCCCGGTTAGTGTTTGCCTGAATTCTTCACTGCTGGAGTGAACATTTCCATCAAAATCTGTTGGGCAAATCCAGCCAAAGAAAACTTGTGAACACTCCAAATCTCACAGAAGAATAGATTTCTTTCTAAAGTGAGCAAACATGTTACGTTGATGTCATACAACCCATCAATTTTCCAAGGTGTCTTTAAGTATAACATAAATGTCTCAACAATATTTTACCATATTTTCCTAGAGGGTTATGACTATCTTTCAAGTGTTTTGACACTTAACGTTGTACTTTGGATTTGCGCAATGTCATTCAGATGACATTTGGATTTTTGGATACTAGAGAAGTTGGAATAGCTTGACAAGAATTGGAACCACTTGGTAGGATTGTGCAAGACGATGGTATCCAACTTCTAAAGTTACCACAGTATACTTTTCTTGTTGCATAAACCCTACATGAAAATATGATAAATAGATCAAGCTCGTGGAACTCAAAGGGTCAAAAGGCTAAAAAACACAATAAAAACAATCCAACCCAAACAAAGCGAGAATCAAAAGAAACCCCTAGCTAGTGCCTAAAGCACTACAACAAAAACTAATAACATACCTCATAGCTAATCTAAATTATAAAGCTCAAGTTGTAATGAAGAATAAAAATTCTCAACAACAATTTTATGTTTCACTCTACTCTCTATATATCTAGTATAAGTAACAAAAACATGCTCTTCATACTCAACTTTTTTCCCATCATATAGCTTACAAATACGCTTACTCCTATCAATGTTCAACCAACTACCTTACTCAATACAATACTATGGGATATTGTTCCTACGCAAAGCAATAATATGACGTAAAGATGTAGAATTCTCCGCAAATAGGTATCTTTGTTCTCAATAAACAAGCATAGAATTTACATAAAGTTGATAAAACCCAATTTTAATGCATACTCTGCTCCAAATAATGCTGCAAAAAATTCTCCTTAATACGCTCGCCAAGGGCCCTAGGTGGCAAATTCCAATCAAGTTTTGTCACATTCCACCTCAAAGATCAAGTCATTACATCTGCAAACCATCCCTTGGAACGTGTGGCACACAAAGCTTGAAGAGAAAGCCGAGAAGCACCAAGAAATCTCACTATTCTAATGTAATTGATAGTCAAGAAGAAAGCTTCAACCTCAAGAGTTAAACAAACTATTTTTGCAAGAAGAATAACTTATAATGTTTGGAATTTCACATCCAATTATTTTGTAAGATCTTTTGCACCCTCTTCAAATGCTGGCAACTTGTCTTCTTACCACCTGAATCCTACACTTGTGTTCCATATAAGATAATTGGAAACACTAAGCTCATGAATGAAAATTTCCTAAAACTCCAAGATACTAAATAAGCTCCTCTACATCTATTTAACAATTAATATAGAGCTTTGAAACTAGCTTCTACTATCTTTTGCACACAAAATGTCCAACTATAATCGTGGGAGAATTCAATGCCTAAATATTTCTAACTCTTCATTTGTTCCAACTCTAATTCTTTGAAAAAGAAAGAAAGTTTGGATCTAAATTTCAGAAGAATGATTTTTGACTTTTCCAAATTCAATCCATCTAATTTTGAGTACAAAAGCTAGCCAAATTGTCAAGATGTTCTTTTTAACTGATGACATCACTTGCTAGTAATATGACATCATCTGCATACAAAAGAGTTTTGATGACAAAGACTCCAAGTTTGACACCTTCATTATCACAATCCTCTAACTACCATTTTATATCATCTATGGAGATTCCAAATAGAGTAAAAGAGAGAACAATCTTGAATTATTTTAATGGTACTCCAAATCTCTTCTGTTTGATAAGTGTTGATCTTGGCCCGAGCAGAGTGATATAATGTGGTTACAGCGGCTAAGAGATCTTATGGTACTCCAATGGTTTGCAATCAATTCCATAAAAATTCACGAGGTATTGTGTCAAAAGCTTTTTTGAAATCAATGAAGGCACAAAACAAATCTTTTCTATTCCATCGGACTTCTCCCATAAAACATGCAAAACAAAGATATGTTCTATAGAGTTGAATATATGACAAAAACCACCTTGGAACCACACTCTTTTTTGATTTTTCCATATATCTTGGCAAAAATACTACCATCATGTAAGTCCAATAGTTTGTCATCAAGTCCTTGCTTCCAGGTTTATGAATAGGAACAATCTTCTGTAGAGATCAAGTTAAAGTAAAATCATAGATTGTAGCAAACTCTAACACTTTAGTGAGTATAAATCTAATAGCATCTCATCCCCACTTGAGAAGTTCAATAAAAAGATAATCCAAATTCTCACATTTACCATTTGCCAATTTTCTAAGTTAAGTCATCACTTCAACTTCAGAACACAATTCAAATTTTCCTTCATAACGTGGTATAGATGCAACATTGGAATAAATATTTTATTTTTTAGCAAAAGAGATCAAAGATGTGGGATCAAGAGTAGGTTTGGAAGATTGTATCGCTAACCGCCTCCAAAAAGATTTGAAAATCTCTAGCAGCTCTCTTATTCTTTTGTCTCAAAAATAACTTAGAAGCCGAGTTTTTGAGCAACTCGGTTAATTGCGAACTAGATGTATATGGATTAGGCTCCAAGTAGTACAAGTCAAAAGGTATTGTAAATGTTGACTATAAAGTTCTTTCTTATTGGAATTTTAACAAAACTTGGGGGAAGCAACACATGCCAAACTATCGATTGAGAGTTAACACCTGCAACATTACATTAAAATAAACTTCAAAGATTGAGTACTGGAAAAAGGTAAAAATTTAAATATGAGATGTCGAGTCATCCCAATCATCCCAATAGAATACCAATTGCATCTAGATGGTGGGACTACAAATGAAAACTTATTTACACGAATGAGAACTGGTTATAAATATGCAATTATGATGAAAGAGATTTTAGATCAAAAGAATTCTTTAAGATGGATGTTAGAAAAACAAGAAAATCATGTATTTTTTTTCAATAAGAATATATTTTCATCATATGAGATCATTTGAAAACAAGCTGAGAACTTATTCAATAAAACTTTGCTCCTTAAAATCTTATATGTAGATTGATGAATTTGTTACATGTAATACATAAGATGTTTTGTAACTATTTTATTTAGTGAAATTTTTCATAAAGATTACACAATATAGATATTATTGGTTTGAATTTAAAAAAATCATGTACATAATCCATTACATGATCAATGATTTTATGTGTTTAAATGTAAGATAATATTATGCGAAATGTGATATGCGGGTGCCCATGTTGATATCTACCACAATATCTATGAAAAGTGGCTGCGTGATGATAAATACATGTATATTTTCATTTTCATTTTTACTCTACAATATCTGAAGACAGAAAAAACATTGAGTTTATAAATGAACAATGGTATCGGTCTATATGACTTCACTTTCCTCATGTTACATTGCTTAGTATGGGGTATATGGTTGGAATACATATATATATATATATATATATATATATATATATAACTAACAGAAGTCATGAAGTAACACCCTTCATTTAAATTCTTCTTTTCTTGTTTCTTGCATTTTCAAAGGTCTTTCTCAACTTTCATTGCAAGTGCTGTTGGTACTCAGAGTAGGGTAGCCTTGATAACAAGATATAACATCAAAATATATGTCACGTAGATTGTAAGATGTGATGTTGATATCATACATTTATAGTAAGCTCTTTGCATTGATTCTTATTTCTCTGAATGTCTGCAGTACGAAGAGATCGACTTGAACGGAACCCAAACCATACCATGGTGAGCAATTTTACCATTTCAAAAACTTGAGGTTTCAAGCCATGGAGCCTCCCATTTAGCTAACGCCACACAGATGAGTATGGTTAACCATGGAAAAAAAAATCACTTCATTATATCTCACCGTCTGTTAGTCAGTTGGCTCCTCGATCGTGATTCCAACGTTGTTTTGGTATTGCATGGAAGCATGACGAATTTGGTAGATGACAAAATCTGTCGAGTATAATTGAGGTTCGGGAGTGCCCAGATCTGGTTGATGTTCTTGTATCGCATGTCCGACCGGCTGGACACAACCCTAAAGGTGTGGAAACTCTGGTGCAATTAATTAATTGCTCGAGTTACAATGTTCTTCGTACAACAACTTCAACTGTCCGTCCTCTGTCCCGCCCCAGTTTGACAGACACTGTCTCAAATTGCTTCGGAACTGGGAGATAGGGCATTGCAGGGGCTAGACACAGAGTGGACTACGATCGGCAACTGGAATTTGAAAGATCGGACCGATTCTTGAGCCCGCTTTGGAAATCGGTTTCAAGACGGGAGCTGGAGATTTTGCACAGGAAAGAGAGATTGAAGTCATGAGCAGGAGGGCCATGGGGCAGCTGGTTTTTCTTCTGGTGGGTCTTGTGGTCTTTGTGGACCGATGCTCTGCTTATGGTCAGGGCGACTTTGTTCCCACTTCTCGGAAGGGCCAATATCACAATGTAAGTTTTGTCGGACTTGAATTGCAGGACTTGACAATTGGATCGGGTAGGCTGACAATTGGATATCGTTATGTCTTAGCGTTTTAAAGATTTTAGCTGGGTTGGATGTAATGTCACATTCCTGGTCATGATAATTTGAAGTTTTCGTGGGGCAATTATCAGAGGAACGGATCGGAATTACATCGTCTGATTTTGAACTTAGAAACTTAAAACATTGCTCACCGTCGACCTTCGTCCATCGTAGTCACCACATGAGCATTTGCCCTTTCACCTGAAGTCAAGGCACTTCTGTCCAATTCTTAGAAGATACACCTTTTCTATCACTTGGTTCCATTCTGCCACGACAGAATTTGAGCTAAAGCACATGAGCCCATAGGGTTTAAAGGTAGAATGTGGCCAACAGGGGCCTCACAGGTCTCTTGTTAAGGCCAAGCTTAGTATCTACCCAAGGGGTTGGGAACGTTGGAAGCTTGATCGTTTTGAGAAGTAGGGTGGTCTTAGCTCAGAGCTGGACTCTTCATGTACCTCATTCTAGTTGCTTGTTGATTTTTTTGAAAAAAATTTACAGATGCGTACGGACTGGATGGATCAGTTGGGACGTCATTGCCCACGCTTCGGAATTGATAACGAGGTCAGTGATGTTGTTCATATAAGAGAATGCTCAACGATTCAAGAGAATTGCTAGGTATTCTTTTGCTTAAAGAAAAACCTCTTTCCTTCACATCAGTATTCGAATAGGAGTTTTCTGTTTTGAAGTATTATCTGCTTTTAAGTCCAACCAGTCTATGTGAGAGACTGAGTAGCCAGAAAAAAATTCACAGAATGCAAAATTGGTGTTAGATTTATACGGAGATACTTAAGGGTTTCTGAATTAGTAACGTTAGGCGTGTGTTTGTATTGCATCAGGTCGTGCTGCCACTTCCCAAGCCCACAGGCTACACAGGAGCAGATCCTTATAAAATGTGTGTACATCTTATAACTGAAACTATGTGATAGTATCTCAGTGTATTAGCCCATTTTTAGTTGGAATTTGGGAATTTGTCGAAGTAATTGAGATTGTAGTAAGTCTATATTTGTACAATCTTGTAAATATATGTGACCTTTTCCATATGACGTTAATTCTACATATGCAAAGAAGTCACATAACCATCTGCACAGAGGTATTATGTTCTCAGGAGTTGGAGCCAAATAGCATTGAGGCTCTTGGAACATATCACCTTTACTATCCCAATCGATTTTTGAAGTACATGGCGTAGTGGTTTCAGAATTTACATCTCATCCTCATTGGCTGTCTTTCGTTGTCATTGATCCCAATTTTTATGCACTGGAGTTTGATCTCGAAGCGGAGATCTAATTTTATAAGAGTAATGTATATTTCAGATCTTTGCAGTTTGGGAGTGAGAGATACCAAACTCCATGGCTATTTGTCGTTGGCAGACAATCCCCAGAAGTCCCCATGATCGATGTAACCTTGGTAACTGCTCTTAACATTCATAGACAATGCAATGGACTATGTTGACAAGTAGTCGTAGATTTGTACATGGTCAATTGCGACGAGTGATAGCTCACAAATTTTCTTCGTCACCCTGTAGCGGTATGCAACGTGTGATAGCTCATATATATTCTTTGTCCCCGTGTAGCGGTATGCAGGATCGGATTTCCTGGGCGCTACAGCTAAGGTTGTGAACATGCCCGAATCATGTAAGCGTTTGAATCCTTAGGGGGAGTACAATAGCCTCTTCCAATGTCCCCAGAATGATCAACTCAAGTGTGAATGTTATCATTTATCACCTAGAACTGCTAGTCTAATTATTTGATTTTAGCTTATGCCCCATTATGGCTTTGATACAGATCTAAAAGAACACGCTTCAATCAAGACAAATTTTTGGGAGCCAAACATGTGGCCGAAGCATGTCCTTGTACGATATGTATGGTGAGTCCTATTGCTAGTTTTTCCGTCTTATCTTTTTGTGACCTGCTCTCGTTGTCAGGTGCGACTTTTCAGTTCATGGCCAACTGGCTTTGTTTTTTGCGGGATATGAGTCTATTACTTTGGAATTAGAGGTATGTAGTCATAGACAAGAGTTTTCTACGGATTCTGTTACCTTGAGTGTTTACAAGTATGTTTAATACTTTTAGTGAATCAAACCATAAGAACTTCATTTCTTGTTATGTTGGTGTTGTGGTTACATTTGACAAAGATATTCTGGATGTGCACGCAAGAGCAATGTCTTCGTCTCACCCTTCGATACATTCTTGCTGGGTGTGCTGCAGGGAGGAAAGCTCCGAAATTGATGTTGCTGGTGGCCTCTACGTACTTTTTGGTTCTGGTAAGCTTGAGAGTATCTACAGTTTCCACAGTCGTTTACCTCCAGTGTTCTTGCCTTTCTAATCTTGTCGTTTTGCATCGAAACTGATAACTGGATGTTTGTTACAGGGCTTGTTTTGACTGTTGCCATGGCTCTTCATATACTTCAATCGTCGAAAGAAAAACTATCAAGGTTCTGTTTCCTTCTCTGATTTTTTTTCAAACCCTTGTATTCCAGAAGTTTCTTCGGGTATGATTGCTCAGTGAGAACATGATCGCTTTTGATCCGTCATTATCTTTTTTCAAGTTCTTACAATGTGTTTTAACTTTGTTAAACCTACAGATTCATAAAAGAAACTGTGGTCGACTCAGCAATGCCTGCAGAAGAGGCTAAGGTCGAATGATCTCCAAATCTGTGCCAAAGACTCCATTGTGCCCAAGTGTCGGAGGGGAGTCTATACTATGCACTCTCAAATGGTAATATTCAGCATAGACTCCCTTCTATATCTAGTTTTCAGCCGAGTGATGGGGTCTAATAGAACTTTCCAATTCTGTTTGGGAGCAGGATGCAACATTGACTTCACCAAATGTAACAATATGCGCACTTTAGGTGTTACTTACTTTTCATTCAGATAGTGCCACTCCTATTGAGTCCGGCTTCATATGCTAGCCACAAGTATTACTGTCTACAGAACGTTTCATACTTCTTGCCATTGCAAACATTCTCATTGTAATCTAACCAGTGTTCGGTCCATGCAATGCAGCATAAATTATGAACTGTACGCGAAGATCACCTGACTTTGCAGTTGACGTATCAATTCGTGCATCCAGTTTGCAGTTTAGATTCTCTTAGCTGCTGCCATTCCTGGCTTTAATTTGCAATCGACTGAACGGAAAGTAAAACATGTATTGAGAATTCTTGTGCACCACTGGATCTTCTTGACATGGCTATTAAAGGTGTTTGTCGTAAGTGATTATACACATTAAAAAACTGAAGTGACCAAAATACAGAAAGAATTTTTAAAAAACTAGTGCAAGCAGATTAGCACAGTGACTTGAAAAAAGATGGCGAGCTTGATTCATCCCAGGAACAAGTGGAAAATACCTGCCTGAAGGGTGTTTCAAGACGGTGCTAATTAAATTTACACGACACATGAATGAAAACAGTAACTGTGAAAACAATGATATTTGCAGTACATAATGATACAGCGGGGCATTATAAATCCCCTCCATTCAATTCCAATTCTACAAAGGGAAAGGCCAGGGGGCCGTAAAAGCTTCATTCCCTCGCCTCAAGAGTCACCGGTACTTTAGATATTTTATCTCCTCGCAGTATCTCTACCTCCACCTGCAGAAAACAGCATCGTTTCAGATTAGCTCAATCCATCGAAATCTATACATGCAGTTTAACTCTATATTAAAGTGATGCTAACCTTTTGATCACTGAAAAGACTGAATATGAAAGTGTTCCAAAGCTGAAGGGTTGTGGATGGGTTGTCAAAAATGAAACTAACCGTGTCTCCTACTTTACATCGATCCAGAATCTTGTACAAGTCACTTCCATTTGTAACCTTTTGTCCGTTCAAAGACGTGATGACGTCTCCTAGAACAAGTCTACCGTAAGAATCGCGTGTAGTCGGCCGTAAACCCTGCATCATTCCAGACGAAAATGAGTTAGAAGATAATCCCTGCTTAGATCTGATGTACTCTAAGGGGATGAGCTCTCGACCAGGTATTACTATGTTCATTGGCATGGCAACACACGCTCTGTATGATTTTCTGTTCATCCTGGTAGAATGAGAAGCAAACGAATTTTTCGTTCGTTGGAAGGTTGATATTAAGGAAATGAACTCACAGCTTTGCCGGCCGGGCCAGTAGGAGGAGCATCAAGAACAAGAACTCCTGTTACTCCCAACTGCTCCACAGATTGTTCTGGTGCGAAGGATATTCCTAGTACCGGTCTCGTGACTTTTCCAAATTTAACAATCTGCTCCACAATTCCGCTGACCTGCAATGCGCTTTCGAATGTTGTAAGAGAAGTTTGTTATAAGAGGAAAGACTTGTCACGCTTGCAAAGTTCTGACTGTTCTCATTCCATAAGATTGTCTTTGTCATCTTGGATTAAAACAGCTCCTGACTTTCCAATCAAATTTTGACCATGATAATTAAGAGAGTGATATGCACCAAGCGGCATCTTACTTTGAGAGCAATACAGCGCAAAACATCCGTGAGAAAGTCGTGAGTAAATATTTTAAAAAAATACATATGGTATCCATCAAACAACTGCTCACCGTGTCGACAGGAATGGAAAATCCCACACCAGACGAGGTGCCAGAAGGTGAATAAATTGCAGTATTGATGCCAATGAGATTGCCACTGCTATCAAGTAAAGGACCACCGCTGTTACCCGGGTTGATCGCAGCATCAGTTTGAATGACATCCTGAATTGGTCGACCAGTTGCAGCTGAGCTTATTTCTCTTCTCAGTCCACTGCAAGAAGTTTGATTGCTGGGTTAGTTGGCGACGAGCAGGCACGAAGGCCAACAAATCAGACTTGAAGATAAATAACTGATTGGTTTACTTAACTAGCTATTTCAAGCTTGAATATCTTAAGAAACTAGCAACGCAGCAGCTGCGTATTGTGATAGGATCTGACCTGATGACTCCCGTTGTCAAGGTGTGATCAAGACCGAACTGCATGGAAACATTCATAATCATTACAAAGTTAATTGATATTCCGGGTTCAGAGTCTCCGCAATCTTGTAATATAGAGTAACTCTGAAGAATCTACCAGGGCCGCCAGTAAGTCCAAAAACTATCTGTTGGCCACAAGTGCAGATTAAGAAGCTCAAGCGCATGGACTGTGGTCTCACCGGGTTACCAATTGCGAAAACTTTCTGGCCCACAAGAAGATCTGAAGAACTTCCTACAGGCAACGGCCTCAGCTTGTCCTCCGGAGCATCGATGTGCAAAACCGCAACATCTTTGTCTTCATCATACCCGACCACATCTGCTTCATAGACAGACTGATCACCGAGTGTCACTCTGCAGAATACCAAGGGAGTAATTAGAGTCTGATCAGCTGACCATTGAGAATCCTTCCAGATAATAAAGAACGATTATCATTTGGCAACGATGTTTGCATTATGTTCAGACTCTTGGCAACAATTAAAAGATTATCTAGTTATGATGTCTTGGGAAGGTTCTAATTGCTCTCAAGGATATCATCTGTTTCACAACTTTCATCCATGGATTATCACGTTGTGCTGTAACCTTTTCTGTAACTAAGGCTCATTAAGGAGCTCGAGCGCATGGAAAATAAATGGGCGTTTACGTGCCAGTAATACATGCCTCTTCACACCGATGGGTCTGTGTAACACCGACATCAAAGTAAGGATACATATAGATGTCAAACAGCTCCCGACGAATCCAAATACAATTATTTATTTCAAGTGTTTTAGAAACTACGAGCCACTGGACGAGATTAGGTGTGAATGAAACAAACAAAAACGTCTTTCCCTACAATTCCTTATCAATATTTATCGGCAAAGACACGAACGACAGGTACATTCACTACCTAAGATCTGAAGCTCCTCGAATCACATGATAGTTTGTCACAATATGACCTTGTTTGTCCCAAATAAAGCCTGAACCTGATCCTTGTGGCACTGCCATCACATCGAGAGTGAAGACATCCCGTCTGCAAAACATAACGCATCCATCCAGCCAGCGCACAATGTCAGGGTAGATTGCCCAGGAATGGAACAGATGAGTAGAATCTGATGTTTTCCAAGGAAACATAGAATTCCTGATTCTTCCATAGTCACTATAGCTGATACCCGAATGTCATAAAGGTACTCACAAGATAGAAAGTCCAGATAATCTCTGCCCAATTGCTATTCATAATTCTACACCATACGACGACAACTTCCAAAACACAACAAAATACTAGCGAGGGATTCATGTATCAGATGCTGTAAGCTGGAGCCTAGGATATCACGATTCAGCTCAAATGTTCAGCTCAGATCACGACTTCCTATTTAATGCATACGAATGGAGCTTCAACATTTCTGCTTCCTCTATAAATAATTGTTAGCATAGTAATAATTCGGTCGTTTCAGTTGTTGATGCCCCACAGTTTAGTCCAGAACATACTCATGTTCAAGTAGCTCAAAGATAGACTGCTGACTGTTTTCAACGCATCGAAGGGCTTGATGAAGACGTACCTAACAGCAAGATTCGTGATGTAGACAACCGATGGAGTGTTGTCTTTGAAAAGTTGTACAGTTGCGAGTTCCTCTCTCTGCAGTTTTCTGGGAGGTGCAGCTACGAACGCATGTGAATCTAAACCCGTGGTCATCACAGAGAGAACGATCGCGAAGGAGGTGAGGAATACTAGAATATCTGAAGGCTTTCCGGCGGAGATTGAGAATTTTCCCTTTAGAGACTGGAATGAATTCACCCACTCCGTCCTTTTATTCACTGATTTAGCTGCAAGGTCAGCTAATTTCGAGAGCAACTTGGGAGCTAGTTCTGAGAGAGGGTACTTTTGTGCATATGGTGAGGTTTCTCCTAATTCGGCTAGTCTCTGCCGATATTCGAGTGAGAAATCTATGGGCAGCTCATTGAGTGGCATGGGGGAGGAGGTGGCTGACATCGGAGATTTTCGGGGTTGCCCAGAATCTGTGCAATCTCCGCCCAATTCGTTCATCAACCCTGATTCAGATGAATTATTCAACCTATTCTCTCCTCGCACAGTGCACGCGGAATCTGATGAACCCACATTCCCAATGGCTCCCTCTTGCTTCACCGCCATGCCTCTAGCGTTCCCATACCTCGGCAGCTCACATGCAAACCCGCACTTCCTCAATCCACGACGACCAGCATCTCTCAAAATCCTGGTTCTCCAATTCCTCGTACTCAACGACAGCTGATTTCCAACAACACCCACTTCGAATTTCGGAGCGCGCCTAAATGGCTCCAACCCCGAAGAGAAGGAGCCAAGGCCAATTACAACGGACGGTGCAAATGTCGCCATTGTGGCCCCAACCGCAGCCATAGCCACAACCATAGGCACTCTCTCTCGCCCGAGCAGCGAGCAGCACCCTTTCAATTGCCTGCAATCGTTCTCCTAAACTCGCAAAACCTCCCCAAAGCCCAGCCCTACCGCGTCGCCCTCGGCGTTGTGGCCCAACCGGAGCCCGGCCTCGAGGCACGGCGACAGAGGAGGAGAGTCTCTAGAGAGGCAGGACTGGACCAAGAACTCGGCAGTTGCGTCTGCGGGAAGCAGCAGAAATCACCACATCCGCATCTCGTCCCATGCGCAGCAGTCTGATGTACAGCATCGCCTTGTCTCTTGTCACACGAGCAGCAGCAGCAGCAGCAGCAGCCATGACCTTTGTTGCCGAATGGGCAAAAAGGGCAGTCTCGAGGTCAGGTGGGTCCCGCAGAACTCTCAGGAAGGAGCGACGAACGCAAACCAAACGATCGCCTCGTCGGCCACACCTGTGGCTTGAGCCACAAGATCGCTCCACATTCTGCCGCGACTCGGGAAGTCCAGCACGCCCTCGAACTTTATCCAGCACCGATTCTGCAATGAATGCCCGCTCTGTCCGCTCTGTCCGCTCGAGCCTTCCTGATCTCAGTACGACAGTTACAGCACGCTTCCTCTGCCTCCCTCCCTCCCTCCCTCCCTCCCTTCCTTCCTTCTCGCTTTCTGTCTTTTGCTCCCGTGGCCTCTTCTGATTCGAGCCCTCGTGAGCTTTAGCAGCGTAGCACTCTCTCACTCTCTCTCTCTTTCTTGCCGTCGGTTGGCCCACCGCTTGCGCTACCGCCGCTGTACAGGTGCAAGAAGCATAGCTTTGGAATCACTCGCCCACTTGGCTCTCGGAGTTTCAGTATCAGGTTTTCGGTCGAGGATTTGCAGCAGCGGATGATTCGAACTTGGGGTTGAGCTCGGTTGAGGAGGGCTGACTTCGGCATGGGACGCGGAGGAAGGACGAAGGGAGCAGAGGAGAAGTGCGGGGAATGGGTTGGACATTGAGAGGAGGAGGCTAGGGCGGGCACGGTAGCAGACATGTCTCGGAGTGGGACTCTGCAAGATGCGTTGCGGTCCGTGGACGCATTCCAGAGAGCTGAGAATCCTGGGTCGGTGAAATTTCCAGCTCGTGGGTCTTGTAGAGATTCTCGGGGGAGCGACTCCGACGATCTCAGCAAATCTGAGAGGAAGCACAGAAAAGAGAAGGAGAAGGAGAAGGATGGGAGGAGGAGAGGGGAGCGCCGGTCCTCCAAGAGCAGGAAGGGTCGTTCCAAGAGTAGCAGCCGGCGAGTGGACGAAGATGGTAGCGGTGAAGACGACGATTGCGAGGATGAGGGCAAAGTGAAGCTGCGCTCTGAGAACAAGAGGCGCCATAAACGAGAGCATCGGAAGAAGGATAGACATTCCAGGAGTAGTGACAAGAAAGGTGATAGAGAGAAGGGTAAAGGGTCGCGGAGAAGTCGTAAATCCGACGGTCGAAGATCGGGGAGGTCGCAAGAGGATTCTTCTTTCTCCTCCGATGATGCAAAGTCTGATGATTCTGGCTCTTCGTCATCCGAAAACGAAAATGGGAGTGATACTTCGAAGCCGGAGCAATTTGCCAAACAAGTCGTTCAAGAATTTCCGGAAGTCGCCAATGATCTCAAGCAGGTACTTTGAAATCATGAAGAGCATCGTTTCCAGGTCGAATTGTTAAAATGTACCTCCCTACTTTTTAACAGGCGGAGAAACGCGCTTCAGCCACAATTGACATCGAAACCAAGTGTCAGATGTTTAAGCACGGGACATTGATCAGACGTTGGCACAGGATGGACCTCACTACTGCAAAGATAGTCGCGCTAAATTTTTAGAATTACATCCGTTTGGAATTTCACATTCCAGGAGCTGTGTCACTTTGTTCAACTTTTTCTCACTATCTTGTTTTGGATTTGTTTGCGCTGTCATCTGATGTTAATGATTCGAGGTTGTCTGTCCTGGAGATTAGTATAACTAGGAAAAAATCCGTACTTGTGTTCTTTGTTTTTCCTCGGAATTGAGACGTCCAAAATTTTCTTCCAAATTATGTGTACAGTTAGGAAATGCCAGAGAAGGTGAAGTTCCCCCTCCATAGGTGGGCACCCTTGGTTCGCCCCAATTTATCTCCACAATGTAAATGCACGGAATTCGGATGATGACCTGGTTCACGTCTGATGACAATTGACGTAGATCAGCCGTGTTTTGTAGAATTTTTGGTGGATCGGGGAAGTGTTATTAAGGATGACTGAATTTTGTGTGATGGTTGGTGGAATATCAGCTTCTTCAGATGGTGGATGATGGTCAGGGAGTTGACATCAGCCCGTTGCCCAATAAACGACTGATTTCACTTCTTCAACAGTTATTTCGATCCCTTAAACTCGACAAATCGAAGGCAGGGATCTATCTCCTTCCCTCTGGAGCTCTGCCGACTCTAACTCGGGTGGGCCTGTTTTCTGGCGATGAAGCTGGACCTGCACTTAATTCAGATGATGTTTATGAAGGTCCAGAGCTACCTTCATCAGTATCGCAAGAAGCTCAGGCTCCGCTAGTAGATAATGGAAAATCTGAATTTGTACAGAAAGGCCATGTGAAAGATGCTCCACTCGGCCCCACCAAGCCAAGGTACGCATCTGCGTTATTGCTCTTTTGTGGTTGCAGGGTTTCATCAACTTTGACTGGGATATGCCAGCAATTGGAATTTTCGTTACCATAAGGTACCTTTGTTGAATTCTTCCCAGGGTTATGGGTCCAGCAATGCCATCCAAAGAGATGTTAGAAGCTGCTGCGAAATTGGAAGAGGCGGAGGCTGCCTTAAGGTACTTACAAATGATTCGGGAGGAGTTTGCAATGGATTTTGCCTCCATGACGAAGGATTCAGTTTATCTCAAATGAAGTGCATGTTTTTTCTTCATATAGGATTTTGAATCAATACACCAGTTGTTGAAGTGACTTTTAAATAATGAAATGATATTGGGATACTTTATTTATGGCCTGTTATTCAGAGCTGCTGAGGAGGAGTTGGAAGGAGATCCCATGATTGGACCTCCCCCACCAGCAGCTGTGGCTGAGGCTGCTTCTGCAAATGACGCTGAGAGATTTGAAGAGGTGCTTATTACAGAAGTTTTGCATATGTTGTCACTGCTCCATTGCTCTATGCGTAAGCCGTGGATATATCACATCACACTTCCTGTGTTTGGGAACTCGTACAAGTTGACGCCTAAGACGGTTCTATTCACGTCCTATGTCGTAGGATGTGAATGGAAACTGCGTGTTTTGTTGTGAAAAAGCATCAAAGAAATCATCGTTCACTACTTGGGTTATATGCGGGATTATTTTTCGAAAAATCTCATGTAGAATTGAGAGCCAAGGATTGTTTGGTGAAATATCGACTTCAACTTGAAGTCCTGAAGGCTCTCTGTTTGAACTGCAGGTAACGAGGATAATAGCTCCAGATGTTGGCAATGCCTATGAGCTTTTGGGTGTAAAGCGAGAGGTGACTGCAGCTGACTTGAAGAAAAGGTGAACACCACACACTTGGGTTCTGAAGGTTGAAGACTTCGCATCTTCACCTACTTGACATACGCTTCACATCTAGCATTCTTCAATTACTGATAAGTAACTACATAAGCGTGTATTTATAAACTATTTGGTGTTACGAGGAGATATTGACAAATCATTCGACAAGTCGATGTATCAGCCGAAGGCTGATTATTTATATTTCCGGTTTGGTGTAGGTACTGGAAATTATCACTACTTGTGCATCCAGATAAGTGCGAGCACCCGCAAGCTCATGAAGCATTTATGGCCCTGAATAAGGCTTTCAAGGATTTGCAAGATCCTTCAAAGGTAAGCTGAGAGCAGTCATGGAGAAGTGGATTACCTGGCTGTGTATATGTGCTTTGTAACATGCCTGACTTTGATTCAGAAGACGCAAGTAATCACCCATTGAAACTATGAGAATATATTTCTTCTCATAGGCTGAAGGGACCCTTGCCGAGAGTTTTGAATATTTTTCATGATAATGGAAAAGTGGGAGAATGAAGAAGGGGTCCCTCCTTTCCATGTGGTAGCTTCTGCGCCCTTGAAGTCCCCAGTTGGATGCATGTACTGAAGACTCTCCAAATGAATGCTGTTTATCGCAGACATCGCATTGTTGGAGCTTTGGAGTTTGTGTCGGCTAATTTGACTTCATTGGTTGGTATGGCAGCGAGCTGTAATCGATCATATAGCTGATGAGAAACAAGCTAAAGAGGAATATGAGGTAAGGCCTACATGCTGGTTGCCATTAACTTTTGTTCCTGCCATCGTCGCTCTGGGTTATCGATGTGCCTAGAAGTCACTTACAAGAACAAGCTTTAACTAACTTGTGATTCCTATTTTGTGTTGAACCAGGCAGATTTGAAAGCCAGACGCGAGGCTGCACAATGGAGGAAACTCCGAGGTAAGGGCGAAATGCTCTCTTCATTGAACTCTTGTACATCAGGATCCTCACTTTGCCCCACGCATGTTCCAACAAGTCTGCATCCTTGCAAAACACGACGTGGTTTTCACAGCTGTTTTGAAGCAATAACTTAAAGCACACTCCTGTGGTGTTCGTCTCCCTTCTACTTTTATCACCTCTGGAAATTTCACAACTTTGACATAAACTTCAAAATTTTACAGACGGCAGCTACACCTCACTCAGTGTGATTTTCTTTACTCTTCCAGGCTCTTACCCCACCTCCTTGATAGATACACTTCAGCAAACACTAACCGCTTTCCCAACTGCAAACGTTAGTTCCTGGATCCTCCTGCCTCCGTCTGTGTTCTTCCTGCCATTAATCTCAACAGCACATCTCGTACTACACCCAACAAGACCACTTCTGTGTTTTTTAACTTCACTTTTTGTGAGTAAAATGCTAGCATTTATGTATCTGGAAATTCTGATTTTTCCCTTTGGACTGAGTGTATTGAGCACACAAATTTTGAAAGTAAATTCGCAGTGCAAAGATCCGACTTGGAGTGGTCTCATGAGTTCAAACTTGCTTGTATGTGAAGGCGAGGAAGCCCAACCTGGGGATGCAGAATTGCTAATGGGAGAAGCGAAAGAGCCTGCACGTGATGAGTGGATGACTGTGCTGCCGCCAGAGAGACAGGTAAGAGGGAGAACCCTCACGCTTTCTCGCTTCTAAGCAAGTGAACATAAAACTTACGTATGGACAATTAGATTGTGAAAATTATGACCCAATTAGTCTACGGTGTTGCGAAAGGATGGGGGTATTTGCATCTCAGAGAACAAAAAGTCAAATTGAACATCGCATATTAATTATATTGAGATGGCAATTCAGAGCTTCTGTTTCTCTCCGAAATCTGTGCGAAATGTTCAATCCTTACGGTCCCCAACGTATGATCAAGGGAGCCAGAAGCAGCGACGTTGTGACCATAGGAGTACTTCCCACTAGCTTTCGAGTCAAACTGAGTTTTACAGATCCATTAGAAAAATCAATAGTTAAACGACTGTCAGTGCTGTCCCTGTTGTGCTGTGTGGTATCCCAATCTGAAATTGAACAGTTGTAAATGGTAAATGGTAAATGGTAAATAGATCAAGCCCGTGGGACCCAAAGGGTCAAAAGGCTAAAAAACACAATACAAACAATCCAACTCCAAACTAGGAGAGAACCAAAAGAACCCCCTGATTGTAGAAACTGATTTATATATGTGAGAGAGCTGTTGATTTGTGGTGCAAGTAAATCAGCATCTAGGTTGTTAAAGCAAAACTCCGTTGCTGACTACGAGGATGACGTATTGGATGATGTAAAGGCTGGTCGACCAACGCAGCAGTCGACATTCTTCAGTCGCTCAGAGAAAAGTGGGCGAGGAGACACCAGCATATGGACTGACACGCCGCTTGAAAAGGCACAGAAGGCTAAAATGCAGTACGTATATTCGACTGGTTTTCGAAAGCTGTGTTGTTTCTTGTTGTTAGTGGTGTCAGCAGTCACGGCGGTGACAGTGAATAGCTGATCATAAATGCAGGAATTATGCAAGCCTTTTTTTTTGAACCTACCTTCGTTTAGTTTTGAATATGAAGAGCCTTATTTTTTATCTGTGCGCTGATGCCGCAGGTATTTGGAAGCCTACAAGCAAGCAGCTCTTACTGGCCCAGAACCTGACGAATCAACTTTCGAGCGGGAGAAGGCAGCTAGAGCAGCAGTTATGATGGATCAGTATAACGAGAAGAAACGAGCTCTGTCTATGGTAGACAAGCTGCAGCGTGAGAATGTGAAGGAGTCAAAGAAGAAGAAAGGGGGAGGAGGAGGAGGAGGAGGAGGAGCGGCTTCGTTGTTATCGAAAGAGAAAGAGAGGAAGGAGGCTGAATGGCAAGAAAAGCATCCATGGAAACCATGGGATAGGGAGAAAGATCTCACTGCCGGTCGGCAGGCTATGAAGTGGGATGCCAAAAGTGTTCAAGAAGGTTTAGGTTCTAGATTCGGATCCAGTGCTGGAGATAGAAAGTTCTTGTAGTCCAGGCAAGTTCAATACACGCTCCGACAAAATCTGTAAGATGTACGGCCCGATTGATTTATAATCAAGAAATTGAATGTTGCATGCTCTTCCCCGGGTAATATAACTTACATGCTGCACGCAGGAGAGGTCTCGATAATGTCTCTCTCAAGTGCATAGCGTGCTTCACCGCTAAAAGTGCATTGCACACTTCACCACGGTTGCTGCTCCATACTAACAATCTCGAAAGCTGCCAATCCATGCCAACAAACTTTACAAAGTCTTTCAGGGACACCTACTTCGTTGTATAATACTTCGATCCAAAGTGTTGTGGGAGGTCTTGGTAGCATCTCAAATCATGAATTTTTGAGTGTGTGACATGAGAATCTTCGGGCATTGCGCCTGAAAGCCTAGGTGTACTCATCTTTGACGATCGTGTGTGGAATCCTAGGTTTGTTATCGGCGTTGGATACAGCACCTTTATCACATTCGGCTGGTGGCGCGCCCTCTGTATATATGCCATGCTTGAGATACAGGATCTAGGGGTACATAGTCATTTACTTTCCAATCACTGTGAGAGATCTCTTGTCTTTTCCCTCTTGATTATACGAGCTGTACAATCTTGCCTATTAGCATTTTCTTCGTTCACTATTAGTGGATTTCACTAGTTTACACTTCAGCTTTCGAACGTCTGCTGTCTAATGGATCTTTAATTGACCACAATGCATCAACCATACGAACGACTGTCCCTTTTCCATCAATTACCTTCTAAAGTGATCAGGGTTGTTTATTGACTTGGGTCTCCGCCACCATAACAAAGACGACGCCAAGAAAATTCGATTAGATCCACTCGCGCGCCATGTTCTGCAGTTGTTTGACCAGCATAAACTGGTTGAGCGACGAGATCCCCTAAACCCCACTGAATCTGGTAAGGAGCAAGTTTTTATGTTTCGTTTGTTATCTGCTAAGGTGATATTGTATTACCAAAAGTTTATTGTTGTGTGTCTTTTTTATTCTTGTCCGATTACAAATCTATGCTAAGAGTCTTGTATATTTCTTAGTAACTTCACAATTACTTCCAAGAGCCCCCACTTGCCTTTAGAAAAGAACACCTCGTGTATGTCATGGGAGTTGAAGCAACAGTCAAAATGAGAGCTGAAAAAATGATTTAGCCTTGCTTGCATAACTGTGAAGTGTCAAGGCTTGGCCTTGTCAATCGCTACAGTTTGCATAAATATCAAACATGCGTCGAGTTTAGCGTCGGTGATGATGCTCATATTTCTCCTCGTCGGAGGATTCTACCCAAAAGGTGTCTTCCATACTCAAAGCAGTTAAGTACGTTTGATTTAGCTACCACAAATTCATACTCGAACTCAACTATCAATTCGTTGTCGATGATATGACACAGATCAGCGTCGGCTTGCTGTTGTTGAGGACCTTGTAGAGACAGTTGGTTTGAGTGTAAACCTGTTTTCAGCAATAATTATGATTGGTTTGTTGGAAGGTAGGTATATTCTGTCTAAGTGTTAATGCCTCTGAGACGGATCAAGATTTCAGAACAAGAGAATCGGAGTAGCTTCGATCAGACGAAAAGTCGTCTTACTACTAGATGCACAATTTGTAAGAATCTGTTTGTCAAGCTAGCGAGGAGTTTCAAGTGGAGTGATCTGCCAAACGCCCAACGATTATGGGATTCAGGACCACGGATTCACGTCATTCTTGAGGGGAGGCCTTTGGATTATGTAAATTGTTGAAGCTAAGATAAGCTAATACATTGATAATCTTAATATAGCCGAGTTAAATCACAAAAAATTTCACATCGATGCAGCTAAATTTTTTTCCAATATTTCGTAAGGTCACCTACTCCATATGGGAAGACTTGAAATTCAAACAATGCGCTGATTGGGAAGAGGTGGATATTTAACTTAAGGCTTTGGATACTCACGAGGAATCCATTCTCAATCTTAATGAGAGCTCTATATCAACTGACAAAATCAAAATCCTCGTCAGAGTTGTCCAGCTCTTGCAGTTTTATTTTCTCCAATCCCTAAAACTTTCAGTCCGCGCTGACGAGAAGTATTTGTACCGTATGTTGCCACGAGTGCATCAAAGTCGCACTCCGCCACCTGAGCAATGCCGCCTGGATTCTACCGTTCAACATACTGTCACATCTAGATTTTGCTAAACAGATTGAGTCATCCCTGTCACCGATCGATGGAATCCGCAGATTGAGATTCTTCCAAACTCATCTCCAGACTATCTCGAAGAATCGCAAGCCTTTTTATTGTCTCAAGTCACAAACTCAGACATCCATCCGATTGGATCAATCAGTTCATGTGAAGGGTAAACCTTGCTCTACTCTATCTCGCTCAACTTGACTCCGATGTCTGTCAATTCCGACTTTCTATCTATTGACTCTGTGTCACCTCAAGCGGTTCATCTTCTAAGTTCTCCCCACTCACCAGAGCCCAACATTGGGTGCCCATGCCCATGGGTTTTGGGTAACATTATTTTTCCATGGGTGGGCATGTTATGGGCCAAGAATTGGTGTAACCGGGTACTACATATATCACAATTGGAATTTGAATAGCATGGGTGGTGACAGTTAATGCTATAGGTCGATGTTGATAGTTATGGTCTAGTTCTGGGATGTTGGCCTCTGCTACTCACTCATTGTCGCAACTCTATCGAAAAATTGTCACGCTGAAAATTTTTGCTTGCCAAAATTCAAAATTTTACGTTCCAAAAATCGATTTGATATTTTTAATCACTCATCTTTCATATAGGTTTTTATTGTATACAAATGAAAAAAAAATATGTTTATTCTAATACAATAATTTGGAAAAAATTATAAATTTTTAATATATATATATATATACTAGTTAGAGTAACACTCATTTCTTTTGATTTATAATAATATATCGAATCAAAAATTAGAAAAATACAATCGATCTTATTGCAAAATTAGTCCTCAATTTATAAACATAAATTCTTAGAATTAAATCTATCTTGAAGATTATTTGTTAAATACTACATCAAGAGTATTATTTTCAATCATGTCTATATCATTTCTAATTCAAAAACATTAAATAATTCTAAAACATTAAGATTAGATTTAAAAAAAGAAGGTATTTATGGGATAAAGCAATTTACAAATTTTGATTTTAATGTATTTTTGTGCATGATTGCATAAGCCTGCGAAAGATTCAGTTTGGTCAATTCTGGTCTTCTGGAGTAACTGTAGTTGGAACCCGCCTGACGACAGAATATGAACCCAGAATGGCTTCGCACGCGCGGGCTACTACTAACCTCATGGTACGCTTGGCCACGGTCCGGACTGGCGGTAAACCGGCGGTCCCGGTTAACCGGTCCCAGAGAAAATTCGTCACCATAATGTAATGTAGTTCATTTCTTGGCCACGATCCGGTCGGGACCGGCGGTTAACTGGTCCACCTTTTTTCCTGAGCCGGTTAACCGGACCGTGGCCAAGCCTGCCTCATAGCGCCGGTCAAGCCCTCGCGGGAGCACAAACCTTCTCATTCAGACTCGAGCACAAGAATCTGAATCCTCGTCTGGTCGATGAGATTGTAACAACAAACTGCTCCGACCTTCTCTTCTCGCTGCTCGGCCTCGCTCCCAATCACGAATTTCCTCCCGTTCTCTGCAGTAGTGCTCGTGCTCGGCCAGCCCAGCCCCAGACGTCGCGGGAGTTTACTCTCGTGCAATACACCACGGTTCAGCATTAGGTGCTGTCCTCGCATGAGTCCGTGCGTTGTCGCCGTTTTGGGGTCCATAATTTGAAATTGATGACAGTGTCACCCTTGGTCTGCCTGCGATTTGATGTCCCGGAAATTGCGTTGCGTTAGGTCACGTCACGTGCAAACATAATTTCGCACTTGCTGTTGAAACTCCCCGAACTGTCGAACTTCGGAACCAGGTGCTGTCCACAGAAGAGCTTTTGGCTTGGAAGGCTCATTGCAGTGATTTGGTGGGCTCATTGGCCGCAAGAGGCAACGAGAGAGCACCGAGTGAAGCCCAATTTTACGCCAGGTCGAGACGATTAGTCGAGTCCAAGAAGATCTCGGATTCTTGCGCCAGGAGGAGAGAGGAGTGACATTGTTCAGCAGGACATGGGCTGGAAATAGGGCTAGCAAAGATGGCCGAATCCCTCTAGTAGGAGGACACAGAGCAAACGATGGTGTTACTTCATGTGAAGCAGAATGAGGAGCAGCAGTTTCTGTATGAATGCGCAGGGGCGCTTCTTGTGGATGAGGCGATACGTGATGTCGTGCTCATACACAACCTGTCGAAAAAAATCATGCGCTTGAAAGAACAAGGAGGCCAGCTTGTTCTGTACGGTCCAGCCAAGGATCCTACGCGCAATGAGGATGATGACAGTGACGATGACGTCGAGAGTCCACAATGCTCGTCCTCTGTCAAGCCGCGAGGTCCTTTCTACAAACGTGACCCCGCCAATAAACGGACCGGAGAAGGTCCGTCCCTGAGCTCCGCTTCGTGACAGGGAACTTTCCACTCTGACTACTGCAACTAATTCGGTAGCTTGCACACAAATTTGATTTCATTCCTATTACTCAGTCACCTAACCTCGTTGGTACCGACCATTCCCATACCAGCTTGCGATCCGGAAGTGGCAGAAAGGCTCACACAAGCTCTGGTAGATGCAGAAGCGTGCGCCTCAAAGGTCTGAACCGCAAATACTTCTTCCTGAATCGGATGGAATTCCCTTGCAACTCGCAAATGTGAAGGAACAAGGACAATTCTAAGTCTTCTCCATGCTTCAAAGAATCTAAAATGATGGATCCTTGGATTCACCTGGATGCGGGGTCAGGTACAGGTCGTAAACAAAGTGCCTCTTACAGCGGCTGTTTTGAAGGAGAGCATTGACCTGGTTAGGGGTGCAGTGAAGATATGCTATCCCATGGGACTGCCTCACTACGATCCCGTTTATGAGGAGCTTATGGGAGCCTACATAGGTACGAATGCTGGCAGGAAAGCGTCAGATTCTCCTCTATCATCCATACTCTGGGCTCCTATGTTTCATGTAGGGCTCGTTGATGAAACGTCACAATCTGGAAGATTGTAAGAAAAGTGCAAGATGTGTCGAAGTCGTTCCCTACCATTCTCGGTCCATGATGTCGTGGCCGATGCAAAGGGTGATAAATGGCAAGGACGATATAACAAGTAATACTTGTTATATCATCCTTGAAATTCAACACCTTTGCATTAGTGAGACTGTCCCTCACCTTCGCCTACTTTGTCTCCTCCCCAGCCAGATAAGGACGCGTTAGATCCAGACACAACGACAATGTGGTGGGCAGGGAAGGAGTTCATGCGGGAAAATAAAATATCTGACCACGTTGGCAGGAATGAGAAGACCAAGGTGGGCTAAAACTTCGTCTGAATATCACTGTCTAGGATGTAACAGTCCACATCCTGCATTGATCATGTAAGCCTAACAAATAAAAATGAACGTGGTTGTTGGACGTCTACTACACTTGAATTGTATCTGACATTCGAAGGCTTCTAAGGGGTGCAGAGTGAAGCACTTTTCATTGCGAACCTGCAACAGTGCTAACCTGAGTCGTTTTATCATCATCAATGGCAGGTAGTTGTAAAACTCCAGGGCAAGGGACATGGCGCTCCTGCTCGTGAGCCGGTGGGCCTTTCCAACTTTTCTATTTTCCATCACTCATCTCTGATCCAAAGATATAACCGAGTCAGAATAGCAAGAAAAGGTAGATAAAGTTGTAGCTCCAGAGTTAACATGAACACAAAAACTTTCACTCATGAAAGACCAAAATTTTCTATCAATATACATCGCCCCCTAAGTCCTCGGCAACTTCGAAAACCAAATAGATTCTCTTCCACAACTAGCATTGACGGCAATGACTGACAAGGATCCATCCTTCGAGTATTTGCAGCCAATAGACTCTGAGACCCAAAAGGCTATGATGGCTTGGTACTACAAGAAGCAGGAGGAGCAGAAGGTGAGGAAATCGAGTTTGACTTCATGACATCTGAAATTCTTCGTAACCCTCTCTGTTTAAAAGCAAAGTTATTCAGTAAGAATCCACCACAATACAGTACTCACGCTGTCTGGTGTGGTATGACGACCATGTATGTACCTGGCAGGCCTTGAGCGTCGATGAAGATGACACCTACACGAACTCAGAGTGGGCCAATCCAAAGGCACTAAAATCCGCTCTACATCGTATGCCTCGGGTGGCTTTGAAGTAGTTGATGCTTGGGGTTTTGCCACGCATCAGAAGAGCTTTGCATCACAAATATTTCTTAATTTCGGCAATCTGCAGATCCATGAAGCAGATCCAGAGGGACCTCAAGATCCTACATGTGCTCATCCTAACACAATTTTTATTTGAACACGTTTGATAATTTAAATAGAAGACAGCAGGAACTGTAAAATTGTCATCTTCAATGACATCACATCTTCCTTTTGGTCGTTAAGCGAGAAGCACAAGGATCTGTGAAACAGGCATCGACTTCAATTCTTGTCAGGATATAAAACTTTTGTTCAAATGGTTTGGAGTTATAGACAGATGACCTCTCCTGATTATATGATCCAAGATATATTTCAGCAAACGAGAAAAAAATATCTGACGCCGAACTAGTCTGTATCTCTCTCAGGACACAGCTTCCGAAGAGTTACAGATATTCGCTGTTGTTGCTCAATTTTCTGTCCCAGCCACACTTGCTCATCCTTGCTGCGGTCTATTTCATGAGTCCAGAGGTAACGAGCTGGGCCGTATGTCACGATGAGATCTCCAGGTTTGAGAAGCAAATCCACCTTCTTTGCGAGTCCACTCTTGTCTCGCTCTCGAACAAAGCTCACTTCCTGCTGCTGCAGCTGCTGCTCTCTCAAACTCAAACATGGACTAGGATTGGCGGTTCCATGCACAGGCAGATCAATCTCTAACTGCTCACTCGTACTTACTTCTTCGGGAGAAGGAGCAGAGTCTCGCAGGAGGGCAAAAGTCATGATACAGGTCGAGAGCAGAGACACTATGGCAATTCCATCTTCAAAGCGCATGAGGTCCACATGTGCTCTGATTCCCTGCAGCGCACAGAGGGTCAGCAAGTTTTGAAAGATACATAAGAGCATATCCATCGTACTACAAACTGTTCTTCGATATCTTACCTCACCAGGCTGATAAGAGTTGGCAATCATCTGATCAAACAGCGGCTCCCGTTCAAGAATCTGCCTCGGTAGTGGCGCTAGTGAGCCCTCAATTTCTTCTCTCGATTGCTTGAAGTCGGTGCCAGATCTGTAGGCACGAATGCTGCTGCATATGAGACCACATAAGTCGTGTGCCCATTCAGGTAGGTCTCCGAATCTCATCGCCTGTGCAGCATCATGAGCAGGATGATATATTATGTGCGGGTTGGTCATGCCTCATCTTGCTCGAGCTGTTAAAAACCGACTGCACTGAAATCAACCCAATCGATTACGGCACAGGCAGAAGACTGGCAACCGGCCCAACATCCAAATCTCCACACGAATCCCTAGCGCATCCAACTTTGTTTCTACAAAGCTTATCATCTCGCACCTGATTGTGTTGAGGATGCGAGAACCATCCCTCTGTGACGACAACAGCATACAGTTCATTTATGTTGTCAGTGGAGGTTCGGACCACAGGATTGAGACATAAACTAAGACAGATGAAGTCTTACCAGAATCTAGAGATTCTACTTCCCGAAAACATACAATGCGATGAGCATCAACGCAAATGGCTTCTGGCTGACCTGCAGCAATTGCCTTGGTGAGAGAATCTTGCTGTTGAGCTGACAGAAACTGGCTGCAATGCCATAATCCTTCCACTGCGTTCACCTTCACCCACTGATGTGACCGGCGTGACTCCCGCTACATTGGGCACCAAGAAACTCTGTAGTAACTGAGGAAAAGTGGAAATCAGGGTGGCAATGGATCCTGTTCGGAGCATGCATGCTGGATTTCATTCATGTCAAGGATGGACTGCAGGTCCAGAAATTACCTCTTCAGATAGACCTTCATCCTCACTGCCGAAGACATCATCATCATCGCCGTCATCTTCTGAACCCGTGTCTCCAAATACAGAAGAAAATAATTCTGCATGACGATCGGTGTCCGTGGTCTCCCTGTCTGGTTCTTCTGAGTTACAGTCCATGATCAGAGAGCTCGATACCCCTATTCCTCTTCAAAACAGATGCCTTGATACACACACCGAAGGAAGCTGCTCTGAAAATGACTTCTGCCTACACCGTGTCGTTCGTGGGAGTCCCGAAGAGCATCTCTTGACTGACTGCACTGGCAACTATGATAAATTATAGTTCTAAGCATCCAGAGAACACATTTCACACGTTACGGGTCTGTTCTTCTGACGCAGTTTGAGTGGGTACAAGTGAATTCCCGACCTAAGCACTCTACCAGATAGAAATCAAACCATTCACTTTGTCCAGGAAGAACGCATGGTCGAACAGACGATGGTTGCTCCCTTAGCAGCTCCATGTCACTAGCTCTCTCATCTCATGGTCTGTACAATTTCCTCTACACTAATTGCAAAGCTCCTACAAAGGAAGGAAGAATGATAAAATAATGCCCACAATCTTCTTCTGACTGCATCCGAAGAGGATGATTGGTCCATGCTCACATCTTTGTATGATTATTAAAAATTATTACCCTTTTTTCCAAGTTTTTTATAGATAAATAAAATAATTATAGTTTGTTATTTTATTACGTATCTTCAAATATTTTTTATCAATATCAATTGATTACTGCTGTTTAATAGATATGCGTAATAAAGTGTACATTGTGAATTATGAAGTCCAAGTAGCTGTAGCAGTTATTCTGATACTTCCTACATTTACTTCAGATTATTTTATTCAATAAATTTTATTTTTCATGTTTCATTTATAGTAATTCCGATTGATCCTGTTTTGATTAACTATAATCAAATTTAAAAAAATGGAAACATAAATAATATTGTGATGATCAGAATTTCAATTTTTGAGAAATGATCTTTAATAGTAAAGATAAAAAAATATATCTTATTCATGAAATAATTATTGTATTACAATATTTTAATATGAACAAAACATAACTTAAGAGATCAAGTACCGGACTTTGGAAAATCTGAGGTGGTATGTTACAGCCCGGATACATTGTACGGAACGTTGAACGTATCCACAATTTGCTCGATGCACGAGATACTAAGTTTACTTGGTACTCATGTCAACACTGTTACACTCTTCCCACTAAGTTATATGAACTCTGGACTGAAGTCTAGATACTGTACGAGGATAATATACTATACGGTGCACATGGTGCACTAAATACTGCACCTTCTAATACATCCAAAGAACGAAACTTAACTCATGTAAATGTTCATGTAGCAAAACAATGCAACTTTTTATCCGATGGTACTTTCCTAATAAGCCGACAGTATCATACCTCGCTGTCCATGGCCTTTGTCCAGTCTACTGCACTGTAATCGGTGGGCATCACTTCACTGGGTTTAAGGATCGGGACATCCATGTCGCTTCCCCATTAGCTCTAGCGTTGGCTCGCCAGGACCTCAGCTGGATGCACTTTACAAATTGATGGCTCTGGTTTAGAAGCCGAGATTCATGCAGCGATCCAGGTCATGATCTGTGCTCTCTGAGTGTTAGCTAAACTCCCTTCGCATCCAAGCAAACGCCCACAGCAATGTCATTCCGCAAGTGATGTTGCTGCACATCTTTACAGGAGTTCTGACTTGTTCTCTACGGTCTGAGGAGGGGATTCGAGGAGCATGTTATTATCCTGACTTCAGGTAGGTCTCATATCTGGACTCGTTACGGTTAAATATGGAACTGAAATATTGTAATTCCTTCTATTTCTGCAGAAGAAGATCGGATTGGGCAGCCACCATGTGAAATGTGGAAATAATCTTTGGATGCTTCGAGCATGTTTCAACGTGGAGTTAATAAAATGTGCAGATTTTAAAGAGATTATGAAGGCGATGTAAAGCATCAGAGTTCTGAGAAGGCAAAAACCATACTAGAAATGTGCACGAGGGCTCATGGCGAAGCAGCACCGACATGGACAACGTTCCGTTCGTTCACTCACTCACGTCGGAACGTGAGTGAGCACACAACGACAAGGGTGTACGAGGAAATCGAAAGTCGTAGTCGCTATTAGAAAGAAGTACGCATCGCAAGACACACTCCGATTCCCGAAAGCCTCTTGCACCGAGGGCCACATTACTGCACTGCCGTCTCCCGTTGACCGAAGCGGTGGACTGTCCCGAAACTGGACCGGAGTGGTCGGTCGACGTCACGGAATCAGAAGGTTTGTGTAGAGGGATCTGCTGCAGGGCCTACATCCAGGTCTCGTAGGGGGTGGGGGGGGGGGGGTGGAGCGCATCACCACCGCCGGTCACTGAGTGACCGACCGCTCTTGTAAAGCAATCCGCGTTCGCTCTGGCACGCTGCTGCCCCCCCCCCAAACGAAAACATAAGGCTAGATAGTTCATGGGGCCTGCGCTCGTCAGCCTCGGCAAGCTCATGGCCGGAGTGAATGCATGGAGAATAGCACCGATCCTTCTGGAATACGAACGGAAAGTCTGAACACTTGGAATGCTGATTCGTCGGGACTCGATTGGTAAACCCGTTGAACTTTTGCCAGTGCGGTGGAGTTTTGTTGTAGACAGTATGAGTCATATATAAATGACAATTCGAGACCAGTTGACCTGTTTTCGCACGAGCGTGATTGTATTTTTTGTTCTCCACCGAGCAAATTATAATTTGCTCGGTGGCTCCTCTAACCACTCCAGGGCATGGCTCCTGGACATGACTATCTGCAATGCGTGAGAGAGAGAGAGAGCGCACCCGAGATGGAACTATGGAGCGGTTGAGACCGAAGCCGCAATCGCAACATAGAGGAGGCTTTAATCTGGAAGGGATGGGTGGGATGAGCGGGAGTAAATCATCTGCAGAAATAAATCGCTCCCGTTTCCAAGTCTACGTTCGCTGCTGGCTGGAGGTCCTCTGTTCACACAAGTCAAAGGTGATATCAGCACAGTGCCAAAGCCTTTTGGACCCCGACCACAAGTCCAGCCTTGGGAATCAAACCGAGTGCCGCATCTTTGGTTAGCCCCAGTCACCCTTTACAGTTAGAATCTCCACTGAGTGGGATCCATCAGCGTAGAATCTGTGTGATGAGTCGTTTCAGAATGCGATTGGGCCCGAGCATGCCTCCCATACATATATTAAACTTCTCATCAGATGATTCGCTAGAATTATCTGGCCTTATGGTGCTCTGTGCTCGTAGTCGGGTAAAAAGATTCTACAGCGTGAACTCGTTCCGTGAATTTTGTTAGAGAGAATTCTACTGTTCTACTTCATCATGATCACATTCCGTCGACCGGATGTCTTTGTCCACCTGAAGCCTTATTGTACATCATGATGTTGTTCCTTTCTTGTGACTCGGGGCCACTTCACTCATGCCTACTCCTCGAGATGACAGCGAAATTCCAGTAAACAGGAAATGAATCGAATGGCGACCGGTGACTTCAAGCACATCAGGTCAGGCATATTTTTTTTAAATATACTTGTCTGAAGTAGACACTGAAATTGTCCGAGCAAGTGGATGTCATGCGTCAGTGGATCCTACTTATTTAATATCCCATTAATTAGATTCAAGACTTTAGATTTAACATTTTTTTCCAAGACTTTATATTTTTCGGCCGTTTCTTTATTAAATATCGAATGTATACCTCCTTATAATCTTCTGTAAATTTGAATTATCTGAGCATATTTCAGGAAAATATTGCTCGTAAATTTACAATAAATTTAATCCTTCGAAGGTTCTCTTTTGGGATCATAAGAATATTCGTCACATTTTAATCATACAACGAGTATTTTGGGAAAACAGTAGTCGATCAAGTCACCCTGAACCTCGGTTAAAGAGATGATTTTTCGCAGCATCGGGTAATAATAGGTTTATGAGAATTTCGTGCTGAAGAAAATATTGCGAGAGAGAGGAAGGCTCTTGGCTCTGGCAAGGGAGCAGAAGACGGGACAAAAAAAAGCTCCACTCTGGCTCCGCTGGCGAGCCGAGCCGAGGACGCGTCCAGCGAGAAAAGCTTTGTTTTCTCGAGTGTTTCTTGACCGGGGCCGTCTTTCGGAGCCGGCGCACCTTCCTTCCTTCCGAGATTTCCATCCGCGGCAACTGATGCCGCAGCCGAGGAAGACGGCGAGACGGCCAAACAGACAGAAAGAGAAAGAGGCGAGAGCAGCAGAAAAAGACAGTGCCACAGCGCTCGTCTTCTTTCTCGCTCCTCTTCCCCTTTCCTTTCCTTTCCTTTCCCTTCCCTTCCCTTCTCTTTTCCCGTCGCCCCCTTCCCCTTGTCGCACTTCGCTCTCCTCTCCTCGTCGTCCTAGGGTCCGGTCGGTCCGGTCCGGTCTGACGTCCCCCTTCCGAGGTCGCGAATTGTCGTCGTCCCTTGTGCAGGGAGGGCAGTCTCTCCTCTCCTCTCTCCTCTCCTCTCGCGCTCGCTCTGTGACGCTGGCGGAGTGTCGCCCTCTGTTGCTCATCCTGGCACCGCAGGCGGCCTCGCTCGCTGCTGCCTTGGGTTCTCCCGTCCTTCTGATCGTCCGTCTCCTCTGTGGGCTTGTCATTTTCTCGAAGATCGATTCCGATCGGGAGAAGGGCAGGCAGATGCTGGCATTGCGCTGGTGTTGTGGTTAATGGAGCATGAGTATGGCTAATTTGAGGTGAGGTGAGTGCGGAAGGGAACGGAGAAGCAGATTAGCAGCGGGCAGGGGCGGTTTTGGTGGCGTCGTCGTGTACAGACGCAGCAGCAGCAGGAGAGAAGGTGCAGGGCGGAGCGGCGAGGCTCGCTTGGATTGCTTCCAACGGTACGTCTCACGAGTGTTTTGTTTCCGATAGATTGATTCAATTGCAGCTGTGTTCGTCCTGCTGGCTTTGTGGGAATTTCGGCACGGGGATGTGAAACGCTGGTGCTTGTTTTTGTGGATGTGGTCGCGCGGTGGTCGCGCGCTCTTAGGGTTGAAAGCGTGCTCGTTCGTCGGCAGTGGACGTGCCCGCAAACAGTCGATCATCATTCTGTGGTGCCATGAAGAGGAGGACGATGGTGATTGATTGTTCCATGTCCAGGATGCCGCATCGTACAGAAGCCCTCGGTGTTGGTTTCGCATTAGAGGCGGAAGACGATTTTCGAAAGCTCGAGAGGCCATTTGTATCGTTGAGTTTTCCTCTTCAGGATGTGCCAGGCTTGGGTCCGCGGTTTCGAGTAGGAATTAGAGAAATTGGGAAGGTGACGAGGAGGGATCAGGCCGTGCAAGCGGAATTGGAATTGGACCGGGGACGGTGGTATTGCCGTCAGGGGAAAGGGTGGTGCCTCCTTGACTGATTGCCTGACTGATTGGGTGCGGTTGTCGATGGCTGTTGGTTGATTGTGCAGGAGAAGTTGACTACAGGACCAAGGTGTAGGGGAGCTGTTAGTTGTCTGTGGTGAGAGAGAGGGAGGTTTGAGGAGGAGGAGGAGGCTGAAGAGATGGACAGCAATAAGGATGAGGGAAATAAGTGCATGCAGATTGGAAGGGCAGCCTTGGAAGCCGGGGACAGGGAGCGGGCGATCAAGTTCTTCACCAAAGCGCAGCGACTGTACCCTAATCCAGATGCAGAAGCTCTACTGTCATCGTTGTACGAAGGCAGCGGTAAGCAGGCCGCAGACGAGAAGCCGTCCATGAAGCGGGGTGATTCCATGGACGCCAGAGAGGAGAAGAAAGACGGGAACGCCGGGATTCGACACAGAAATGGATTCCACCAGGCAGGATCCAGCAGTACGGCTGGATCCTCCGACGCCAGTGCCGAGCAGATCGAAATTGTCGCCAGGATTAAGCGGACCAAGGACTACTATCAGATTCTCGGGGTGACCAAGGAGTGTTCCGAGGAGGATGTGAAGAAGGCGTATCGCAAGATTTCTCTCAAAGTGCACCCGGACAAGAACAAGGCATCGGGAGCAGAGGAGGCTTTCAAGGCTGTCAACAAGGCCTTCCACTGCCTGAGCGACTCGGAGCTTAGAGCCAAGTACGATTCGTACGGTGCCGATGAAGATCACGAGTTCCACAATCCCATTAGGCGCCGCAGGACGGCCGGAAATCCTGTGTTCTACGAGGACATTTTTGAGCCCAACGACGTTTTCAATTCATTCTTCTTCGGCATGCAACAACCGCAAGGAGCGTTCCGCAGAGCACATTTCACCCGAGCTGCAGGAGCTGATGCCCGAGGAGGCCGGCAGGAGAACCACTCGAACAACTTGCTGGGTCTCTTGCAGCTGCTGCCCATTCTCGCCTTGTTTCTCTTCAGCTACTTCCCCTTCTCTCAACCAATTTATTCTTTAGAAAAAGTGGCACCATATCAGTTCCAACAGAAGACCAAGGAGTACGGGGTGACGTTTTACGTGAAAGCGGCCGAGTTCGACCGAGAATACCCGCTAGGCAGTCACTCGCGGAGGCAGGTCGAGGCCCAGGTGGAAAGAGACTATAGAGAAATCCTTATTCACAATTGTCGTGTAGAGCAGGGCTATCACAGGTGGGGCCAGGTTAGGGAACATCCACACTGCGAGAAGCTGCAACGATTTACACGGGTCTCTTAATCGCCAGCGTGCTGGCGATGCGGAATCTCTCAGCGGAGCTGGATATGTTTTGAAGTCACTCGATAAGACACAAGGAGCTATGTGATGAGTCCATACTGGACCTGACCTGTTGGAGGCTTAACAGGCTAAAAGCAACATACTTGACCAACAGTGTGATGAACTGAAGTCCGTTTTGCTCTTCTTTCATTGTTCTGTTGCAGAGAGCTTCACACGGCAATAGTTAGGTTTGATAACTTGTTGACGAGACCCTTGAATCACACTTAAACTGCCCAATCCGCTCATGCCGAGCTTTAAGTTGGTGCAAGTGGGAGGGCGACTTCCCGGCCGATTGATTATGATGATTTACATGAGGTATTCTATGCTGACTTCTGGGAACTTCTCTTCAAGGTGTACTCTTGCTTTAATCTACGAGTATCTGTCTGTGGAGTGCATGCCGAGCGGCAGCTTCTTTGTGTCCCTCCTTGTTCCTATCAATTGTGTATATCACAGGTAAACTATTGTTCTGTCTCATCCAAGTGGAAAGCTAGAATTGCAAGGTCCGACAAATTGTTGGCGTCTTTGCGGCTTGGAATTGAAAGGCTGAACGTTGCTGTTCACTTGAGAGACTGCAATAAACAATCTGCAGCGATCCTCTTTTTGGATTCGCAAACCTAGAGCTGACTAATTGCAACTTTTGTGCATAGTTGAATATGCAAGAAGAGGACCACGTTTGCAAGGATTAGGTGCTTGCTTTGTGCGTGGTCATAATTGCTTTCATTTTGCCTCGAGGTTGCAGTTTTAAACCACCAGCTCAAAGTGTAGTGCTGGTCGAGTTCTAGAGTGTTGTGGAAGTTTGTCTGTTGACTATCCAAAGAAGTTTTTATTACGAGGGAATATTTCGTTTTGCAACTGCAAAGGTTTGATACTGGGCGATTACAGCTCGTGTCAACGCAAGTGCTAGTGACAACAGTGATCAAACATGTAATTCAGTTGTTAAAACCAGGTCAACTGGAGACATCTATTATCATTGTCAATGTAGTGTAATTAAGGTTACAACTTTCGAAAAGCATCGCGGCTACACACTCTCTTTTAAGTCCATTTTACACCCAGGGCCAGTTGGTTAGCCTCACCTGCATCGTGCATTCGTGTGTTGTATTCATCCTCGCTGCAATGTCTGTTGTGAAACGTTGGGCAGTAACTGTGCTGCTGTTTACCTCTCGTGGATGATTGAAGGGATCTGGAAAATACGGAGAGTCGACACTTACGTGTCGGAGAGATCTAAGATATCTCGAAATGGCCTATTAAAGTCCCTCGCCTTGGTGTTCCGATGACCGTTCTTGTTTCTCTATTGATGTATTACACTTGTGCTTTTTATTACTCAAGCTCAGTAGCGGGGTTTTATTTCATAGACCCCGGTACTGGGCTCTTTCCTGGAATTATCCTAATGAAGAAATTGGGTACTGTCAGAAGGTTATGTGTACAAACCACTTGACACACACATTCATCTTTGCTTCATGTTGACGTTAGCCAACTGTCACCAAAAGTTAGCATTATTGTGTCCATGGTTTGGGTATTCTCCCCCACCTCCTTGCCACGAATCTTGTTTTATGAGCTAAATGTCCATTGGAAAACTGCCCGAAGAAATCTGAGTCGTGTCAGCTCTTCTTAAGGTGATTCGATCGTTTGATGTATCTTACCCTCAAAATCATCCAACAGCGGTGCGCAAAACTGAAGGTTGGAAAATTTGAAACATGCCGGAAAGCACATCCATCACATCTTTGCTGTATTTCTGGCATTCTATTCATCCACAACACGCTCTAAACTCAAAGCACCAGACTGGGCAAATAGAAAGTGTATATAACATCTTACCGATGCAATAAATGATGCTTGTATTGAATTCTTAATGGTCAACTTCTTGATCTTAATACAATCTTTCGTGGACTAGAGAGACACGAAGTCCTTTCTGAAGGGTCCGACCTCCCTGAATTTGTTCTGAATTGCACAAAAGGCTTGAACGTATTTGCATCAGCATTCTGCTTAATTGTTGGTGTGTCATACCTAGCTAATCACCAAACTCGCTCATTTGCTATCCAAACTTTTTGCTCACGCACCGTCTTCCCAAGAATAGCGCAATCTCAGTGGACGAATGACACGTTGCTACTGTATTAGAAACCCTCTCCAGGGATCTGCACAAGAATAGCTCTGCCATATGGATTGCGTTATCAAATACTCCATCCATCTAAAATGCATCACATCGAAATTCGCTTCGAGACAATGAGAAATGGTAGACAGAACCGAATATACCCAGTGAAGTTATGGCAAAGCAGCATCTTATAGTTAATTCGTGATTCGTGATTGGAGTATGTATATGTCACTTTACCACCGAGGGATCCTTAGAGAGTATAGATATATATTTCGCTTATATTGTTCATCGATCCATTGTTTAATTCATATCTCTCTCACTTCATTTGAAAATTCTTGGGCACTTTGAAAGTTTTTGATGAAAATAATATCAGGTCTTTGATGACATCATCATCAAAACTTACACTCTATTTTGACAAATTTACAATTTTAGAAAGCTTTTACTTTGTTTTGATGATTCCAACCATCTTGGGTATTACCACTTTTTTTTCTTTGTACTTCTTTAGTAAAATTACTTGGTACTGGACATTTTACTCGATCATTTGGCTTTCCGACTTGCATCAGCTATTTTCTTTTCTAAAAAATGCGATAATAGTTTTCAACTTGCAAAAATTATCTTTCATATAGTGATGAGATTTTATGTAGGCTTGGTCCACACAAATTTTCATTACTTAATTCAAGTAGCAAAGATACAATACTGAACCTTGCATGCAACAAAGTTCACGTAAAGACACATGTTGCACAATAGAATCATAGAAGAGAGTTAATTATATGTTATCAAAAAGTGGTGTTGTGACACTACAGACGGAATGATTTATGTAGAACGCGTTAAAACGTCTTGTATCCATACTGCATTGGGGCAGAATTATAATAGTGTCGAAAACATTAAGTTATATAATCAACACTCGGGACTTTTTTTTAGAACAAGTAATTAACTTGTAAGTCCATAAAACATAAAAAACATGAGTGGTGAAGATATAACCAAATTCTTTCAGAATATTATAAATATAGATGTCATTTAAACTTTCCGTTCCATGAAGTGATGTACAACGATTTTCATGAGATTTATAAATGAGAGTACCATTGATTTCCTATATGATATGACGAATCAAGTTTCATTGACATAAAAAGTAGATTAATAAATAAATATTAACAACTTACATTAAATTAAAAAAATTTTGGTGTTGAGAATTATAAAAAATCTATGCCTACACATCCTGCAACAAAGAGAGAGCAACTTTATATGAGTGTTATATGTAGCTTAAACTTAGAATACAAACCTACATGAAATCCACATATATATTTGGCTAACATATACTTAGACTAACATTTAGACAAACACATATGATAATATTCAAATTAAATTAGAATTTTTTCAAATTTCATGACTTGCACAAGTAGATTATTTAAAACAAATTTCATTTATTATTTACAATTTTTCAGAACTTATGAAATTTTTAATAACTCCACATATGAATAAAAATGTCATTAAACTAGATAATACAATTATTTCAATCAATAAATCATACATTGCAAATGATCAAATATATAAAATTAAATATTTACACTGGTAGTATTTTACGCAATTATATATATATATATATAGAACCTACAAATACAATTTAGAAAACTAGATTGCGCAGAATATTACAAGTGTAAATTCCAAGAATCAACATAAGTATAAATCAAGTGACATCAACACTGAGACAAGAAACAACCTGGTTCATTTCTTTGGAGGGCTACGTTCACGACGAAAGCACGGGTGAGAATTTTTTAGAATAACTAAAAAATATTTGTATAGTGCAAAAGCCTCGGAATATTTAACCCCCAGTCCAAATAACTATTCTAGCTTTCTTCAGATAGTATCCGAGTTTAATCCATGATCGGAATTAACCTCAACAATCTCCCATTAACTCATGTTAAGAAAACATTAAGCTCTATAACCTATATTTTTATTCCGCAAGAAAATCAAGAAATAAACCTAACACAAGGTATTTCTTTACACAAGAGTTAACTAGACTTAAACCGTAGTCATAACATGATAGAGTAATAACATAAAGAGTAACCAAAAAATGTTCACTGGAGTTAACTAAACTAAGCAGTTATCATTACAAGATAGAGTAATTATATCAAGAAAAATCTTAATAAACTATGCTAGAAAACTCTATATGTGCTTCTCTCGCACAACCTGCATAATAGCATAATGTCATCTGAAATTTTCTTAAGGAATAATTTTGATGAACACATCAACTAGATAGAGTTTATCGTCAATCTTGACTAGCTCAATCATTTTATGAAACATTGCTTGTCTAATAAAAATATCTGATATCGATTTGCTTCACTCTACTGTCCATAAACTGATTCATAACCAAACATAGAGTACTTCGATCATCACAATAAAGATTGATCATACCTTGTGTCAATTTCATCTCCATAATAAACATGTTGGACACATAAAAAAACGAGTGTTTTAGTTTGAAACTCTACCAATATCAGTGGTATTTCCTAATCATTGATCACATAATTATCAAACTCCCCCACAATCGTAACCATGAGTGAATATTTGTACTTGTCATTACGGAGAACATGAAAACTCTTCAATAATCTAAACTCATTGAAAGAAACTTTTCCACTAGTAAAAGCCTCAGGATCAGTATTAGAGTCTACTAATTTGCATAACATGTAATCTTGCATACCATGAGCATATTCCAAAAAAAGACACTTATTGGATGTAGGATATGTGCAGATATCTCATCCTCCGGCATTATGGGTCGTCATCCAAAAAATCGTACTCCTCCGGATTGAAGTTTTTTGCAGCATTCATCAATGGAGGGAAAATAACTTCTACACGACAATTTTTCTTGATGTGATCATTCTTATCACATTTCCAACAAGACATTGTCTTTCGCTCAAAAGACTTGTATATAGATTGGAATTTCTTACTTTCAAGGATTATACACTTGGATCTTATCATATGAAATCCAACATTCTGCCAATTGTAATTTGCAACGTTTGTCAATGAAATGAATCTTGCGACTTTGATCTTAGGAGTACAATCTTTCTAAGATCTTTTAGGATGTGGCCACTCTCGTCACATCTCGAACAAGCCATCGTGTTTTTTTCAAAGTACCTATCTCTAGACTGAGATATGTTACTCGCATGGATCATACTCTTGGACATGAATCTCATTGTCTTGGATTCAATATTCTGCCAATCGTCGTCACGTCTCAAACGTGATTTATCAAGAGTCATTGTCAACACTGTCCCAGTAATTGTCATGCTTGTTTTTGAGGCAATTTCTTCCACGGCAAATTTTTCCTTGTGGATTATCTGTTAGTTCTTAAATAATGTTTGGATACACAAGTCCATCCAGAGCTTTTTGCTTATATCCAATTTATCTATATTTTGACAAAGATACGTCGGATAGTTAATTGAAAAATAGAATATATATTAGTTTTGATTGGTTTAAGTAAATGGTAAAATTTATATTGGTTAGATTAATCTTAAAGCTGACTCAGTAACAAATGGAAATTCTAGAAGTTTCAAGATCTCCAATGATATGTTGCCATCTCAAACTAAAGTGAAATAAACTTATAAAGATTTAGTTAAATAAATGTTATGTTGCTACATTTGAGAATTAGGTTATATTGGTATATCTTAGTAAATATAAACTAATTAACAATTACAATTTGATACTTCTGACAATTTTCTAAATTTTTTAAATAAGAGAATGAAAAAAAGAAGAAATTTTCAAGCAAATTTGGAAAGTTCATTATGTGAAAATGTGTCTCATCAATGTTTGGGTGTATCAATCATGTGGATAAGTGTTGAATTTGAATGATGAATAAAGAATTTTTATATAGAGTTGTTTGAAAACAAGACATGTGTATGAATCCTTGTCTTTTAGAATCATGATGAGTTGTTGAAATTTCATCTAAGATGAATTAGAGTAGAAATCAGCATAGAGTTCACACTATTAAGTGAAAAAGAAATCATTCATTCTTAATGACGATAATCTAACTAGTCTCACGTATTTGATGATATGCAGAAATCATGATATTGATCTAGCTATGAATAAGGTGAGTATGTATATGTCAAAACTAGCGAAAATACATTGGAAAGAAATGAAATATAATCTCAAGTGTTTGAAGAGTTTAAAAAATTTGTTATATCTTTTGATGATTTATAAGACAATGTCCAATTTTTGCTAGGTTTCGTCAATACTAACTATGAATATTATATAAACTAAAAGAAATTTACAATTGAGTATATATTTACACTTGGTGATGAATGCATTAGTTGGAGATTTACTTTGCAAAAATGCATAGGATACATATCGGAAACTAAATATGTAGTGGTAGCAAAAGCAACAAACAATTTTATTTAGTTCGATAGTCTTATTGATGAGATAGATTTGAAACTTGATGTTGTCAATTTTCATTATGATAGTCAAAGTGTGTTACATTTTGTTGTGAATCAAATGATAGAACAACAAATTTTGACATTAAGTATCAACATTTGAATTTTTGTTCACACAAAATATAGAAGGAATGTGCATTTATTATATTATAGTTTTATTATATGTTATTTATTTACATAAAATATTGGTTTAAATATAAATATTGATAGAATATGTTGATGATACTTCATTAAATATAAACAATACAAAAATGCATCTTCAATCAAATAAACATAAAATATAATATAGAAAAATCAAATATTATTTTTCAAACAAACAAAATTAGTGATATTAATTTTTATATGTTTATTAAAAATAAAAATATAGTCAAGTTTGAAATGAAAAAATAAACTTCAAAAATCAAATTTAAAATAATAACTTTGATGTACTTTTAATTATTTTCATTCAGAAAAATATTAATTTCATAAATTTTGATAGTAAATTGAAGAAATGATAAGAATATCATGTCAAATAAATTTCTGAATAGTTTTAATTTTTTTCACTTTGAAAAATTTATGTTTTTTAAAAATTATATATATCGTTTCCTTAAATTGATAACAAATATTTTTTCTAGAAAATAGATTTCAGAAAGAATTTAAATTAAACTTGTACACTTATCAAATTTGCCATACTTCTTCCAATTCATTGTGACTCTTTCAATCATGATTGAGGTATACAACACAGTTATTACAACATATTTTTTCCTTTTAGAAAATACCTCTTGTGATTTTCTTGAGTATAATATAACATGATTGAATTTCATCTTATGAAATTTAAAACTATCAATATTTCTATCACAGTAAAGAATACATACTTGAAATTTATATCATAAAACATTTACTAGCAAAAAAAGAGAAATATTCAATGAAATTTTTTCAAAATATTTAGGTCAATTAGGCAGTACTTCAAGTAACAATAAGATTATGTACATTGTCAATCAAAATTTTCATCACATATATCTATCTCAAACTTAATGCATCTTTCATTAAATACAGAAAACATACATTCCGAAAACACAGTCATCGAGTCGAGATCATCCACAAGACTTGGAGTCATGACTTCCGCGGAATGCTGTTCAGCTGACTTCGTTCTCAAGTTCATATGCTATAACGTGAAGCTGATAGTAATAGTTTTGACATGAGCTATAATGTAATATTAGTTGAATTCACTTCTTCACCTCTTGTATGCAAGAGTTTTCTGGTTTGCATGTCGTTTGCTTGTCGTAATTTGCAGCTTGTCTTTCTTGTTCCTTCTCTCATCAATAGTTGTTGTTTATGTCGTGCATATGGTGAATGGTAGATAGATCAAGCCCGTGTAACACAAAGGGTCAAAAGGCTGAAAAACACATTAATAGTCAAACATTCACTGACCAGGGAAAATATCCTAAAGACCTTCATATGAATTAACACATACGTGCCACACTCACATGTTTGAACACCGGTGTTCTCTATTCAGCACTGGTGATACCGAGTTTGACGGTCTAATATTGTCAGATATATAATCGGAGAGTAAATCCCACATACTCGGAATGTGAAGATCATCCCGAACTTTCGCTAACAAAAGAGAAGCGTAAGAGTTGCATTCAACTAGTCCAACATGCTTCTATACTTTGCCCATGGACAAAGAATCTCATACCACGTAAAGAATGCAAAACTTCCAGCTATTGAAGAAGACTGACCACCTCTCTCAGGTGGTCAGTCTTCTTCTCTGTCTCTCCTCAAGTCCTCTTCACAGGAGTAGAGGCTGTGAGAACGGCAAGCATGGCTACAGGAACTGCCAATTCTTACGATCTCAGCGATACTCTCACAGACTTCAATATCGGTATAATCCAAGTCTCTTGAAGAAAGACCCAAAACCCGACTTTCCCTCCTACACATCCTCATCCAACTCACATACAGCAACACGGCGAGCTGACATTGGACAGTATAGTGTTTATTACACTCAGGCTACAAATGTTCCGAGGAGAGTGGAAAGAAGCGAACAGAATACCGTTCACATTTCATCTTGTTCTCTTTCTTGGATACATAAGCGTTCACCAACTTGGTTCACCGTCATCCGAGAGTCTTACAGCTGATCTTTAGTTGCAGGAGGTAAATTCTTCTAGGCTCAGTGTAATTATGATCAAGAATTATAGGAACCCAAAATTGTATGCAGGTATCCCACTACATACAGCGATCAAATCTGGGGGTCACCATAAGAGTGTATGTACAAACTTCTGAACGTAAAGACGTCACCATTCTTCTAAAGCGACGAGATCAAACTTCCTTCAAGGGTGACGTATGGTCCTGTTCCATCAAGCTCTCTAGGTGATTCAAACGGGGCTAACGTTCAAACTTACGAATTTTGTAGACCATCAGAAGTTGATGCGAGGCTATGGTGCATTGCAGTAGTTCTTCATGCTACTTGTAAGACCAGAACTCGCAATTCCTTTCACCTCCTGCCGGCAAGGGGGCGAATATGACACCTGAAAGGGTTTGAAGGTCAGCTCGTTCAAAACATGAGCAAGAAAAGACCAAACTTTTTAACTACATAGACAGAAGGCAAAGCTTTGGAATTCTTAAAGCAATCCATTGGAAACATAACTTGACTGACTTATGTGCAGGTAGTCACACAGCTCCTACGAGGAAAAGTACAACTCAAAGCGAAGTAGAAATCATACCCCAACAAACCGCGACCTGACCATTGTCTAGGTGTGATGGCTAAGTCCAATTTTACTCCATTTCGCAGAACCACGACCTCTACTGGAGATCCTTGATTTCTCTGCCCTTCGGAGGCAAGCCTCTGAAGAAGGTCCGTGTCTCCTTCCACACTTCCGAACTTCACTAGCATATCCCCCAATCTTATACCATCTTCTTCCGCCGGTGAACCGGCGGTCACTTCGTCAAAAACAGCAAATGGTGTGTAAAGGGTGGCCTGTTCCACTTCCATGTTGACAGGTTCATCTCCACCATTTGAAGACGAGGTACCCACAGCTACTGCTACAGAGGGAGAAAACGTTGTTCTCTGTGGTCGACTTTCTTCACCTGCAGCTATTAGAACAGCCCAAAAGCTGGATTCAGTTATTACAACGACAGTCAATAAAAAAAAATACATGAAATTTGGAACTTTCCTCGGCCTAAAAAACTGTGTATAGGAAGTGGACAATCTGTGCTCACGTACAAGTTTATGGTATAAACGAGAGCCATGCTAACGTAGAGAACTAAATGTTGACTTCAAGCAAAGCTATGCCCGGCTCCTAGCCCAACTGAAGTGAACAATAGTTGCACAAAGTGTATTAGGAGCTCAAATCTTCGCCACTTGTAACGGTAGTGACACCAGAGTTCCTTAAATCCTAGGAGGCTGAGTGTACCTTACCTGTACGTTTTTGAGGGAGGGATGAATCCCTCATTAATGAACCGGAATGAAGCACATGCAGGTTCTGCTCAATTTTCTTGGTAACCTCCTTGAGATCATTTTGGAGCACTGCAATTAGAGAACAGAGACCATAAAGCAACACGTTTTTCTCACGAACATGGAACCTTTGCACACCATCAACAGAGAAGAATCAGAGAATGTAGAAGTAAAGTGGATGTTACACGAAAGAACATAAATAATATGGGTTGCCGTCAACTTGCTTGGTGTGTCATAACAAGCGACATAAACTGGATGAAACTGGACAACAACTTTGGACTAAATATCACTTAACTAGCACAGATTACAAGTGACTGATAGCATAAGAGATTGTCAAGTACCAGATGTGGGCCAATATAAACAATCTTTAGCTCGCGACTTCTCCATGTGCTAAAGTCTCCAGTGATGGACAATTTTTTTTCTAAAATAAAATCGGTTGAATTTTACAAGTAGAAATTTCTCGAATAAGGAAAGCTTATGGTTACAGACAAGCAGTATCTTAAATTCCCTTTTAGAAGATTCTATTCTTAAGGTTCGATGTCAAATTTTCTTATTTGTCTCTTTGCGTTTTTCAGTTGCCAAATGCTCCTACTGATAAGAACAATAAGCGAGCAAATTCCGAGAGACCACCAGTTGGAGAATTATTGTTCTGTTTCTGTAACTCATGAAAATCGTCTATTAAAACATCAACTCAGTCAGCAGCAACCAGTTCTCTCAACACCTCTAATGATCAGAATGAGAGATACAAGAAGCTCCACATCTGTGATCATTCTTGGGTGCAATGTACTCCAATGATATTGTAACTCCAAGTATAACAGAGTTCACTTATACTTGGCAATAAAGGAGAAAATGTGTAACCATACTTAATACATCGATCTAACTATGGTTAGATCGATGACAATAACAGACTAAAGACAGTATTGGCAAAGGTGGGGTTCTATAACGGTTCTTGTCACCAACTTTACGCATGACACGAGACTGCAACTTGCAGGAGGTCAATTCTTTATGGAAATGTTCTGCTACAATAAACTGTCGAATTTGAACAGAATTTCGAAGGATTAATTGGTCAAAACTACTGCCCCATGGGAAACAGTCAATGGTTCGGCATTTGTTTGGAAAAACGGTATAACTCAGAGGTAAGGTTGCAAATTAAAACCATTTACACGTTGCCGATCGGATCGAACAGCAGCAATATCGATGTCTGCTCTTGGAAATCCCTGCAACAGAAAATCAACTGATGTCAAGATGCCCAAATTCCCACACTGAAACGTAAATCTCACTGATTATAACAGTTCATTCTTCCATACGATGTTTTGAATTGACCCTCTATAAAGAAACTATGCAAAAAACACGAATGTTCACTCGAGGTACAGGCTATTTCAACAATCACATGAAACTCGAGATGGAAGAAAGAAAGCATCAAGTGTATCACATAAGATCGGAAAAGGACAGAAGATATACGGCAAGAATACAGAAGGAGTTTATGCCATGAACATTGTTTAGAATCTATAGAAGCTGTATTGGAAATCAGTACTTCATGTGTTACTGCCTGCATTAGACATGTGTAAGACAGAACAAACCGACAGGTATGAAGAACAGCGTAGATCCAATCCGAAACAATTTACTGTCCATAGAGATTCTTGATGGAATGGACAAGAACCCTAACTATTCACGTCTTTCAAATCTTCGTTATCTACATTCCTCAGATGCAAATGCCTTCATGAGAACCAGAACTTTCCGCATAAAACATGAGTACTAGAGTCAGGGTAATAGCGTCAAAGCATTTTCCAGGAAACATTGGAAACCCAGCCGTCTTCAACTTAAAGACTGCAATTGCAGAACACCAGAAATTTTCCTGATTTATTATCCAACCCCACGCGAGAAATAGAAGTAATCTTTATGAAAGCACGCTGGAAACCAAATGTGGACGAACGGACGCACCCACGTACAACAGGATAGGATATTGAGACCAATTTTTTTGTCCAAAAGGATACTTATACGATCAGAATACTTAAGAGAATTGAGCTGACGACTTACATCTTTGTCCAAAAGATTGCCACTAAGACCAGGGCCAGCAGGAGGCTGGAGACGAGTTATGATGGCTTCCATCTCCGCCTCAATGCCAGCTTTCTTCTCCATCAATGTCAAGGTCTCTTGCTTCACATTGGCGCCCACCATCTTTGCACTGCAAAGCACTCAATTTCTGGATCGCACAGCGAAAATTGTGTCTTTGCAGCAACCGAAGCAGAATGCTCCTGTACGTCTACAATCACTGCTCAAAATTCCGAAGGCGTTTGCAGGGAAATAGAAATTGCTGCAATTGTTTGCCTGGCTCCAGTCTCAGAGAACAAATTCGTAAGTTAGATCGATCATCGATCGATGTGGTAGAGAGTCAGAGAACTGTGCTAAGTGGAACCTTGCGTACTGTCTCTATCATCAGCAATAAATGCACGGCACAAATAATCAAATGAAATTTGGATGATCTTGATGGAGTTTATTAAACAAGTCTACATCTGCATCACTGATTTATTCCTCTTTGTGTTACTCTAGGTTCGGCTTATTGATGGAACTATCTTTTGTTGTTTAACCTTTGATTTATACAGTTGCGATGTGTTAGGTGAATAAGTACACATTTTCCATGCTTTTGGAGCTAGCTCCATATTTTTTTTCTTCGGTTTCATCCATCCATCCATACACGGCTTGATGGGAATTGTTATTTGTGTCTTCTCAAAGTTTACTCCTGTGGGAAAGAGTTAGCGTGTTGGCATGACACTAATGTAGGCTGCAAAGTATAAGAAAAAGTTCACTCTTGTATGCCTTCTTGTCATATCGACACATTTCAATGTGAAACATTTGTCGTTGGAATGAGTAACAGTTTGCTGATCCATATTTTGAATTACCATCACATATGAATAAAGGTTACTGTATTCTGTACAAAGACATACCCTATAAATTTAGTCGTATATTCAAGAGTTCTGTCTCATAGTCATGCTTATGAATGTCATAGAAACTTTTCTCTGGCTTCGGAGTGAATATGAGTCGTTTCTGGGATCACGGGGACATGTGAAGGTGATGGTTCTGTTCTTCGTAAAGCTCGTTATCAGGAGGGGTCCAACTAACCCTACCAACGTTTTTGTGCCTTAGCTCAAACGCTAGACCCTCGGTGGAAATCTTTTCAGGACTATTAGCCCTGAATCATTCGTAGACCAAACGATAGTGCATTATGTCAATCTTAATGCACACAATTTTAGCAGATTAATTAATGTGTTGTCTCTTGAATGTATCAACGCAACTAACTAGAAAACACTAATTTGTGTTTGTTACATTTGTCATATTCCCGAGCCCTCCAGTGGGACGCTGTGTCTTGTCCTAGTGACTCTGATTTTGTAACAAAGATTGAGGAGTTTCAATATGAATCCGTTTTTTGCTGAGTGTTGAAATTTATCCTATTCATATAATCATTGTTTGAGAAATATTTATTTTCAGAACATGTACTAAAAGTTTGGAAAATGTTAATCTTTGTTAGTTATTATATCAGAAAAAATGTATATATCTATAGCTGATTTATATTATGTTAAAAATGTATGATTTAAAGAATAAAGTACTCATGTATATAAAGTATTTGCATCTTAATAATCTTCCAACTAAAACTATAAACAGAAACTTTATGTATGAAGAAATTCATATAAAATTTAAATATAAAGTAAATGTGAGATAGTTTGATTTGATTGATATAGACATTTTTTTCAATTCGTATTGTGTGTAGCTGTAGATGTTTTGACATTTAATTTCTTAAAAATTATCTTTATTGAAATAATATAATTATTTAGATAAAATTTCAGATTCATACAAATCTGTATAGAAAGTATAGATATAATGCTCTTAGTATACATCGATGTTTCAGCTGCAATAGATTATGGCTTGAGGCGAAAATAAAAATACATGAATCTACGGTAGAAGTTATACTAAATCCAGCTTAATACGTGGTAAACATCATATTTTTTTCAATCCATGTTGATTATATATATGTAGAATATATCGTATGCTTAATAATAGGAATTTGATAGCGTAATTGAAAATATAGAAAAAAATATTTAAGTAGTATACAAATAAAACTAGAGTGAATTATATCTTTATAATATAATGTAGAAAAAATATAATATCTACTCTAAGATAATTGATTCAACTAAATTTTATTAGGCCAACTTGGTAGATAACATCTTTAAAAAATATATATTTTAAGGTCATCTAAAATATACTTGAGAGAAAAATGACAAAATATTTTAGTTAGAATTTTTAGTCATAAATTAGTTTTTCTATGAGTGAATCATATAAAAAATATTATATTTTTTTAAAAGATTAAAAAAATAAGTTAATAGAATTTAACTTAGTCTATATAATAAAGTAGTTATTCCAAAACTATCTGATATATGATCTTACTGTCATCAATAGAAATAAAATTTTCTATAATCAAATCATATATTAATCTCATCAAGATGGTATAAAAGACATAATTTCTATGTGAGACATAAGATCCATTGTTTCATAGAAAAGATCTCGGTTTCAATCATCTGACGTATATCATTTTTTCTTACTCTTACTAAGAAGAGTCTCACATGCACAACATTTTGCATCTAATAAAGCCAGTCACAATGAATAATTAAGTTGCAAATCAATGAACCAAACCAATGTGGGACCTCATCCCTATATATACCATACCTGATAAAATCAATGAGATATGGTTGAACTAACACGGACAAGCTTTTCTCGTTGATAGGCGATAGTGCAGAGGAGTTCAAAGATGGATGTAGTGCTTACAACATGCTAGACTGTTTGAGTTCATCCAATAGGTTGCAAAGAGAGAAAGGACGTTATTTACTGTCTTAATTCCCTTTATGGAATCTCACTGGTCTAATATGACAGCACATTTAAGATAATTCAGTAAGCATCCTTATATTTTTTTTTTGTGAGTCTTCAGTATCCACCCTCTCTTATGCCAACGCGGAGGAGAGGATAACACTGAGGTCTAAAATGAGACCTGAAAACACGTATTGCCATTTTAGTAATACACCTCTTTCACAATTTCGAACCGAAGATATGCTTCGGACTTACTGCTACAAACTAAATGCGAACCCTTGCATACCAACCTGACTGTGCTCAACCCGTAATATATAAACACGGTATGAATGAAAAACTATGATACTATACTTTATAAAAACAAAGATAATTCGTTGTAATGGGTTTCAAGAGTTCAGTTGAAATCAGCATGGGGGGGCATTTGTTAAGTTCTTTCCCCGAACCTCTCTATCATCTCTGTCTAAACTTTTCACATCATACTCAACTCCCGATAAGAGAGCTGCTTTCCCGGTACATATTGAATCTAGATAACTCGTGGCTGCGTGGATAGATCCAGCTCTAGCCATACTCTGTCTTGACTACGCAAAGGCCACTACCCGTCCCGAGATTTCAGAATAATTTTGACCGTATAGACTTTTAAACTCTGTGTGCAGTTGCTGACTCGTACGAAACAAGTCGATTTTCAAAGTAACACCCATAAGATGATTGGGCTGGAGTAACGGACAAGTAGATATACAATTGTGGGAAGTTGACTTAATATTTCTCACGTCCCACTTCACGGACATCTCTAACAATATCCAAGACCGCGGCCGACACTCTTGGTAGCAAACCAGATCAAAGCTGATGTTCATCGAAGATGGCGAGAATCTTTGCGATCTAACTTGACTGCATAACGACCATGGTTCTCCATACCATTTACCATAAAATGACACGGAGATGTAAATCATCTCACGTACACCTTGCAGCAATGCAGGTATTTGATATGAAAAAACGGAAGTTGGACAATATTCTGAATTCTACCTTGATAAACAAGGTGTCTTCACAATCATGCACCAGCAGTACCGCAAGATAGCCCCAGAAACTGAGACAAGACATTTTGTAGGGCCTGCATAAAAGCGTGAACCCAAGGGAATCATTACATGAGTAACGGTAACATTTAACCTCCTAAACTTGACGTTTTCTCCCTATGAAAACTAAGTATGAAACTAAGTATTGGGAAGGAATAAGAACTAAACGAACAAATATGACACACTGGTTTGCGTACCACAGCTAATGACGAATAATTTAGTACAGTAGCTTTCAAATTGCACTATTGGGCCCTCAATGATCATCTTTTGAACGCATATATTCATGTTTGTAAGTTTTAAGAAGAATAATACTGTATTCATCTACGATCATTTTTGCACGTACAAGAAAATCTAGAGACAGTAATTACAAAAATTGATATAAATCATACCGCCCGTGAAAGAAAACGGATATAATCTAATTTTCAGCACAATATAGGAAAGAGGAATATCAGCACCTGAGCAGCGAACGCCTCTTTTCTTTCAAGTAATATGGCCATTACCGCCTCTGGGCTTTCGAAAACACTGTAAAATTGTTCATAAAACTTCGCCCTAGAAGAACAGCAAAATATAAGATACTGTGGAGTTCTTTTTAAACCAAATTTAACAACTACAACTATCATGAATGGCGTAAGTATGAAATTACTTCTACTTCATATTGCTGGTCTTGCATCGTTGAGGGGACTTTGAGGAGATCTTCGAAGTCCTGGATTTAGAGAAAACAAATCACACCAGGACGCGAAACTTACTGAAGTGGCACCTCTAGATAACTATCAAGTTCCTCAAACTTCATTGTGAGGAGCTCTGCTGCGGCTGGAGAAAGTGCATCCATGATGAGAACCCGTAGTGAGCGTGGAAATTGAGTCTGAAGTACATCACAGACACCATCAGCAATTTCTTGACCTCAGACCCGCTAGCGCTCACTCCATTAAAAGCACAAAAAGAAAAATGCACCAAGACTGGTGAGAGAAATTCTTGATAGTCTAACTTCTTGAAATAGAAGCAAGGTATCAGATGATCCACAATCACGTGATTACTTGCTTCCAACTAGGTCTCCCGTAAACAGCTAAAATGTTGTAGCCTACAACTGGGTACTGTTTTGGCCTACTGCATGTGGTGAGCATGGTAAGCTTTTGACACTTGGTTTACAGAACGTAAGTAGCATTCATCAATTTTCTTGACCTGAACAACAAAATACTTTAACCAGCACAGAAAATCTCCAAAATCTCGAGCTACTCTGATGTCTTTCACTTGTTAAGGTTCACAGTTCACGCTTGGAAATACAATCATACCTCGAAAATATGTTCGAAAACAAAGATATACTTCGATGTTGAAGGTAAACAGCTAGAATGTTGTAGCCTACAACTGGGTACTATTATGACCTACTGCACGTGGTGAGCATGGTGCACTTACTGCCATAACTAGCAGAACACGCTGAAGAGAAAGAGCCTCCAAATTGGCAAACACTCTGCATAGTGGGTCATCTTGAAACTCGACGGGTCTCTGTTGTTTGTTGGCTTGTCCTTCATTTCTATCAACTTCGATCTGAAAAGACTGACCACCAACTTTCTGCTCTCTAGCAGACTTGGTATCGGCACCCGGTGATGTTTTCATCTCACCAAGTGCACTTGTGACTAGTGTCCTGAGATGAAACGTCTCCTCGTCGGTCAAATCCTCCACTTTCGCTTGCTGTTTTCCCACGTTATAATTTCGATACCGTCGAGGTCCTTCATCTACACGCCACAAGAAACAGATTTCGTTATAGTTATCTTCTTTTATACATATAACCGGCGCACAAATCCACCTATCCAATCCGCTAATGACCAACATTTTCTTCGCTCAAAGTGGGCTTCACCTGGGTTACCAAACATCTCAACGCTTCAACAAACTACATAACAACGCGATCAAAAAGTTCACAGCAATTTACAACATAGCTAATAGTCAAAACCCAAGCGCTAGATGCAATTTTGTATCTCTAAACTCCATAGAGGTGTTGTAGTACCTTTAAGATCTTGTGTACAATGCTGTTCTGCAAGATTTTCAATCACTTTTATAGTATTCTTGGAAGAGTGGCATGTACTATCTGTGACATGTGCTCCTCTTCGATCAGTGCAAAGATCTATTCCATCTTCAAGAATACGCTTCTACAATACCACAAGAAAGTCAACGAATCAGACACAATCGAAAATTTCATGAACACAAATAGAAGGAGCTAAATGACAGAAATCTTTACCTTCTCCCGATCCAAAAGGCTGATCATTGTGAAATTGAATCGCCAATAAGGTCCCCGGCAAAGACAACACACTCTTTGTTAGAATCTAGCTGCGCACAAAATGCAGCTTTACAAACACAAATAATTCCATCCCAAGAATGAATTATAAAATGCTTTCCTAAATCTCCGAAACCACAAAAGAACAACTTCCATTCATTGTGGTTCACCAACACTTCAATCAGTCCAGTCAACATGAGACATAAGTTCGAGCAAGCAAGAAGTTGGACGTTTAACGTTACACAAGACATTTGTGTAATGATTCATTACACAGATGCACTATGTAATGAATCATCTTGTCCTGGACTACTAACACACATGTCCAATAACGATTTGATACCTGCCCCACCGAATGTAATGCAGCCGGTACATGGTTCTACTTAATTCTCAAAGGGAATGATTAGGAGTCATCAGTCTGATGTATAATCTCAAGAGGAGAAGGATACTTTGTGGCAGTGAAATTTGACGCACAAATTCCCAATTAAAATCTGATGCTGTCCAGTATGTGAAGATCAATCGATCCACCTATTTACTAACAGTTACGTTCGGGAGAAATTATGTACCTTAGCAATCCTAGTTGGCAAAATCCAATCGGCATGAGCCAGATCGATATTCTGGCTTAAAAGACGGTAAAGAAATTGAAACACTTAGATCCCTTCCTAGAAGAGTGGAGATATGAACACATGATTGCCCTTCGTTGTCTAAAAGACTCGTCAAGTCGTAGGGATGGTGAATACTTAAGGAGATCAGGGACAAGTTTTAACCCTTGTCACACTGGAGTAGTAGGACGCTAGTGACATGGTTACAAAAACGATCTCGCTGAACTCACAAAGACGGGTGTTCCTATGGAGAGAGAAATGGTGGCAGACGCGGTAGTGCGATGTACAAGATTGCGCACCTGCTAGATAGTTTTCGAGATCAGTAGCTTGGACACATCCGTCTCCAACAATCTTCAAGCGCACCAGCTCGCAATATTAAATGCTGAACCTATGCATGTCTTCAGGTCTCCCTGGGATCTACAGAAGCTTCGGTCGTCTTAATATCATATCAATTGAAACGTGCAATCAGGTGCTCATACGACCACTCTTCATTCTCTGGGATAAATGTTTACTTTATATGTGATCTCAGAGTTAAATAACAAAATCTGGATATCCACAAGCTCTTCGAACCTCCTAGAATTAACTCCACTCAACTTCCCAACGACTTTCAGTTCATTGTGATGGGAAGATTGCTAGAATGGCAAGAAATCTTTACATCACTGCAATATTCCATCCCTAAAACAATAATCATCCATACTCACATTTCTCAACAGACAGCTGCTACATCATCCGACATTGACATCTATGCAGACGTCCCATGCGAAAGATATTTTTTGAGAGTGCTCACTTTACAAGGGGAAAATGCTCTAGACCTTCTCCGAATATGAGGAGGTATTATCCCGAGACCAGTAGCACTCACTCAGGAGAGTACTCCCGTAGTTAAGCGCTAAGACAAACCAAAAATGCTTGCTCAATTCTAAACAGAGATATCACCATGAAGGAGGTCGAGAGACAACCATTCAGATCCTCAACCTGAGCTTCATTCGCCACAACGTAGGTACATCATCGCATCATATGTTGTTTCTATCTCTTCTCGGCAAAAACTATGTGTGAAGCGACTGAAATAACAAAGAAGCGACTGGAAACCCGATATACACGGAGCATATGTTCATTACCTGGATATCACACGTCGTAAAATGTACCCATCCATTGGAGACCCCAGCAATAGTGAAATCTTGGAAGGCCACCAGAAATTTACAGCAATTGTGACTCCTGTATTGTTCACTTGGTGATACCTGTACATCATTTGAGTAAAGACTTCTCAATCACATGACAACCAGCCTTAGTGGACTCATTGGCAATTTTCCATCTTATTCCGGCTTACAGTCAAGAGTTCAAACAGGAGGATGAGAAGTAACAAACGCAACTTTCAATATTTGCAGGGGACTACTGGCATGATAAAATAAAATAGAAATACTTGTACTTCGCTTGAATCAACGCCAAAATAGTAGAAAGTTTCAAAACACTGAAAAGCTTGTCTTCTTCGAGTTCTCTTTCAAGTCTTCCTCAAGAATGCACACACATCTTCAGTGATACGAAAAGCTTTTAAATAATTTGGAAAACAGTTGTAGAGAAGATATACAATAAAAATGTGAAGTGTGGCAGGTTGGTGTGTGTCTATGTATTTCTTCAAGCTCACTCTCCTAGTTCCACTCAAATGACGTGCTTTAAGAATCATAGAAGAACAGAAAGAATCAAGTTCCAGCTGATGTAAAACCCTCGAACAGATAATAGCAAGTTCGTACCATCCTTCAGGAATAAATAAGGCATCCCCTGCCCGCAGTGTGACCACCTTAGCACCCTGTACGGCTTTCTTGAAGAGAGGATGCATATTGTAATTTGGTACCACCATATCAACGCCGCTGCAATTGAAAGCGCTGAATGTTTAGCTCTGTGCAGTGAAGGAGGGAGGATGTTTGAGTATATGGAACACAGTTTGTGTTCATAATTACTCTACAACACAGCTTCTTGTTCCAAAGTACGGAGAGTCGGCCAAGAGAGCGAACTAGAAACTCTCAAGGTATTTACAATATGATGATTTGAAATTCTCAGTGACTGTATGAGCGTGCCTATGCTGAGGCATCCTAATTGCAAGGGCCACAAAAGCACGCCAAAACTGGCTGAAAATTTAGCTCAAAAAGCTTAAATGCAAAACGACTTGCCTATGATTGGATGCCTCTCCATGAATTGGTAGAGGATAAAGATACGGCGCTGCAGAAGGAGGCCATAAACTCACTGCAAAGCAAGTTCCTCTCATGTCAAAACCAACGATCCACGTTGATTGAAAATGTAAACTAGATCCACGAAAACAACCTGTGATGAGAGTACTTCTGTTCTCGGACACCAGTTGATAAATGTACAGATAAAACAGAAAGAGTCATGAAGATTTGACCAAATCTATACAAAGAAACACAGAGTTGTATTTTGAAGGCATATATAAACCTTTCTTCTCTCCCGCCACAACACAGAGAATGTTGTGATATGGATCATAGTGCGTGCTTGATCTAGAACTCTTCATGCTCATCCATAAGTTGATGTTCCAGACATCTTTACCCTCCAGCACGGAAGGCTGCCAGTTGAAGTATTTTAAATTAGTCTTGAACTTACGTCTGCAAAAGGTATACCACCTTTTGAATCTATGAGGGTAAGCAGGAAGTGATTTGCAGCTGACATGTGTTACCAGCACATTTGACGTTGTTCTAAATTAACGCAGCTTGCAGAATCCTATCTAATTATTGAAGATGTGTAGTGACCATACTGCCGATGTGTAAACTTTACGATAAAGCACATTAGACAATCAGATGCTAGATGTACGTACATGAACGTGTTCTAACCAAGCATTTGCATTCCGTTCACCACTTTGCTTGATTTCTCTTGGAGAAAGAGAATCTACTACACGTGAGTGAGTATAGTGTTTTGGAAAATACTCTGATAAAAAGACATGCAAACTCAAAGAAGTCAAATGGCTGGATAAGAGTCACTATCAAAAGCATGACATACCAGTTCTATGTCTTGCATCAAAGGCGACAACATCGTCTCCCCTTCTTGTTCTTTACTGTAAATTGGAACCTACATAGCAAACGTTTCACCCGACCAATAATTAGTATGGTGGAATGTGGTTAGTGTAGTCTCCAGAACTTCGCTCACGCTCCAAATTCCTTCAAATAGATATCGGTGAGAGAAGAAACTCACTTTTTAACATTGACCTAGATTCTAGAATGTACCTGGGCTAGATACAGTTCCATCTCATGTGCTTTTCTGCTATCGGCGAGTCCATCTGTAGTAGTCGCACACTCTTTTTTTGTAAATTCCAAAGAATGAACATCCTCATTAGAAGAACGTTTGGCGGCACTTTGAGGTAACATTTCAGACGCAACAGCCTTTTCCATCTTGGACTCGGATAAGATAAGGTCAATGAAGCTGCCAAATTGAAGAGATACCTGAAACCCCATAACGAACCAACCCCAAACCAGAGACCTCACATAGTTCAGTATTACATTCACCTTAAAACAAGAGACGACTGTGCATACCTGTACTTGGATTGATAATGGAGAAAGAAATAAGTAGGTAAAAGACACACAGATACAGATATGTTTCATGATACATTGAGTATAGTAGGAATAGACTTAACTCGATCATGGCCTTTGATGTGGCCATAAAATACCGACCCTGATTTAGAGGTAATGGCTTGTATATGCGTGTCACCTGCCAAGTGCTGCGGCACAAAACAAACTTAGGAAAAAGTAGAAAGAAGGCCACGATAACAATAATTCTGCTGAAGAATTTATAAACTAGACAGTTTTAGAAACGGAGGTAGAGTAGTAAGTGTTCAGACCGTTTTCACGTCAACCGTGAAGGCTTTTAAATACTATGTTGCGTACGAAGAATCTAAAACTTAAACGTGTAACAGGGATCCTACACATGATTCAACAGTCTAAAAAGATAGATGATAAACAGTCCATGGCATGGACTTGAGTACGCTGAGCACAAGTTTTGTAACCTTCAGCAACGTGGGTGCTGATTCTTCCACCAGGGGTAGTTCTAAAGCCTTCAATAGCTTACAACGTAAAACGGCAATCGCAAGGAAGCAGCCTCGGCATTTTTATATTCTTTGAGATTTCCGGAGATAAAGAGAAAGTTAAAAGCTTTCAAGCTAGTTTGGAAACTTCGTGCAGAGTTGTGCCTTCTTCACGAGCAGTCCTAAATTATTTGAATTGAGATGGAACTAATTCGATAAAACATGACACTGGACAAAAACTGAGAAAGAGAGGGGCAAAATACCAACAAGCCGCGTCATTTCGTGATCCTTGGATGGGCACCAGTGACTACATCTCGAAATACCCGCACACAAATGCGATTGAAGAAAAAATTAAGTAGAGATGGCATATGCAGTCTGAGAGTGAAGTTAATCCAACCTTTAAATGTTTCAATCCACCATTTTCTGGGTTCCATCGTGAAATTGCTGGCCAGGTTTCCAGTGCCCCAACCATGACCTGGAAAACAAGGACACATAGAACAAACACGAATAATTTCGTCTGATGTCGTAAAATAATGAACTCCAACTTTAGCCATGACTTCTTTGGCTAGAAGATAACAATCACATCCGGCCATACGCACAGTCCTCTAAATGATTCGGCAGAAACGAAGTCTGCAATTCGGAATGGGAAGACTGATCGGGAAGACAGACTGAAGACAGGCTGGAACAAGGCTCAAGTGCCATGGGCAAGTGCTTTCATTATTAGACTGGGCAATGGGCAATGGGCAATCTTGGACGTCAGAAATCCCAAAAAATTGCCATGCACTGACATTCGCCAATTTGAGCTATATAATTTTCAAATAATTAATCTTTAGTTTTTTACTTTTGAATTCCAAACAACTGTCTACAGACAGACGTAGAACATCAGAAGACCAGAGTCTCGTGGCCAACGTATTTGGAACTAACCCACAGAAGAGAGCAGAAGCTCGTCAGTCAGAGAACTACAGCCTCGGAATGGCCTCACTGCAGACGATCGGGGGTCTTCACCACAGCCGGGTAGCCGTGTAACTGGAGTATATGAACAAACGAGACATACTTGCTCTAATTCTCAAGAATGTCATAAGGCAATGCGAACTATGTGAAATCCACGGAACGAGCTAAGGGATGAAGAATTACTAATTACTCAACGCCGGCAAACAATTTCCGGTAAAGAAGACCGAATTCTTCAAACCTGCAAGACCCCGTGACTGGAAGAAAGACAAACCGAAACAACGCCAAACGACGTACAGCTGGGAAATTGCCGGCCTCCAGAGCGCCGAATTGTACATCGACCTCGGTTCCGCGAAGGCGAGAGACGCCACCGCCATCGCCCATGAAAGCGAGAAGAAGCGAAGCCGACGCAGCGAAATTCCGCCCGCAAAAGCGATGCGAGCTCCGAACGCGCTCACGCGAATTCGAATTGGATCGTGACGAGGAAAGACGAGGAGATCTGCGCGTCCACGAGGAAAGAATTCTTGCGAGGCGAGGCCACCGTGAAGACCACAACCGCGGCGAAGCCCTGCCAACTGCGGACGCAGTCGGGCCAGCTTCCCTACCACGCAGTACGGGCCATTAAATGCCACTACGGTCGGCCTCTCCTTGTCGAACGAAGTCCTGTGCTTACGGGCTACAGGGCGGTCGGTCATGAAGGTTAGGAGGGGCCATCACGTCCGTGTTACGTGGCCTACACTTACGTGGCCAATCCGAATCTAATCTTCCTTTGCGCCGGACGGAGCCCTGTGGACGTACTATCCGTCCACGGACGGACGGATCGTCGATCGATCGATTCGACGATTCGAGAGCGCACCGACTTGTCTTTTTCGTTGCTGTACCCCGCGTCCTAGTTTCGGCCGAACATGTCGGACCGACGTGTTCCCGAATCCAGGCTTCGCTCCACGAGGAGGCTCCAGCCGCTTGACCTTTTCTCAGCCCATTTGTTCTTTCTTGAAAAGCTGGTTTCACACCGCCGGGGACGGGAGTATGTGAACGTACAAGAAAAGACTAATCCCGGATATTTCCCCCCTCCCCTCGGACTCAGCGCTGCAGAAAAGTCTCCACTTGTTTTGCGCTTGCGGTGGCAAATCTTGGTGACCTGCCCGGGCCGGTGACTGTCGTGACGTGATATGGGCCGGCACCGGTGGGCATGGAGGAGCTCTGTCCTTGCTAGCTGGGCATGTGACAAGGACCCAACCTTCCGAACTACTACGTAAGGGACACGGCTAGCGACCTTGTCCAGAATCCTCCACCTGGTAGACGGATGCCCCGCCCCGCCCCTCATTTCTAGTTAAATACGAGCGAAAAGACCCACACAAGGAAAGGGGTAAAACCCTAGAAAGCTTCCATGTCATATTCGTGTTATAGCATTTGGGCAATTAATTTATTATTTTCTGTATGTGTATGTCGGAAGGGTCGAAGTATTGAACCGATTAAAACCTTGTGTATAGGGTTTTCTTTCATCCAGACTGAATTTTGAGACAAAGATTCTGTCGAAATACTAGCAGTGAGTATCCTCATCCTACAATGTTATGGTGAGAGAAAAGGAAGCCTACAGTGGAGAAAGCGGATAAACTCTCCCACAGTGTGTATATCGACCCCGGGTTTTGGCACCGAGTGACGGGCGTGCATGCGAGGTCGATGTTGTGGGAGACGAGCCAAATCTGGACGGCTGCAAAACCCAACAAAGAAAAGCATGAAAAAGCTCGGAAGCGAGATGAGTCAACCACGACAGTTGTGCGATCGGAGAAGGTCAATATTTGAGAAACTCCGGACATCCTCTCGTTCTCTTTTCGGTCGCCCGTCTGGTAATCGATCACATCGGTCAACACTTCGACGTGGCGAGGAAACATTTCTGGAAGCCATGTCAATACAAAAGCGATGACAGGCTCGAGTTTCGACTCCAATAATCCTCACCCTTCTGTCATATATTGAAATATCAAAATATTCCTTCGTCCTTCAAAACCGCAACAAAAAATGACTTTTTCATGAAAATGAATCCTTTCCATTGTCTGAATCGAAGAGTCCGAAGGAAAAATTTTCCGGAAATATTCTCTTTATAAGAAAACTGGTGAAAATTGGATCAATATCTTGCAGAAGGGAATACAATTTTCTATTATTCGGTGCGAGGGTTGCGGTGGCTGGTAAGAAGGAGAAGGAAAAGGAAGGGCCAAGTGGATGAAACTCGAAGGAAGGAAAGACCTCCAGTTGTGGGTAGGTGACCGGGTTCTTGAAACTTGCCACGATTATAAGATGGCAAGGAACGGGGAAGGAGGGCTGCGTTATAAATAGGCGGAGACGACCTTTAAGGGGCAACATTAAACAGCAACCGAACGAAGCGCGAGAATTCTGTCGCTCCGAGAAATCTGGCCCGTCCGTCCTTCCGTCCCTCTCTCTCTCTCTCTCGTACTGCCCTGCCGTGCTCTGCCCGCCGCAGTCCCGTCACAGTCACAGTCGTCGAAATCCACCCCATTGCCAAATCTGGCAGTACGGTAAATCGGCCCCAGGTTTTTGGGGGACCTTTGCTTGATATGGAGGACGTACCGGAGTATGATTAGGTTGGACGAGGGAATCAAAAGGTCGCAGGCCGATCGGGGGACCGCCACCGTTGATCCGCATCGAATGGAAGAACGAGAGCCGGTCACGGAAGAATCTCCGGATCCAGGGAAAGATCCGCGCACTTGGTGCGCCGCGATTGGCCGGAGGTCCGTCACAGAATATAGAGACGACTTTGCTCGTCCCGTCTAGGAACGCGCAGATCAATGATTCGAGAGATTCCGAGGTTTCCGTGCCGAGGCGAACGAGCGAGCGAGTGATTAAAGCCCTTTTTCCTTTTCTACGCAGTCGATCGGGGGCTCGGAGACGTCGTCAAATCATTCCGGGCCTCTGTCAGAATAGTTATTGCCAGGAAACCGCTGATGAGCGCCGGCTTGCGCGAGATCCGACCTTCGATCCCGAATCTGACGACCCCCGATTATTGGGAATCCGTTCATTGCAGCAGAGCTTATTCAGGCCCGTGCCCAACTGCGACCGCAGTTCGCTTGCCACGCCGCGGTCACAGTGAGACAGCCGGTCGCCCCTTCGTGCCTGCTGCCCCCGCCTAGCCCCGTGAGTGACTGCCCCCCACCCGTCCAGCCAAGCCCGGCCCTTTCCTCCTGCTGGCCTGGCTCCGTTTGCTCTGTGCCGCGGGGGCTAAACTTCACTGGACTGCTCTGCTGTTCGCTGAGCGCGTCTTGCCTTCGTCTGCCTCGGACTGCTGCTCCTTCTCTTCTGCGGCTGCTGGTCGGTCCGAAAATCGACCCCTCATTGATTTCGTTCGGACTCTCTCTCTCTCTCTATCGAGGGTCGGTTTTGGTGCTCCGTCCGTCCGTCCTTCATTCCTTCCTTCTGTCCCCTGCCCTGCGCCCTGCCCTGCCCTCGTTCACTCACTCACTGAGTGCAGTGCTGTGCTCTGCACCGCCGGGCCTCCTTGGGTTTGCTTGCTCATATTCTGCTGCTGCTGCTTCTGGTGGTTGTGGTGGTAGTATTTGGCCTTCATTCACCATCGACGTAGCCTCCTTTGTACTGACATCTGAGTTACTCTGCTGCTGCACCTGTGCTCGCGAGTAGCGCCGATTCTTCCCCCCGTCACCGAGTGTGCATCTTTCAGTTTGAGTGCATTTGGAGGTTTTAGTTTTCGTTCCGTGTTGTGGTTCTTCTGTTTCTTCTTCTTCCTCTTCCTCTTCTTCTTCTGCTGCTGCTGCTGCTGTTGGGTCTGCTGCTTCTTATTCTTCTCCCTGCACCTCGTCCTCGTCCTCCCCTTCTTCTCCCTTTCTTTTGGAGCGGTGGTCTGTGCAGCTCTTTCATCGGAGAGCAGGCGGAGCGAGTGAAGCTCAGGGTGGGTGACCGTCCACTGCCTGCGCATTTTGTTCGCTTTGTTGTGGTGGTTTTGCTGTGCTTCCTTTGTTCGGCAAAGGGTTGTGATCGCTGGAGTAGCGGATCTTTTTCTGGGCCGTGCATCTGGGACGTTTATATCGCCTTGCAATTGGACGAGAGTTTTTGATCGGCCGCGGATGCTTGCAGAGCAGAGGCTGGGTTTTGCTGCGGCGGAGATCGTGGTCAAAAACGGATCACACCTCTAGATAGTGTGAGATCGGGGTGGATGGGCGGGGCAGTCATGCCACCAGAACTCGAGAGTGCCGCTCATGTGCATAGAAATGGGAACTCGGCGAAGTCGGGGGTTAATGGAGTCAGCGATTTGCCTTCGCTGGCCACAAATGGCAAGATTAGCGGGCAGGAAACTAGTGGTAAATTGAACGGGATTTTAGATCTAGAGAATCAGCCTTATCAAGAAGGCAAAACAGAAGAAATGGTTTCGAGTAGCAGTGCCGACGAGGAGGTTATTCAAATGCCGAGGGACCAGAATGACGAAGCCACGGGAGTCTCCGTGCTTAGTGATGACGTCGTAGGAAATGCCAAAGCTGCGAGCGGAACGTCTAATGGTGATGCACCCAGCATCGTATCCGATGGAGGTCGTAAACCTTCCAATTTGAGCTCTGACTGGATAGCTGCGGAAGGAAACACCGGCTGGGAGGTTGCAGGGGATGAAAGTGTTTTAGGTCCAGGTCCTGCCCAAGAAAAAGCAGCAGATTTCAAGGCGGCGCCTACTCCTGAACTCTACTCTTTTTGGATGGTCAAAATTCCCCGACCGATTGACAACAAGGGGAAGGCGGAGATCAGGATGGCAGAGATGCGCTTGAAAGATAAGACTGAGAAGCGTGACTTTATCAATGCAGCATTCCAAATGAAAAGGGTGAGTGGATCTGTTGTAGTGCCTTTGCGGTATATCCATGTCGGGATCTTTCAACGAGGCAGAAAAGTAGATCCCTGAGAGAAAGTGTGCATGCAATGCATGGAATCATGTCCTCGTTGCCGATCTGTTCGCTGCGTCTCATCTTCATGGTAGAAGCGGATTTTTCTCTGTTTGTTGAGCTTCTCGGTTTTGACAGCTGTCTTGCATCTGATTATACCTACAGGCTGCTCGCGGTGAAGCACTCGACAAGCTAAGAGCTGCTAGGGAGAAGGCGAGAGCTTGTACTGAAGCAGTTCGGAGCAAGAGAGACGACATTGAACCTCTGCAACTTGCTAATAAAAGATTCAGAGAAGCAGGCCGACTTGCAAGAGACAAAGGTCGAGATTTACCTGCTAATGAGGAGGAGCTGGACCAAAGGGTAGGACCTGAATCCGAACAAGACTTCAAACACTTTCGATGTGATTGATCTAGAAAATCTTCGTGCAACAGTTGAGATTGTGGGTTGACAACGGATGTCATTGTCTCGATATTTTGTCAGATCAAGTACCTTGAATATAGGATTCAGCATGAAAGTATACCTTTGAAGGAAGAGAAGCAGCTGCTTCGAGATATTAAAAACTTGAAGGCTTGTCGGGAAGAGGTATGTGCAAACGCTGCACTCCATGCAGAGTTCGCGGAATCTTTGGGCGAGCGAGACGAAGTTCAACAACGTTTGAGTGTGAGTAAATCAACTGAGTTCTATTGTATTTTTTGGACAAGGTCATCTCAATTATTGAGTATGTGGAAATGTAGTCGTCATGATCATACAAGTGCAGATGCTCCATCTCTAACTTCAAAAGCCTTCGTTGCAGCCCTTGATTGCTGAGTTGGAAACTCTGAGAGCAGAGCAAAATGCAGCGTACGAGGCGATCAGAGCTGCGGAAGACGAGTTCGAGAAAGCAGATCGCGCTGTGAATGAGGTCCAGAAGGATTGGGCAGATGCTAGTCGTGCTCGACAAGAAGCATTTGATGAACGTTCACGTCTCATGAGACAAGACAATGCCCGGGTAATTGAATTCCTACTGGACTGAGACGATTGGTTATTATGTTTGTTCAACATGGACCTACTCGTTCTCTTTTATGCTCTTCTTTGTATTTTTCATTTTTGTTTGACGTAAACTTATGAATCCTTGTTGTGACTAACGAGGAGTAAGATGGGATGAAGAGGGAGGCTGAGGATTAATTGAGAACGAAAAGGGGTCACTCTTTTAATAGAACCTCCTTCCATGAAAGAGATCAATATGAAGCTTTCACGTGGCACTGAAGAACTGTTTGCTAAATTTTCTAAATCGTGCCCACTTCTTGATAGTTATGTCTCATTAGATCAAGACTCCGTATTCGAATGATGGCAATAATCGAATTCCAATCTTCTCATAAGGATTTTTTTAGTAGTTGAGATTGTTTTGGTGTCTTCCTGTATGTATACCTCGTATCTCGTCTTAATGTCTTCAGTAAATTGGGAGCCACAGTCGTAAACTATATCATTATAACAGGTCATTTTGAAATATCTCAAATGGTGTTAAGCCTAATTTTGAGTTATTGAAATTGATTATTTAGAACTAGAATCCAACAGTGTTGTTCACCTTTACTGTTGTTCACCTGTTAATAAACGTGGTCATGGAAAATTCTCTACCACTCCAAGGCCTGTAAGTAGAATTCTAATGTTTGTCTCATGAATTACAGAATGATGAATTTTATCAAAACAAGCGCGACTTCCAGAATGTTAGGCAGTTGGCCTTCAAGAAGGAGAAAAAACTGGTGGAAGAACTCTGTAACGCTCAGGTATATATTCTGTTTGTCACTTTGCATGTCTGATTCTTTTTCCACTTTTGGCGTTGCTCACACGATGATCCTTCTTTAAGTTTTTTGTAGGCAATTAGTCTATGTTTGTATCAAACCACTCTTAGGAACTCTAGCGAATCCATTTTTTTTTCCCAAGAAATATTAGAACAGCTATTTGGGATAGACAAGCAGAGTATTGTTGACGGATATCTCTATACTCGTTTCGATGAGAACGATTGTTTGCCGGTTGTTCTATCTACTATCAAATGCGTGTTATCAGATTTGTTTCATTTTCTGGTAGATATGAGCGTGAAAGTTTCATGTCCTTTCCCACATTATTGACCGGTAGGTTCTAAGAACCAAAAGGATTCTTACATCCTGGGTTTTGTGGCTAAGTTTGTATGTTATATTCGAACCGAGCCCTCTTACGACCAGAGAATTTCAGACGGGGAATTTGGTCACATACATCTTGTGGTTTGTCTTTATTTGTTGGTTTCTCTGCATAAATGTATAGTGAATGAATGGTAGCTCATAAACCAAGACACTTCTAAACATTTTGATCAAATCTTTGTGGCAGACATTTTCATATAATGTAATCATGGCGTGATTTAGTCTTACGATGTGTCTGGGAGTATCTTATTAGTTATCTTATCTTATTTGATTGGCCAGTACTTCAAAGAAATTTTCTGTACTGGGTACGATTGATGAACTGGAGGATTTTGGATGCAGGTGGAACGCGTTCTAGACATGTGGAACAACAACCCTGAATTTAGAGCAAATTATATCAAGAGCAACGAACGGAGTACGTTGAAGCGGCTGTCAACATTCGATGGGAGATCATTAGGCCCTGACGAAGAACCACCGCTGATTCCAGGAGATGACGATATGATGGCGGAATCGAGGACTGAGGTGGGAACATCTAATACTCGGAAGGGAGAAGCGCAATCCAAAGTTCAGTCAAAAACGTCTGATCCAAAATCCTCTGGTCCAGTGTCAACTTCTGACTCCCACAAGAAGGAAGCGGAACGAGAAATGGCTCCTATTGCAAATTCAAATGGAAACGTTGCTCATACGAAGGCTTCACCTGTCGTAACCCCTGTACCTGAAGCGACCAAGCAAGAAGAGGTCAAAGTTGACCCCGCAGTTGCCGCCGCAGCTGCAGCAGAAGATAAAGAGAAACGGAGGCAGCAAGAGATGGCTAAAGCCAAGGAAGCCGAAGAGAGGAAGAAAAGAATGGCAGAAAGGTCACAGTCAAAGGCTCTAGTCAGAGCCCAAAAGGAAGCAGAGAAGAAGGAGAAGGTATGGAATTTAACCAAGTTATCGCTAAACCTCAGTATTCGTGTCGAAACTGGCCATGATTTGGCAACACTTTAGTTTTTGTCGATGTTTCTGTTCCGATGTACTGTTAATTACGAGAATGGATACATTGGCTCATACGATACCTGGTTTAACAATGTGTAGATCACATGTAGAGTATGTGTATGCTTTTCAATTTGTCCTATGAGCTGTAGCTAAATATTTTGCAATGTACAGGAAAAGGAGAAACGAGCAAGGAAAAAAGCCGCTTCGGGTCCACCATTAGCCTCTCATGGGGTGAGCTCTCCGGTGGAAACTGCGACAGAAGTCATTGAAGAAGCTGAAGCTAGCCCTGAAGTAGTCTTCCAGCAAACACACTCAGAAAGCAAACCCAGTTCGAAGCAGAGGAAGAGGGCAATTGCTGCTCAACAGAAACCAAAGATTGTTAAGCCGCCTCCTGTTCCCAGCTCCGTAACCAAGAAAGATGCTTTTTATCAGCAAACTTGGTTCTTTATACTTTTGGGTCTGGTGCTACTCTTTGGGCTGCTTGCCTCAATGGCAAGATATGTACTATAATTCTTGATGAATTCGGTCCAACCTCATGATTGCAAGATTCGTGCAGGAAATATGAGGTTGTTTGTAAGGTTCGTAGGTCAGGTAGTTGTTCTTCACATGAAGACCTCTGCCAGTATTCTTACCTTCACTACGAGGAATGATGAAAAATATGGAAGAGTCAACCTTTGTGTTGTCTTTCATATGCGTTCGGTGGCTGCCTAAATTGTTGTTCTGAGATCTTATTTGATCTTCTCTCGTGAGTACGATTTCTGCTTGAACCCATTATCATTATATTGGTTTGATCATCTTGCTGGATTGTCACAGATTCATTAGCTCGCTTTCATGTCTGTACTAGTTGAGCTGAGACCTTGTCATTGTTCTGTTCGTGAAACACCGATTCCATCACACAATTGAACTGAACTGGACATAATAGAGTTTGAGGGAATAAGTTACACTACTTGTTTTGAAAAGAAGAGTTTAGGGCCTAACGCTTCGGGCAATGAAACTCCTTAGTGAACCGACCAGATTTTAAATTGCTACAAAATCTGGGTACATTTTATTTAGAGTCGAATGTGTGAATTAATAACCCACGAACTTCAGTTCATCTGACGGAAATTCCCCTACGGTGCAAACAATTTGTGGCCAAGAGTACGAAATTAATTAGATTTCTCAACAACAGAGCACACACACACACTACGATTTGCATAGTTCCCTGATCATTAGAGAGAACATACGACATATACACGAGTTCATTCAAGTCATCACTCTAGGATGAAAAGAGATTTAAACATACAAATCTATTAGGAGTCGTAAGAAATCTTTTATACAAGCTTGAATGAACATAGTTCATTATTATATTGAACAAAATTCAGCATCAAACCATATGACCTGTACGCCATGAGCCATGAGTCTAATCAATGCACTGTTGATCATCGCAAGAAGTCAAATGCCAATGAAGTCAACTTTACTTTCAATACCAACTTATTGGATATGTAAAGATATCCAATGAGTATACGCAGTATACACAAGACATACGAATAACAGTCAAAATAATAGTAACTCACATAGATATTCCATCGCAACGTACGTTAGTGTATATCAACCATCTTCATATAAAGATCTTCTTCGCAATCTACACAGATGTACCACAATTGCATCTGCTTTCACTTGGGACTACCTACGTTAACACAATATTATCACATTGTCCAATAACATAACATGACATTTGTAATACAATAGGATACTTATATGCAGTGTGTGTCACTTACATGCATCCACAAGGTAATGAAAATCACTTTGCATATTAGTTTGTCTTGAAAACATATCTAACACTCATGAAAATTGATAAAATGAGCTGTAAAACATGACATATAACATAATATTGTGTATGACATATGTCATACCTTCTACAAGCATCATACATCCACCGAACTAGTTTCCAACAAGACTACCATGATAGGAAATTACATATCTCACTACTATACATATGATACTTCAAATTCTCATCATCACACATCTCCGATAGTTAACTGCATTAACTAAAACTCTTTGTACTTATAAAAATCATGTGATTGTTAACAATCTCTATTGTATTTGGTGAATTAGGCTACAAGTGTACATAATCACTAACATAAAATCCAAGAAGTGAAGACTGATATAAATTTACTTAAATGCTAGTAAGCTCAAGGTGTCTGAATCTTGACATCCGCCTACTTTTATGCTGATAGAGCTCACATCATTGTGTAGATAATAATCTCCCTAAATGATAGCATGGTTAAAATTATTGTAAATGGTGAGCAATCGTTATGTTATCAAATTTCATGGTTAGTATCTCACAGAGGAGTTCAGAACGTTGAGAATTTTTAAAACACTACGTGAAGCTAATTAAAGTATGAGATGTCAATTGACTTATGACTAGTAATCGTGGGTAAATTTGGATATCTATCATTTAACAAATTATTTCTCGACAAGAAAGCTAGAGAGTATTGTTGATCGATTTGTTAGTCATGACCAATCCTAACTGACTGCACAAATCTACTGAATGACATTTCTTCAACCTAAACCTTCGCAGTCCTCTTTTACCAATATGAACAACTCTCTTTTCCTAACCATAAGACTATGAATGAAATGCCGAAGATAAAATTCCAGACTATGGTTCATTCATGTTTTTTTTATGGACCTGAGAAATTCAGTGAAGTCTCTGGGTAAGTAAATATGTGTATATAGAAAAAACTTTAAAAATTGTAAAAAAATTCACTGGAGAGATGATTACAAGGTGTTGGATAAATTGCGAAAATAAGAAGGGCATCATTGCGACACTGCGAATGTTCCGTCAAAGTCGCAGAAAGGGCGACCGCGCGGCACAGGGAACGGTATGCGAACAACCAATCCCTAGGCCCCGAACGGAACGCCTGCTTGCCCCTCGCAGAAGCCCAAACAAAGCGAAGCAAAGCGAAACTGGCCAAAGCGAAGGAGGAGCCGCAGCGAGACTCACGAAAGACAAAGAGAAGGCGAAGGCGAGGCCGGAGAGACAGCGGCAGTCAGAGAATCGGTCGGATCGGGGGAGGGGACTCGAGCACTAGCACGAGAACGAGCACGAGCAGAGGGAGTCGTCGCGTGGATCCGGAGCCAAGGGTTGCTCGATTCCAGCACTCGTCCCCGCGAAGAATTCGATCGCTCGCGCGAGACGAATTGTCGAATTCCGTCGGCCACCCATCCCTCCACCCTCGGACGAACGATGTTGAGGTCGGGCGGAGGAGCTGCGATGCTGCGCAAGCAGCTCGCGTCGCTGGTGTCGATGGGAGCGATTTCCCCGTCTGCAACCGGAGCTGCTGCTCCTGCTGTGTCGGCCCAGCAGATCCTCGGGCGGAGGGGCTTCGCGGCCGGTGCCAGTAAGGCGCAGCCGAAGCAGGACGATGTGCAGGTGCCTCTGCCCATGTATGGCGTGACGGGCAAGTACGCATCGGCCTTGTACGTGACGGCCGTGCGGGGCAATGTTCTGGAGCCCGTGGAGCAGGAGCTGAAGAGCGTCGTGGGCGCCGCGGATCACGACAGCGTTTTCGGGCAATTCATGAAGGATCCGTCCGTGCCCAAGGATGTGAGGATGAAGGCGATTCAGGACCTGTTCGGCAAGCAGTCGAGCTACCTCGATATCACCAAGAACTTTCTGGCCGTGCTCGCGGAGAATGGCCGGCTCAGGGAAATCCAGAAGATTTCCAACGCCTACTCGGAGCTCGTGCTCGCCCACCGGGGCGAGGTCAAGGCCACCATCACCGCTGCCCTGGAGCTGACGCCCGAAGAATTGGAGGGCATCAAGGGTGCTCTCAAGGGCCACTTGAAGCCCGGCCAGGTGCTCAAGGTGGAGCAGAAGGTCGACAGGAGCATCATCGGAGGCATTGTGGTGGACATCCTTGACAAGCATATCGACCTTTCCATCGACACTCAGATCAAACAGATGGAGAAAGTTCTCGCCGAGAACCTGTGAGCCCAATTGTAGCAGGTTCTGTTTTTGATACGGACGTTTGGTTTGAGTCCATCACTCCCACGAGTGCTGTCAGTAACCGGTGTGCCACGGATTGGCAACGGATTCTTCCCGCCGATCATCCGGCTCAGCATGTGAGATTTCTCGAGTGTAAACTGCTTGGAGAAGGGAGTCGTCTGGCCATGTTCTGATCCAAGAGATTGCCTGTCCATATGTTCGAAATTTTGAGTCGAAGTGATTAGGGTAAATCGCAATCTCTCGTCAGAACTCATACTTTCCTCACGCGGCTTGCTCTCTTCTTCTCCTCCCAAGGATACTTGTTGTTCCGAATAATGCGTGGGTGAAGTTTAGGGTTATTGGTGGAGCCTACTCCTCGGGAAGTACTTGTTACATTGAACAATTTAATAATTTTTGAGCCCTTGCTTATGAACTCTTTTCATCCACCTTCTATTTCTATGCATCTCACAGCTCAACTCGACACGATGTCTAAATTTCGTACCGTACTGATTCGGTCGTTTTTTGCACTGTTGCTATTTTTTGGTGCTTCTGGTTGCTCAAATTCACACCTGCGTTGTGCTCCTGGATTTGTTCGGACCATTGCTTTTGCTCATCTTTTTTTTCTTCCCATCCGACAATCCGTGCTCTTCGGTGCTCTAGTGATCAGCTTATCACGAACAGGAACTCGTCTGACTGCAGATTAACCCAGTCAGATCACATGTCTCAAATTATTCATGGCATGGGAGAGCCAAGGTACTCTGAACAGTTTATCACCTCGTTACCTTGCCCCGAAGGCTAGTGGCTTTCCGGCACTTGCATGAATCGTTTTTCTGCCAGGTCGACGTATGACGATCAAACCAGGCCTGGAAGTTTTCCATTTTCTATCTCGTTCCAGGTATTCACGTTTTTTTCCCAAAAGCCTAAAAGACTAATGTAATGTAGTCGTTGCAATGCAGAACCATACATCGGGCCTAACCGAATTCCCTTTATTTGAAACACGCAGTCGTGCTGAACGACATGTCTTGCTTTACGGCCTCCAAAGTAGTTTGCACATGCGTAGGGCATCTTTCGGACCCCCATATCTGAATAGAGCGCTTGAGGTTACAGTAGGAAGTGATTGTCATCACCTTTTGTTTAAACATTCTTCCTGAATGAGCAGATCTGCCCAGAAATATCCGGGTAGATATCTGAGTCTTGCTTTCTGAGTACGTATCAAGCAAATCAGCTAGTGGTGAAGTTTCTTGCCCTCAGCAGTGCTCTGTATGGTTCCGTCGTTGTGTTGCATATGTCTCACTTACGAACTTGTGCACGGAAAGGACCTTGCGATCTTTGGAAAGTTAAATATCCTTGAAGAAGGCATGCTGGCAAGGATCCATTGATGAAGCAAAGCGTGTCAGTTTCATTTGTAATGCAAACTCCACAAGAAGACCGAAGGTGGACTGAGGCTTTCTTTCGTCGTTGGCTCCTTGTTACTATGTCTACTTCAGCTCACGCTTGCCAGTAACGAGGATGGTCACGAACTTCGGCAGTGCACATTCGGATGAGGCTCGCAGTTTCCCTACGAACTACCTCGGGAGAGCAAAGGAAGCTCTTGGAATTGAAGCCATGCGCGTTTGCTCTTGGCCTTCTTCACGCTAAACTGAACCTATAGAATCAAACAGCTTCGCTGCAGGGCAGGTCACTGACGACTTCGATTTGTTTTCCAGATAAGCATGACTTCCAGATGGCGACATCCATTTCTCAAGGGACGACGATTGACACCCCCAAGTTGATGAACAGAAGAGTCGATTGGAACATCATGAACGCTCTGAGATTGGGGCGCTTCAGACACAACAAGTTCGTTGCAGATATATATTGATGTGAACCGCTGTGATGTTGAGTTGTTAGCCTACTGTCGTCCTTCATGTATGATTGTCAGTTGGTTATCTCTGCCTCTCGCCGTCCACAGAATTCAGGTTGGTCCTTGTATAAATTAGGTAAACGATTTTACTACATCGACGATACAACGAACTGGGAAATGCGTGGGAAGCACTAGAGTACACGATTACACGCATGTGCCAGTAGAGCTTTCACGTGGGCACTGTGTCATGATATACGACTGTTGTCAACTGAGTCCCTTGTCGAGACATCACTTTCCGCACCTCTGGGATGTGTGTTCATGTACACTGCGCAGTTGCTGGACATATGAAAAGCTGGAAATGTCTCTAAGAAGGGGTTACGAAGCAAGGGTTGGAAGGAAACATGTGCATGAACAACAATCTATACTGGGCGTTTTGAACATTTAGTATCGGATCCATGAAATTTGCCCACGTAAGTTGAGTACATATTGCGTCAGCAAAAATGGATCAGCCTGGAAACTCCAATTCCATCTACGTGATCTACTATCCCGCACCTTGACGATCTTACAAACATATTTCTGAAATTTGGCACCGACATCTTTTCTACCACCCTTGCTTGCAGATTAAGTATTGGAACTGACCTACGTCCAATAACCAACTAAGCGTGTATGGTGGAAGGGCAAACTTGCAGTTGCTGATCACCTCCACAAAACAGATCCTCGACCTCGGTAAGCCTCGCCATTTACGTCTCAGTCGACCTTGATAAGCACTTGGATGCAGCAGCACTTGCGAGAGTCTTGATCTTGCTGTAGTCTCTAGTTTCTAAAGCCGCTTTCCCAAAAACAGCGTCCGACACTATGACAGCCATCACACCTGCACTGAAGTATGGTTCCACCATATCTGACAAGTCACGATGCAGGCAAATGCCCGTCAGGTTCACGAATCCGAAGTCAAGTCAACAGATGGAACAATCACATCCATACTGGAAAAAAAGGTACTACTGTTCTTCGGTGCAATCTCGTTCAAATCACATTCCCTTCTCACCTAAAGAAATGCCGCTGGACACAATCAAAGGAATGTGTGGCAGCGTCCGCTGCAGAGCCAGGGCGTATTGGACACCTCCTAAGAGAGCAACTGGAAATAACTGCAACGTAACACAAAACAATCCAAGTCGGTTCACGAGCCCAAGAACTGGGTCTACGAACGGTCTCTGAAATATCAGAAGACTTCCCATTCTATCGTCCATGGATCCCAAGTGACCAAAATGTGACAATTCAAGTTGAAAGGTTGCCTACTTTTAATGTTTATTGAGACGTTGGCACTCGTAAGACCGACTGTAAACACCTCTTTGTCTCATCAATCTGGTACTCACAAACTGACACACGTACGTATGTTTGCTTCCATGAAAAGAATTAAGATTGAAGGTTGAAGGTGGAGAATTACTTTCACAGCGCATGCTCCCAAGCAGTGGGCAGTCACAACCTGCATCCAAAGTTCCAAAATGATCATCAGAAGCACAGCGCCTTTACAGCCTCGGATGAAACTCTAAGCCTGAACGTGGACCAATTGGTTCTCATAAGCCTGCGTCTAAGAAGCAGGACCCTGGAGGGCAATCGTCCAGCCTAGAGAGAGTGGATCTTCGACCTCTGTGGGTGTCATTGTCCCAGGTATGAAGAGAACAGGTCCATCTTTATGTGCTCGCACCATGTCCTGCAAACAGGAGCACGAAAAAGTCTTCAGGAGAAATGTAACTGGGGAAAAAGTTGTCTCCCTAAATCAGCCATACAGGTTCATCCAATACAGGTAACCCCTCGTCGAAGATTAGGGTTCCCCCAAGAGCTTTCTGAATTCTTCGCCGAAGGAGATTTGTATCCCTCCACGCCAAGATTCAAGTCATTTCTTTGGAGGAATATTGTACTCAAGTGTTATGACTTATGGTAACTTTGAAAGCTCATTTTAGCTTTACAAAATGTGCAGCAAAACATGCCAACGCATGGCCGCTCTGCTTCACAGGTTGGTGATTATCTTGCTAAAGCCTCGACAGACATGAGAAGATATCAGATGTAAAGAAAGACAACAAAGGAAATTGCACCTGGAGCTGGATCCGTGCAATAAGACTTTTAGTGCTGAGACATGGAGTTTTACATCGCTAATGAGAGAAGAGGGTAGATACTTCTGTGATCTTATGAATGAACCAGATTGCTCTAAGGATGACACGAGATTTTGAGACCTGAGATGGTGGGTGGAAGAATTCCACAAGAATTCAAGCATCAAAGTCAACGACACAGATTCTATACACGTCAGACAGAGCTCGGCAGGAAATCCAAGTGTAGACAGATGGATCTAGGAAAGAGACCCTACAACGCCATATTGTTGTGCAGAGTTTGACAGTGTCATCAGCTTCCTTGAATGTTTCAGATTATGCTCCATACGTGGAGTCATGGCATTCAGGCATAGAAGAAAATGCACTTGATTCACATCAGGACCGCTGGAAACTTGCAAAGACAGATGTGATCATTCATATTTGATCACACTCCCTGCCTCATCTGCATTACAGAAATTACAGAGCACATTTATGGACATATAACAATAAAGGTCAAAGGCGTCCTGTCAGGTGCAGATCTAAAGGCCACTGAATTCACCGAAACATGGGGTTGAGGAGACTCATCAAATAGAAATTGAAGTTAATCTGCAGTATGGGGTTGAGGAAACTCATCAAATAGAAATTGAAGTTAATCTGCAGTGTGGGGATCTCCGTCGACAAAATGGCAAATTCAGACAGACTGTATTTCAATATTTACGATACTTAAACTCGTGCATTCACATACAAAGATACAGGAACTTACCTCCATGGTGACAGGACTCGTGAGAAACTTGGCTCCAGCCTGCTTGGCCACCTCTGCTTCCTGCATGGATAGAACAGTACCAGCCTGCACAAGAGGATCAGAGAAATCAATATTCCTGAGCTCATGATTATACTCACTAATCAGCAGACCAAAGCCAAAATGCCATGCAAAAATGCATTGCCAATCAATGTGAGGTTCCGATAACATGGAAAAGTATGTCGCTCACTCCGATGGTTGCCGATGGATACTCCCGCACAAGACAATCAATGATCTGCAGTAAGTACTTTACACCATCAGATCAGGTTATCAGATCTCAGGCAAGCCAATATGCGAAACGACGTCGGTGCCATATTCCCTTAGATGTTAATGATCGTGTCTCAGAAGCCTCTCAAGTTTCTGTGAGTTCTGGCAAATTCGTGAGGCAAATTCACACCACCTTCTGCATTTACATGACACCCTTTCAGTGCTTTCAAGCTCTGTACTCAGCGACCGTCGGCTGTCATACATACTTCACATTGTTCTCATGATAATGAAATGACGACCTGAGCCGACTCCTAAAGCCCACTGTCTGTCTGTGGTCGATGGAAAGGGTTTACAGTCCTTTGGGTCGTGCTGCTTCCACATGTAACCCTAAGGATTTGTAGCGGCCTGCCTTACGAGGGAAGATGCAGCATCCCTTCTGATCAGGTGGTACTCGAATTCAGCTTGCAGCTGGGGAAGTTGGGCATGTATGCAGCTGTAATGAAATTAGCGATGCTCGGAGTCTTCACACGGGCTTCAAAATCAAAAGCTCATCTGTATTGTTTGAGGTTGTGAAGTTCACAGGGAAGGGAAGGGAAGGGGGTATTCTTGAAATTTACCTTGGCTGCTGAAGGAGTCGTCATGGTGACCTCGACCTGTTCATGCGTGCAGAGCAGACATAATTATTGCATTGCACAGCACAGCACAGTCAACGCAAAGACACAAAGAGCGAACGCATTTCAGGGGCAGGACATGAATGCTAAATCCGATCTGTGTCTCCAGCAACCGTTCTTGTAAATTTCACAAATGAGTGGCGCAGAAATCAATAGGGAAGGCCTTGAGGGCTGAGGCTGAGGGCGAACCGTAGTGAGCCCACCATCCAGCGCTGCCCGAGCAGCATCCAGCGCAACATCTGCGCTGCCAATTCAGTCACGCACCGTCTCCGTCAAAGCTCTTCAACTAAACCCTACAACCCTACGAGCCTTCTCGTGCCGCAAAGATTGCCAGTCTTGTTCGACTTGCAAGCAAGCAAGCAAGCAATCCCCAAACTTGAGAAGCTAATTGTCATGTCCTCGGCTAATCCAGAGCTACGATGAATCATAATGTGGCCTTCCCTCGATATAAGGATCGGAAAACAACGTACAACAAAGACTTTGCTCGAACTGGAAGCTGACAATCAGCCTGCGTCACCCGAGACCTCATCTAAATTCATCGATTGTTTGCGAATCTGAAGACTGCTTATCAAACAACCAAATTCTATGTGGTCTGAAACTATCACACAAATAAAGATGACCATGAGAAATGAGCTCCACTGTAAACGGACGAATTGTGGAGAAGCTCGAATGCCCAGATCGGCCTCACCTGGTGGTTCTCAAGCAGGCAATGATTCCTGCCCTGCGCAATCGATGAAGGGTAGACTGCACGGAAGACAGAGGGAATAATGCTGCTCCACCATTTTGATCTCGAGCACTCTCCGTCGACGATCCGGCACTAGAGGACGCCGAAATGATTCCCAATTTCCTTCCTTTCTTCACCAATTGCGAAGCTTTCTGGGCCGACAGTGAACCATATCCACCTCGCCTCAGACTCTCCCTGCACAGATCTCCAGCTGCACCTCGAAAGAGGCCTAAACCTGGAGCTGCTGACATCGCACTGTCTGTACATGATAACACAGCAGCAGCAGCAGCAGCAGCAGGACTTTCGATGCCACGAGCATGCAGAATTGAGTTCATAGCCATTCACACAGGCTCAAGCTCCGAGACCCTCCCTCCCTCCCTCACTCACTCTCTCTCTCTCTCTGAACACAGCAATTTCCTGCACCAACCTGAATATCGCGTAATATACTCCCCTTCAAATTCAAAAGCTCCGATTCTTACCTCCTTCCGAGGAGCCAGCCACTTTCTCGGAGCTGACTTTGGATTCAAAATCCAGCACTTCAGAAATGCCTCGGGCCAGTCATGGAAACGCATTCAGGACAAAATGTGGTTGTGCTCCCAGATAGAAACCGACAGGTCAACCTGTTCGGTTCTACGACATACATTCATTCACTCACTCACCGATGTAAAAGAGCTTACAGCAGAAGTCCATCATATCAATTATTAGCTTATCGACAGACTCTTGAATATTGGGCAAGGTTGAATATGTTGCTGTCACTGCCTATTTTGGACTCTTCTCGGAACCCCATGTTTTGGGCCACGACGGGTTACTGTAACCACAAGCACTTGGCCATTCACAATGATAAGTCGAGCTCAACCCAGAAATTTCCATATTTTGGTATTCTTCAACAGCAGCTCGTGAGAAATAATGAGAATTCTTTTCTGAATATTCGGAAAAAAAAAATCTTAAGATTCCAACGTAGGTGAACTTCAGTACCTTTCGTTGTTTTCTATTTGGATTGAACTTGAGTCGGAAAGTTTCTCGACTTCAGGAATAAAATCTTAAACAAACGTGTGATCGTCGTCTTGTAGGTATATATGATTCGAGCATGAACATTTGGAGGAAACAAAATTCGAATCAAATTTTCGATGTGTGCACATGCGAGCAAGGGCTCTTTCGAGACATTGTCTCCGTCTCGACCACGCCGCATGATACCGCACCGTACAAGCAATAAAGAGCTCTTTATGTTCTGTTTCTCGTGGAGACAAAGGCAAAAGGGCTATGGGAGAATTGAAAGCATCAGATAGTCAGCTGTCAACTCGTCGAGCCGTCTGGAAAGTCGCAAGAGGACCATCATAGCCATGACCTTTCATCAGTCATAGGACAGCAATATTCTCATGGGCGTCATGTCCCCGTTGTGTGGGTTTGGATCTTGAGCAGACTTTGGACTTCGGACGTCGTACTCTCGAGCATTTCCTCGCTGCTCTCCTGCCGGCGAATCTTCCCTTGCTCCTTTTCTTTCAGGTTGGCCTGCTCTCATCCAATTTCACATTTTTTTTACTGTCAGTATTTATACATTTCCTCATCATGTCCAGACCTATGGCGCCTTCAACTTTGCCACTGAAAATGAGATAATATGTGGTCAACCTTCCGTTCCGAGGACTGGACTGCCTCCCTTCCATTCGAGTGGCTCTTAACCTCCTATGTCTAGTAACATGTCACCTCTCAATTCGTGTTCCATTCTTTGCCATGAGTTGGGACTCTCCAAGGCAATATAAAAAATGGGGAGAATTTTAGCGTTCTCACTATGTTCCATGATGCTTTCGAAGATACAATCATGCGTATTCTTCAACAGGTCCAACGAAAGTTGCAAGTTCTCCCGATATCCTTACATTTGTTCCCATATCACTTTCATCATGGAGTTTATGAAACACTAGATCTTCTTCTGATACCGGTTTTGCGTAGCCATACATGCAAAGATTATGGCAGCACATGATTAGGATTGGCACCGTTGTCGTCGTCCTCCTACATATGCTTTCACCATGGAGATTTCCCTCGGTACCATAAGTTGAAACAATTAGCAAGGACTCGAATTGGTACGATCTATTATGAAGAAGAAGTTTAATCCTCGAAAAAGATAATTTCCCTCCCTCCTCACACACCGATAATGGCTTTTGTCTACTCTTCGGAACTCCTTTAAAAATCTGTGTTGAAATCACCCATAGAATATGGCAGAGTCTGCCTGTTTGAACACATCTCCTCCAGCATAAAGGGTTTATCTAAAAGTTGCATCTTAGAGTATCACTACAAGGTGCAACAAGTGGGTTTGCTCTTGAATACATGACCGTATGTGCTGCTTGGACTCATGCACCTCCATGTACATACTTTTCAGTCTTATTTAGTCCGTAGCGAGGTTGGATAAAGTGAGCCAGGCCAGGTCCCAAGGCAAGAAAGAAAGGTGAGCAGATGAGAGAAGTCTTGGCAACAATGATGCCTGTTTATTGATTCTGGCTCGGATCGGTAGAGGACATTTGTGAATCTTGACTGGATGCAGATTATGGATTAATTATTCTTTCATGCCCTTCTTACGTCAACTGAAGTCCACCTGCATCCAAAGTATGCCAGTGACGGCACTCCAGTTCATCAGTTACTTGTGAGAGAGTGGAAAGTGATGATACTCGAGAAATTGCCCTTTTGCTATGATTACGATGAACCATAATTGACCTTGTTTGGTGTAGCCTATACTATCTCGCAGTATTGGCCTTCTCTACCTTTACTGATTAGGCTTCCAATCTGATTTGTCCGGAGAATACTTGCAGACTTATTTAAGAACAATATTTACTGGTCATTGTGCAATAGAGTGCGTTCAGTGAAAATGGTCAACAATAAATATAGTGCATGTTTCCACAATTAAAAACGCTGTCACGTCATCCTTCTTCCCATTTATTCACCGCATGATATGGAATAGAATGATAGGAAAATAGTCCACCACAGGTTGATAGACATCAGATTCTCGACCATGATACTGTACGCTCGTTTTCGTGTAGCTCCATAATTAGTATAGTATCGAAGATCTTACGTCCCACGACCCTACGTAAGTCAATTCCGTATTGAATTTTGGTGAATATCATAAAATTTTCTATATTAAAACCATTATTTCCTTGAATAATTTTTAATATTGTACCGCAATATTGCAAGCATGCAGCGGTGTCTGATACAGTCAACTCACACCCATTATGACTTACATATAAAACTAACTTCATATATTACCCTCTGTTAAGTGTCCATCTATTTGAAATATCAAAGCTTTTCAGGAGACGCTTAATGTGGCCCTAAAATACCAACAAAGCCCTCAGTTCTTATCAAAATAAGACTGTCATCGTCGTGAAATCATGTAAAACACATGTGTCAAACTGCTTACAACTGCACACACAAGCTATCATAGGAAGTGAAGCTCATTGCAGATGTCCAAGCAATATGCCCAGTGGCTGAAGGCACATGAGAGAGAGAGAGAGAGAGAGAGAGGGAGTATGAATGGTCACGCCTCATTACTCCAGGTGTCGCCACTTGGCTACTTCAAATGCGCAGTCACCAGAAATGTTAATCAAAGTCTATGTTCGTGGGCAATCTGTATAACGCATGTCTTGAAATGTCAAATCTCTCTCTCTCTCTCTCTCTCTTTCTCTTTCTTTCTCTTTCTCTCTCTCCCTCACTTGCCAAGCACTAGATCTTCGATTCGTCATTTAAGTCCGGAGAGTGCCATAGTCATGACTTCTGCTTACATGTCCGTGACCTCACAGCACGTATAAATACGCCTACCATGGCTATCCAATCTATGAGCCCTAGGAGCTAGCCCCGCCCGTGCCTTTTATGCCCTCCGCGTCCAATGTCCAAAAGTTGAAGGAGAAGTAGGTCAGGCCAGAAATGACATGGCCTGATCGATCAAGACATCTCACCTTTTTAGTAAGCACGGAGCTCATCTCTGTCAGACCCACAGGTTTAGGAAAAGTGATTGGAATTTAGAGACGCAATTATAGTGAACAGGGCTCATGGATCTGGAAATATTGGGACGAAGATAGCCCGCATGGGGATCAGATTACATGTACTTTCAGATCAGATCAGATGTCTGCCAAATACTCGAAGCGAACAAAGGAATGGGGGGTTTTCAATATTACTTGGGGCCCCGATCATGACAAGAAATATGAACCGAGAGAAGATCTGGGATCGTGTATTATATTAGGAGTGACGGATGAACTCCAAAGATCTCTGCACAGCTCGGCTTTGATTTTAGAGAACAGAAGCAATCGAGAGGTGGTGCCCGACGGAGATAAATAAATGGATCACACAAATGTCGTGTGAGTACTTTTTAAGACATAAACGGCACCCATAAATATGAAATAATTGCGGACCGCGCAATATTAAAATATAAATTACAGTTTCTTTTATTCTCGGCACTCAGACTCCCGCTGTGTGGGGATTTGTGAACCGGGCAGTCAATTATGAATGACAGTAAAGATGTTGCAAGACTCAAAATTCCTCCACATGCAGTTTCACCTCCCCGGCTGCACGAATCTCTCTTGTCTTGTCTTCTCATCTCTCTCTCTCTCTCCTCCTCCTCCTTTCTCTTCTTCTTGTCTTTCCAGCTCGAGTTCGTCCTTCCGATCGGTCGATCGATCGATGCGAACTGCAGCCGAGACCTGCTGCTGCTGCAGAGAGAGAGAGAGATAAAACACTTTCCTTTGAAAGCGAGTCAGAGGAGGAGGAATAAGAATGGCGTCATGAAGGAAGACGGCCGATCTGACCAGAGCCCGAACGAACGTTACGTAAAGGAACGTGCCTGCAGAAAGCAATCTGAGCTCATTGGAAGAGATCAGGTGACTGACAGCTAGTCTAGGACGTGGATGTTGACTCCACTCCACTCCACTCAGCTCAGCTCAGCTCAGCTCATCACTCCTTTTCGGGCGTGTCGCGAGTTGTGTGTCTTGATTTCGCGTGTCATAAAATCTGCTCATGCGGATTCATCACACCCTGAGAATGTTTGTCAATGCTGCTGTTATCAACCCTCGATTACAGCAGCATCCGGATTTGCAGATTCCAGGGTCGCGTAGTATGACGTTCATCTCATGATCACAGACAGACCCAGATCTGGACGAAGCGCACCTGTAATCTAATCTGGCACAAGGGGATGAAGATTCACCCGATGCCAATGGTTCAGACTCCACCCAGCGCTGTCTTGCCTCCCTTGAAATCAGACGCTCCCGTTCCCTTTGCTGCTGCAGTATTCGACATTGAATCTCTGCTCTCTTAGGTCTTCTGGCCAAGAGCAAGCAAGCAAGCAAGCACAGTCGAACAGAGACTTCTACTCAGAGACTTCTCCCATCTGTC